TAGAAAGGCAACAGACGTGCACACATTCTATGCACCACACAAGTACATGCCACGGGTAAGTAGCAAGTCCTAAAGTAGGTAGTACTGCAGTCTGTACGGAGTATCTAGATAGAGCGGGGAGGCAATTTGCATAGCTGCGGCGCTACTGGCGCCCTATGGTCTAGGTATGACACTAGTCGCTTGTTGCGTGGCGGACTTGGAGTGGAGCGGTTTAGCCTAGTAAATCGGTTACGGAGTAGACGACTATTTTTGCAACTATCAGTACTACAGAATAAGGTAGTGATGCTTGCCTTGGATACCAAACGGTACCTGACTTTTAAGCAAAGGGTTATAAGCCTAGTAGGACCATTATATCGTCCATCCATTGACAGCAGATAAGTTACATAAGTACCTGATGACAACAATCCATGGTTACCTATTTAACCTTACCAGAGGGGAATCCCGTCCCTTGGTCCAGGGTACCATTATTGATTATTCCGTAGCACCTTACTCCGTACTGAACTTGGGATTAAAATAGCAGTCAGACGCCTGGAATGCCATGCACTCAGTATCTGTAAATATCCAACTCTGTACCTGCCTAGGCTAGAGTCTAGACTAAGAAGAATAGCTCCAAGTGGCGTCATTCAGGAATAGCGACCCACATCAAAGAAGACGTTAAACCAATGAACATTAGCTTTACAACGCACACTGAAACACTCAGGGGCAGAGTTGTCAGAGCCTCGAACCAGCCGATGACCTTCCTGGTATCTTACAGGCCCATATCTGCGTCCTCCCACTGCAAAAATAAATCCCACCCAAGCCAATAGATAGCAGATATGGTGACACTTACTCCGTATACATTCTAACTGGCCACACTGATACATAGCTGTACCTTAGACGCCCAATGGAGAGAAATACTACGTATTTTATTCTGTCTGTCAATCAATGGGGGTGGAACGATCTGGTTCTTATGGGTCGTATGGGTAGATAGTTTTTGGCAGAGAATACTCTCTAAGAGGTAATAATATAATTAGACTACCTACGAGAGTACTAGCTAGTATTGTTCTGGAATAACCCATAGGCCTGAACGGAGTACTCCGTACTACTCTGTCCATCCCGTTCCCAAGTCCAACCTTTTCTCTCTCTGCATGGTCCATGAAGCTGTCTAGCCCCATCTCGAAGCTTTGCTAATCTCTGTCTGTTATTTTTCTACATTCTCCTGTCTTGGACACTTCACTCTTTCTTTATTTGCCGTTCTTGTTTGACATTCGTTCTGCATGCCAACCTTTAAGCAGTAGTCTTGTTATTGCTCAGCAACAATCAATAATCAGCACTCTCCCACTCATACCCGACACCCACACAAATACACTCTCGCTTTTGAATATTCTTTCTTTCGTCCGTGTCTCCTGAGTATTGTCGTCTCCTATTGCCCATTGACTTGTCCTTCTCTCCCTAGTCTTTCGTCTCGCATTCTCGACTTTACGGAGTCCACTTTTCTCTCTTTGTTTTTCCCAACTGGCCTTGAGGAACAAAGAGAGAAAGAGTGAATCCAAGCGTAGAGTGCGGGAGAACTCACTGCTTGTAAGGGGGCATGGGGACTTTCTGATCTTCTAAAGGAATCACCAACTTACATGTCGCTCCTTGGTGACCTCTCTTTCTGCATTCGTCAGTGACATTCATTGCCGGCACCATTTAGCAGAGCACTTGTGTGTTTTGAGATAAACCATTCGAGACAGGTTGACCCTGTTTTGACGCCCTGATTCGACCAACTAGCGCAGTTGCAGCTCAATCATTTCGGCATTAGCAGAGCTATACGTCCTTGCTCTTTTATCTCCAGTCCCGCGCGGATCGGACTAATACCCATCGATCGTTTTGGTTGCAAAAGATAATCGGTATCGAAGCATTGAACCCACCTCACGTTGATGTTCTTTTAGCATTGAACGACTGGGGACTCAGGACTATCAAATCTCGAAGATGCGGATCCTCTCCTTTCCCCTGCTCGCATCGAGCTTCTTGGTCGCTCGGACTCTCGCAACAGACACAATCAGTACTAACGAGGTATCGACTTGTTTAACCAGCTCCGACGTTGAAGTCAGGGAGCTATCAGTAACCTACACTCGCTCCACGAGAGAGGTCGTTTTCAACATTGACGGGACAAGCAAGAAAGTACAAAATGTTACTGCATCATTGTCAGTGACTGCATATGGCAACCAAGTCTATTCGAAGGATTTCGACCCTTGCAGCTCCGAGAATTACGTCGCGCAACTCTGTCCTGGTACGTATCATCCTTCTGCGGAGGCCGTTTATCAGTATCCACTAATATATGTACAGTCCCCGCAGGCACATTTAAGGCCCAGGGAACGCAGCAGATCCCGGAAGAGTACGCCAGCCAGATCCCTTCAATTGCCTTCCAGATCCCCGATCTGGACGGTCTCGCCAAAATTGAACTGAAGTCCAAGGACGATGGGACGGAGGTTGCTTGTATTCAGTCTGGGCTGTCCAACGGCAAGACCATGCAAGTCCACGGTGTCACCTATGCCGCGGCAGGCGTGGCAGGCGCTGCACTGGCTTTGAGCGGACTGTCTGCCCTGGGCACGGCTGGCCACCCGGGAGCGAGTTCGTCTAGTCCCAGTTTCGGCGACGTGATGGGTTGGTTTCATAGCATGGCTACCAATGGCATGCTCAGTGTCAGCTATCCGCCCATCTATCGCAGCTTCACCAAGAACTTCGCCTTCAGTACCGGCTTGATTCCGTGGGGCGACATGCAAACGGCTATCGACAACTTCAGAGCAGCTACCGGTGGCAATCTCACCCAAAATAGCTATGAGTTCCTTCGCAATGCTACTTTGACGTACTCGGACGGTGCCTCGGCGAATACAACCTCGAAAGTCAAGCGCGGACTGAATCTGATAGTGGGCGCTGTCGATCTGGCAACCAGGGATCTCTCAGGTTCTTTCAGTAGCGACACTACGTCGGGCAATTCGACTGACGGCGATGAGAGTGCCTTCCACAAGGCCGTTTCTGGCATCGAGGCCTACGCGGAGCAACTCACCATTCCCCAGGCGAACACATTCATGACAGTCCTGTTGATTTTTGCCATCGTCGTCGCCGCCATCGCTGTGGGTATCCTGCTTCTAAAAGTCATCCTCGAACTATGGGCTCTCTACGGGTCGTTCCCGGACAAGCTCAAAGGCTTCCGCAAAGATTATTGGGGTCTTCTGGCTAGAACAATTACCAACTTGATCCTCATCTTGTATGGCATGTGGGTGCTGTATTGCATCTATCAACTGACTACCGGGGACTCGTGGGCTGCAAAGGTGCTTGCAGCCGTCACGCTTGCCGTCTTCACCGGTGTGCTATTGTTTTTCGGACTCCGTATTATGCATCTGGCTCGAAAATACAAAAAGACCGAAGGTGATACGTCGGCACTGTACGAGGACAGAGAGACCTGGCGCAAGTACAGCCTCTTTTACGACAGTTACAAAAAAGACTACTGGTGGCTTTTCATCCCCGCCATTGTCTACATGTTCGCTAAAGGCTGTGTCATTGCCGGGGCGAATGGTCATGGTCTTGTTCAGTCTGCAGGTCAGCTGATAGTCGAAGCTCTTATGCTGGGTCTCCTGCTGTGGAATCGCCCATATGTTGCCAAGTCCTCCCAGTGGATCAACATAACGATTCAAGTCGTTCGTGTCTTGTCGGTTGTTTGTGTCCTGGTATTTGTTGAGGAGCTTGGCCTTTCGCAGACGACCAAGACCGTAACCGGTATCGTCCTCATCGCAGTGCAGTCTGGCCTTACCGGCATTCTGGCGATTCTCATTGCCGTCAATGCCATCATCCTATGTGTCCGTGAGAACCCTCATGCTAGGCGGCAAAGAGAAGCTGGTAAGTGAATTGTACGCAATTCGTTTCCTCTCGTCGGATAACTGACGTGTCGTTTAGAAAAACTCAACCGTGATATGGACGATCTTACTCCTCTGGACGCTCGAGAATCCCTTCTCATGGACAACCCGCCTCGGAAAGACTATGCAGAGATGAGCAAGTTCAATTTCACCGGCCCTTACGAACCCTATAGGGATCAGCAAGTTCCGCAGCCACAACACGGCCGGATGGGGAGCACAGATCGTCTGGTAGAGCCTGCCTACCATCTGGATGATCAACATGGCCGAAGCTTGAGCCGTGAAAGTCATCGAAGCAGGGACAGCCGTGGCTCCCCCGAGCGACACCATGCCACTACCCCGGGTTATGGCTTTGCTTACTAGATTTCCAAATCTGATCGGATTTATGATACCACATTGTTTGAATATTTGTTCATATTACCTCATGTTACTTTGACTTCGCTTCAAAGCCTTCTGTTGGAGCATAGACAGCACATTCTTCCAGAACTTCTTTCTGCCCTTCTCCTTGCTTCTTCGGCATGAATCTTAGCGCATCTGGAGCATATGGAAGGTAACTATGTTACAACCATCTTCTACCATTTCTTGCTTCCTATCCATACCTATCCTTCGCCTGTGCCAATAAATTGTCTCATTATAGCCAGCCCGCAGTATTGCCTTAAATTATCATTCTTGTTTCTTGTGATTTATTCTTGGCTATACTTTTTGTCTAGAGGCAGCGATCTGGAAGATCAAAAGTTGTATGTCTCAAATAGAAAACACATCCCCTGGTATGTGCCTTTATGTATATATCAACCCTATTTATTGTATGTTCCAGAGTCTTGTCACATTGCAGTTATCGAGATACGGCGAGACCAGCGTAAAAAAGCATATAGCGCAGTTTGGGCTCAATGGCCTTTTAGAATACATCTGAAGTAGAAACGGAGACCAATCATAAACACTGACTGTAATGCCTCTAAATAACATGCAGAAACACCGTCCTCTCGTTTTGTCCCTTTTGCAATCACCCTTGTTTGCTATGAGGTAGAAAAGCAGACGATGACTGGGATTGCGCGGGAAAGACTGTCACTGAATCGACCAGAAGACTCGTGATCTCCGCCGGGAGAGATGAAGAGCACGAAATCAAAACAGATTTCCACTCTGCGGTACGCAGATTGGAGGAGAAACCGAGCAAATATCCTAGATCGGATCGAACCTGTTTTTAAGGCGAAGACAGGAAAATACGAAACAAACGGAAAAAGAAGGGCCACTGAGAATGGAAGCCAGATATCAGAGAGATGAAACAGAAAGGAAGGCGAGAGGGCAAGTAAGAATCGACAATGACCCCGAGCTCCAACCCTATCCACGAGAGTAAGGATGGAAACCCCGATGGCCTCCGCGACCTCCGCCACGATAGTTCGCACCGGGCTTTCCAGCATTTTTAGGGCCCGTTGGGGCGTTGGCAGGGGCGGCGCTCGGAGTCGGCTGTGGTGTTGTTCCTGAAGCTTCAAGTTAGCTACATGTAACGAATACACGCGTTTGTTGATGGGTATAATGCTTGTAAAGAGAGCAAAGGAATACGTACCGCGTCCAATGCTGCCTGCTCGGTTCATGCCTTGAGGACCAGTGGGAACATTGGGCTGGGGGACCTCGTCGTACATGCCCTCCCACGATGTCGGACCGCCCTGTTGATATGGCGAGAATGCCCGGGACTCCATGACTCGACGTTGTTGCTGCTGCTGCTCGTATTTCTGCTGCTCGAAAGCGAGCTGCTCTTGAGCATTATAGCCCGGCCCGCCCCGAGCGCCTGGGTAGTTTGCGCCCATGTTCATGTTGCCAGCGTTGTTGCCCATCTGGCCCTGCATAGCTCCCATGTTGTTACCTTGAACCTGGTTTTGCATCTGTTGCATCATTGCAGGGTTCATCATGTTCTGCATCTGCGGGGTTGGGCTTTGCGAGGGAGGGCTCAAGCTGCCCTGCTGCTGCGGTTGCTGCTGCTGATTGTTGGCCATCTGCATCTGCTGCATTTTCTGCATCTGTTGCATCTGCTGCATCATGGCCGGGTTCATTGCTCCCATTCCCATGGCTCCCATTCCTTGCCCCTGAGCGGCGGCAACCGCCATCTGCTGCTGCATCAAGGCGAAATATTGCTGCATACGTTGCCAATACTGTGCCATCATCTGTGGTGTCAAGCCTGCAGGCATACCCGCCTGCCCTTGCATTCCCTGTTGCTGCTGAGACCCATCGACGCCACCATGACCTCCATCGCGGAAATCTCTGCCGCGCCGGTTCCTGCGATCCTCCTCGTCGCGTAAATTGCCTCTTGGCTGAGCCTTCTTGACTTCGATCGGCTTCCCACAAATGGCCAAGGGACGGGACAGAGCGGCCTCGACAGCAGCTTCACTGTCGAACGTCACAAAGCCGAACCCGCGAGGACGTCCGGTGTCTTTGTCAATCATCAGGGTAGCATCAATAACACGGCCGAATTGCGTAAAGAACTCCTTGAACTCCTGCTCCGTTGCCTCTTGGCTCACACCACCAACGAAAATCTTACTGGTCTTCTCCTGTTCGTCACGGGGGATTGCACGCTTAGGGTCAATCTGCCAGCGCGTTAGCATACGGTCGATCCGTTTTGATCACTTTTGGTGCATGCGGCAGAATAGACAGAATATGCGTCTTACAATTTTCCCGTCCAGGTAGTGCTCTTTGACCATCACTGTGTTGACTGTCTTTGGATCCTTGAAGGTCAAGAAGCCAAAGCCCCTAGAGCGACCAGTAGCGCTGTCCCGCATGACAGTACACTCTTGGACCTCACCAAACTGGGAGAAGTAGTCCTTCAGAGACTCTATTCATTATGTCAGATTGCCGTTAGAGACTTGAGTAAGCGGCAATAATATTAAGACTCCACGTACGGTCTGTTGTCTCCCAGTTCAAACCACCGATGAACATCTTCCTAATCAACCAGATCATCAGTAAATGCATCCATCTAACCAGAAACAAAGCACTGTCAAAGCTGATGAATTCAAATGAACAAATGAGCGCAAGAAACGAAGACCCAGTGAAACCAAGCAGGACAAGATCCCAGAACAATCGTGATCAAGGACTTGTTTGATGGTAGGCCGACTGGCATTGTTATTGTCTGCAAACGCAGTGCACAGAGCTGCTATCCTTGATATTCTAACGCAGATACCGTAGCGCTCCCTTGAGCACCAGTAGCTATGTGATTGAATATATGCAGGGATTCGAAAATGAGTTGCAACAGCAAGCGGGTCGCATTGTACTGGTGTGGTCCGGTAACGCGAACAAGTGCACAGGCTTGTCTCACAGCCAGCTCGGGAATCGTTCATGACACGCATACATTGACTGTGACTGCCGTTGGACAGAACTGCTCAGGGTGAAAAGGAGGCATCTCTAGTCGTCGACATCCACTGGTTTACGGATAATCCAGCGGGAGTAGAGCAAAAGGAATATGCTCCAAGGCCGAGCGGCATGAGAGTCGTGATGGTGATAGAAGGACCACGGATTGAAGCGCGAGAGGCGGAATATAGACAACTGAATCTCTTCTTTTTTCTGTCTGACCATTGACCCTCCGACTGTCTGTCTAATAGGGTCGAAGCTAGGTAGTAAAACTGTTCGATAGTGATCCACCAGACAGCCAAGGCTTCTATTCCTTGCTCTGCTCTATCAAGATATATCGACAAGAAGCTATCTGATAGCGTCTGTACTAGTAGTCGCTCGCAACAAGGTCTCGTAGTCTGTGTGATATCTTTCTCTCTGTAAACTTCATGTCGATGTTGACTCGACCATACATATCTCCCTCGAGCCTGGTCTCGGAGATAACCATGCACTCATCAGACCGCCCTTTATAGCTAAATCTGACGCAACCGAATGATATCTTTGTCTCTGCCCAGAGACGACTGGTGCTTCGTCCCCTTCCGACAGATGAGAACCGCCAAGTAGGAGGCTAATCCGATAAAGTTCAGAAAATTGTCATCGTTCGTCTCTCTCACCACGCCGACACAGTTCGATAAGCGTCTCCTACCCCACAGGATCGCCTAATCCAACCCATTGAATGGAAAAGTATCTTGCGCAGCACCAGTGCGTGACAGCCTAGTGCGACGCGAGTCGATATGAGAGCGAATGCACCAGAACGGCTATACACGTACGAGGGCAACTGCGAGCCCTGAATGTGCTCACTGTGCTCACTCACTTGCTCCAGTAGACGATACGTCTGGTCTTCGACGCAATGGTGTAGAACAATAGAGGGGGAAATAAATGGGGAAAATCCAAGCTTGTACAAAGTGAAATACAGAGAATTACTTACCCATCTTCCTTGATTCCGGTGCCCTGAGGCTCTTGTTCGGTCGTGGGAGCGGCAGTAACATTGGTGGTATGATTTGTATCATACATGCCCGAGCCATTTCTTTGATGTCCTTCATACGAATACGCGTAGGAATCCGCGGTATGAGCGTCTTCTGGCTCCGACTTGAAATTCTCTGCAGTTTGTGTCGCAGGGGAAGTCGTTGCTTGGGCAGGTGCGGGAGACACTGCGAAGTCGGAAATCTTGGGAGCTGAAGACGTCTGGTTCGTGTTCTCATCCGCGTCATACCTAGGAAGAAAGGAGTCAGAAAACGCCTCGAAAATCAGGTGCGAACAAGAGTCTTACAGATCAGCAAAGAGATCTTCCTCTACATCCCCTGGCTCAGCCATATTGAATTACAAAATGAGAAGAAAGCCTCGCAAAGAGAAAAGATAACAAGCTGTCTGTTTGAGAAAATAGAAAACAGTTTGCGTGAGTATGGAAGCAAAGATTTTGTTAGTGAAGCTGATTTGACTGGGACGTAAGTCAAATGAACTTGAGTTGGGACTAGATAAAGTGCAACGAATAGCCGTTACGTTCGATGATGAATGAGAAGGGAACGAAAAGAAAAATAAGGAAGAAGGGTAAGTCAGTCGATAGCGAAGTGGAAGGGAAGATATTGGAGAGGGTTGAGTTGGTTGAGAGTGATGATGAAGGAGGGAAGAGAGGAAGTGGTCAAGAGAGGTGGTAGGAGACAAGAGACAAGCGACCGCTAAAGCTCCCGTCAGCATTAGTGGTAGTAGTATCCCGTACGAAACTCTCTCCCTCTCACAACTGTCGGAGACCAATATATACTATCTCTCTTCTCTAATAATACCATAATGGACTTTTTTCTGTGAATAATCATAGTCGTCATCAAACCAGTCTGCGCCCACAATTGCCATTGAATTCGGTCAATAAAGTCGACTCTTCCAGCAACCCAGAGCATTGCGGCATCAACTGTTCCCTTTCCCCCGCACTTTCTCCCGACGCCGTACAAACTGCTTCCGATGACATTTTGGATCCCCATTCATCGAACCAATTCTTCTTCCCAGACAGTTCATGACGATGGCTGCTAGGAAGGGTCAGCAGCAGGTATGCAATGTCTCTCAGCACAGTCGTTATTGTCGCCGAGGTTGATCGAGAACTGATTCTAAACAGGAGATGGTCCAGGTTGGTTCGTACCTCAATAGTTCTCCATGTCTCATAATTCCGAATTCAGTGGCTGATATAGCTCCTCGTTTGCCTCATGCAGATCGTTCCGAGTACGTCCCCAGAGTCATTTCTTAACAGAGGTTGCCTCCGTCGCGTTTGAGCATTAATAAGTGCTCTTTCACTTGTTTCCTGTAGTTCTTGCGCAATTGCTGACCTTCCTCGAAGACGGGCCGGCTCTCCATTCTGGAAAGGCAGATCAGTGCCTCAACCTCAAGGACCTTCAGCTACCCCGACCACAATTGTTGGCGCTTCATACTCTCACGCGAATATCTTAAAGTTTGTCATCTCTAATCTGGTCTGTCCTCGGCCTATGAACTGACCAGGAGCGATCTTTGAAGAGGCATACCACAGCAGCAACCGCGACCCCGTACACCTCCAAAGTTATCATCTACCCAATCGCAGCATGTCTCCCCATCTTCTCATCGATCAGGGACATGGGTCACGTCTCCCCGTACCTCATACTCTGGCCTTGTGAATCAAGGAGTCGACTTATGGCACCCCGACTCGGCAGATGGGGCGAGTGACAATACTGACGAGGGTGATGAGGAGGATATCGTTTACGACGACGATGAGGACGAATTTGGTCTTCCCAGCATTGCGAGTATGCGGAAAAAACAGACCAAAAATGCCATGGAATCTCAGCTCAAAACATCTGATTTGGGTAGCGCTGTGCGTGCCAACAATTCAACCTTGGGGTCAACTTGGCGAACAGTAGACAACGTGCAAACAGTTCGGATATCGCCGAGGAGCGCGGAGTGTCTATGTATCCAACGACGAGAAAGAGTGAAGGTAAAATCCTACGGCCTCAATACAAAGACATCCTGAGAGGTACTTAGCCCCCCTAGAAGCAACTTCCGATCAGATGCTGATTGTCTCTGCTTGAGATCCCGCGAACGCTTTAAATCTTATTGATCATGCACCACCGCCGAAGAATGGGTCGCCAAAGGAGATGGAAATATACTCGAGCAGAATCTCAAGAATCAACAAATTCAAACGTCTACTTCAGACTAGCACCGTTTCCTTATCAGAGTTGAGAAATCTGGCATGGTCTGGCATCCCTGCGGAAGTTCGCGCCATGACTTGGCAAATCCTGCTCGGCTATCTTCCGACGAACAGTGAACGGCGAGTCTCTACACTAGAGAGAAAGCGCAAGGAATATCTCGACGGAGTCCGACAGGCTTTCGAACGCAGCACTAGCCCGGCTTCCGGCAATCCACCTGCTTCCTCCACAGGTCGCGGCAGAGGCCTGGATGAAGCGATATGGCATCAAATTAGCATTGACGTTCCTCGCACCAGCCCTCATATTCAACTCTACGGCTATGAAGCTACACAACGCTCCTTGGAGCGAATCCTCTATGTCTGGGCCATCCGACATCCTGCCAGCGGTTACGTACAAGGAATCAACGACCTTGTCACTCCATTTTGGCAGGTCTTTCTCGGCATGTACATGACGGATCTCAATGTGGAAGAAGACATGGATCCAGGCCAATTGCCGCGGAGTGTGCTCGATGCTGTGGAAGCGGATTCATTCTGGTGCCTCACGAAACTTCTCGATGGAATTCAGGATAATTATATATGTGCTCAACCGGGGATTCACAGGCAAGTGAGAGCTTTGCGCGACCTGACAATGCGTATCGATTCTACGCTCGCCAAACATCTTGAGAACGAAGGAGTCGAATTCATGCAATTCAGTTTCCGATGGATGAACTGCTTGCTGATGCGGGAGATGAGTGTCCAGAACACCATACGGATGTGGGACACCTACATGGTATGCTTCGATAGTCCGAGCGGCGCTCATAGCATCGGAATCATATTAACTCATTGTCAGGCTGAGGAGCAGGGCTTCTCGCGCTTCCACGTATATGTTTGCGCAGCGTTTCTCGTCAAGTGGTCAGACCAGTTGATCAAAATGGACTTTCAGGTAGGTTCTGATATCACTCACATCTAGAATTCCATTGGGATCTAATTGTGCGCAGGAAATCATGATGTTCTTACAGGCACTTCCGACAAGGGACTGGACTGAAAAGGACATTGAACTCCTACTCAGTGAAGCCTTTATCTGGCAGAGTTTGTTCCAGGACTCCCGTGCACATCTACGCCCTGCTGGCGACCGATCACCTGAGAACGGCCTGCATTGACAGCATATATTATTCCATTTCGCCGTCAACCATGCCTCGAATAGGCATCTGCGTCGCTGGAAACAGGGTTTGCCCCTCATCCTCGCCGAGATCGGGGCTCGCCTGCAGCGGGCAAGTCTCTTCCGGTGTTCGCATCCCAGGCGAGACTCACCCACTTGGCTGTCTTATTCCCAGGTCCATCTGCAGGGCCGCATATGGTCGTCTCGCTGCTTGCCGTCGTCTCAAAGCATTAACAACCCTATCCAACATAGCTCACCTTCGACAAAGCTCATTTGGTGGAGCGTTTCTATGAGAGCACCGGTCAACTATCTGGAAATATCTAATGATTTTTCGCGCTTACTATAACGATCTCACAATTTGAGCCTTGCCTCACGCTGCGCGTCTTTGATAAATGCCGCATCCTATTGCCGGCTGATCCTTGGCTTAATTCTCCGGAGAGCCTTTCTCTTCGTGCTAGTAGCATCACTTATGTCCATGCATCATCTTGGACGACATTTGCTCAGCGATGTGACCTTTTACGGGACCCCGATTTAGCCCAGAGAATTGTCTTCTTAAGAGCCAGGCGCGTCTCCGAATTGGCCTGCGATGGAGTTTAGTATGCCATTCGACTAGGTTGCATCTAGACATTGGGTTGAACTTGCTGAAATAGCAAAAGGGCTCCACAGAAAGACCTAGAGCACAATTAAAGGCACAGAGCCCGGTTCTGATGCGGATGTGGACAGTTCGATAGTAGAAACCGCTTCTGCTTTGTAAATAGTTCCACACGCATTCGAAACAGACGGGACGAAGCATACTAAGGGCTCACTCTCCAATGCTGAGGATTACATTGAAGACATCCACTCGGAACCTAGTACATAACTTCTGAGCGTGACTTAGGTGTCATGATTCAAATTCCTTATAATAATATCTCAATTTATTTCTATGTCTCATTCTATCCCTCCTTGTTGCTTGTATGCCTGTGCTATGATGCTGATCTTGGTAGTGAATGCCTCAAAATGCGGAGATTCTGATAAGATAAGCGGATCGGAGATACTTTGTTGCAGGCATCGCCACCCGAAGCTCTACGTCTTCAAATCACAATTCACGTTGCCCTTCTGTTTGTTTTCATCTCTTAGCTACTTTATCGTTGAGCTTCGGTCGAGATGGCCTCAGGTCGGAAGGATTTCCTGAACCAGCCTGCGCCCGAAAATTATGTTGCGGGTTTAGGTAGAGGTGCGACCGGCTTCACCACCCGTTCTGACCTAGGACCTGCGCGCGAGGGGCCTACACCTGAGCAGATTCAGGCCGCTCTTGCAAAGAGAGCGCAACTTCTCGGAGCAGCTCCCCAACCGCATATGGCGCAGGACGCGAAAAGGGTGGACGGGAAGAGAAAGAGGAAGAAGAGGAAGATGAGCGTTTCCAAGATCCGGACAATGAGGTTGGGCTTTTTGCCTACGGGCAATTCGATCAGGAAGATGACGAGGCGGACCGCATCTACAAAGAAGTAGATGAGAAGATGGACAAGCGCCGGAAAGCAAGAAGGTTAGTACATTCCTCCCTCCCATTCCTTGTATCTTGGAGATGCGTTGTTCATCGGGTTTACCCCCGTTGTTTGGACAGACGACCGACTTGATTCCTTCGCCACCTATAGGGAAGCTCGAGAACGTCAAGAACGTGAAGAATACGAACGCAAAAATCCGAAAATTCAACAGCAGTTTGCCGACCTGAAGCGCTCACTAGCCTCGGTTTCAGAAGAGCAATGGGCCAATCTGCCGGAAGTCGGAGACCTGACGGGGAAGAATCGAAGAGCTAAGCAGAACCTACGACAGCGCTTCTATGCGGTACCAGACAGCGTTATTGCCAGTGCAAGGGACTCCACTCAGTTCGAAACCACCATAGCCGATGACGGTACCCAGACGGATGTCCGTGGAGGCGATGCGGATGGCACGATGACGAACTTTGCGGATATTAGTGCTGCCCGTGATAAGGTGCTTAAGGTCAGGCTTGATCAAGCCGCCCGGGGTTCCACTGCTGATTCTTCCTCTGGGAGTGCGACCAACATCGACCCGAAAGGATATCTCACAAGTCTGACGCAGTCGGAGCTGAAAGCTGGCGAAGTCGAGATTGGCGACATCAAACGAGTGCGTGTCTTATTGGAATCCGTAACCAAAACGAACCCTAAGCACGCTCCTGGATGGATTGCACTTGCGCGATTGGAAGAACTTGCTGGAAGAATTGTGGCCGCCAGGAACATCATTGCCAAGGGTTGCGAACTATGCCCGAAGAGTGAGGATGCGTGGCTCGAAAATATCCGTCTGAACGAAGGCCACAATGCCAAGGTCATTGCAGCCAATGCAATCAAGAATAATGATCGTTCCACAAGACTTTGGATCGAGGCCATGAGACTGGAGTCCGACACTCGCGCGAAAAAGAATGTGCTGAGGCAGGCTATTCTCCACGTGCCCCAGTCTGTGGCCATCTGGAAAGAAGCCGTGAACCTGGAAGAAGATCCCGCCGATGCACGTCTTTTGCTGGCGAAGGCAGTCGAAATGATTCCTTTGTCGGTTGAGTTATGGCTCGCTCTTGCTCGTCTAGAGAATCCTGAAAATGCACAAAAGGTTCTGAATGCTGCTCGCAAGGCCGTCCCTACGAGTCATGAAGTTTGGATCGCGGCTGCACGATTGCAGGAGCAAATGGGCACTTTCGAGAAGGTCAATGTGATGAAGAGGGCAGTTCAAGCGCTGGCAAGGGAAAATGCCATGCTTAAGAGAGAGGAATGGATCGCGGAAGCTGAGAAGTGCGAGGAAGAGGGAGCCATTCTCACATGTGGCGCAATCATCCGCGAGACTCTCGGATGGGGCCTTGATGAAGACGATGACCGCAAGGATATCTGGATGGACGATGCGAAGGCCAGCATTGCCAGGGGCAAATACGAGACTGCAAGAGCAATTTATGCTTATGCATTGCGTGTCTTTGTCAACCGTCGATCTATTTGGCTCGCGGCTGCCGACTTGGAGCGTAACCATGGCTCCAAAGAGGCGCTCTGGCAAGTCCTTGAGAAGGCAGTGGAGGCATGCCCTCAGAGCGAAGAGCTGTGGCTCCAGCTTGCGAAGGAGAAGTGGCAAGCTGGCGAGATCGACGACGCTCGACGCGTGCTCGGGCGGGCTTTCAATCAGAATCCGAACAATGAGGACATCTGGCTCGCCGCTGTCAAATTGGAAGCGGATGCGGACCAGACAGATCAAGCTAGGGAACTCCTCGCAACCGCCCGACGGGAAGCTGGCACTGACCGTGTTTGGATCAAGAGTGTCGCCTTTGAACGGCAACTGGGCAACATCGACGAGGCGCTTGATCTGGTTAATCAGGGGTTGCAGCTGTATCCCAAGGCCGATAAACTTTGGATGATGAAGGGCCAAATCTACGAATACCAGAACAAGTATCCACAAGCCAGAGAGGCCTACAGTACTGGTACCAGAGCTTGTCCCAAATCGGTGCCGCTTTGGCTCTTGGCCTCCAGACTTGAAGAGAAGTCCGGTGCCGTAGTCAAGGCTCGTTCAGTTCTCGATAGGGCACGCCTTGCCGTCCCAAAGAGCGCTGAGTTATGGACAGAGAGTGTGCGTGTGGAACGGCGTGCAAATAATATCGGACAGGCCAAGGTCTTGATGGCCAAGGCTCTGCAGGAAGTTCCGACCTCCGGTTTACTATGGAGCGAGAGTATCTGGCATCTCGAGCCTCGGGCGCAACGGAAGGCCCGTAGTTTGGAGGCGATCAAGAAAGTGGATAACGACCCGATCCTGTTTATCACGGTAGCCCGTATATTTTGGGGTGAGCGTCGACTGGAAAAAGCCATGACGTGGTTCGAGAAAGCCATCGTGTCTGACAGCGATCACGGCGACGGCTGGGCTTGGTACTACAAATTCCTGCTGCAGCATGGTACAGAGGTTCGTTCATCTTCGTCCAACTTTGATTTATTGCCATCATGTCCTTGCGACTAACGTGACTTTTCGTACAGGAAAAACGAGCAGACGTTGTGGCCAAGTGCGTCTCGACTGAGCCCAAACATGGTGAGGTTTGGCAATCTGTGGCCAAGGATCCAGCCAACGCACGCAAGTCGACAGAAGAGATTCTCAAGATGGTTGCAGACCGTCTCACACAGTAAATTAAATGTACACTATCAGGTTTTATATTGCATTGTTCAGCCGAGACATTGATGCTATCACGGATTTGGCGTTCTGGAGAATGGCCAGCTCGAATAAGTGACGAATGGCCAGCTCGAATAAGTGACTGATGGGAATGCTTTCTAGAAGCAGAAATGATAGACATCTACATCATTAATCTTATAAAGCAATGACAGCATTGCATCTGATGAGCGATACAGTTCACCAGTGCGATATGTGCCACTACGATGTAAGGCCGCCCATTAACAATAGATAGGTCGATGTGGAACTATCACAAGAGCAATTCTAGTAATATACAGTAAGATGAAGAGGAAGTAGCCTCAGAGAACGACATACAGAGCCATTTCCCGCTTAAGAAAGCTTCATATCTTCTCATCACAAAGGGCCAAGATGGAATTCGACACCCGACATACCCTGATCTGAAAAGAGAGAGGCGGGGAAGGAAAACGAAAAAATAGAAAGCTAAAGAGAACAGTAAATTAACCGAGTCCTGGGTATCAAGCGCGACTCGCAGCACATCCGAGCACCGTCATTTCCATCTCTTCTTCACCATCGCCGCATAAGATCCCTCCAGTAAACTGCCAAGGCTGTGCGAACCTTGATGTCTTTCGACGTCGCTTCAAAGCAGAAGCCTACGAAGCAAAACTCCACCAATAAACAAACACAGGGACAACAAGAGAAAAAGCGGAAAGAAATAGTACAACAGAGATTTCAGTTCGAACTCCATGCCAAATGCAAACTCATGATGTCCAACCAATGACAACAGTCCTCTGTGACTCCAAAGACGCCTTAACAGCTGCCACCTGTCCAGACCGGCATGCTGCTGTCCTTGCGCAGCAGTAGAAACATGCTAAGCACATGCAACTAAGAAAGCATAAATGAACTGGAGAGTGAGGAGGAAGGGGAAGGAGAACAAAGGGAGGGGGAGCTGGTCTTCCGATGGGGCCATTAGAGACCATCTTAGACATAACAGCCAGGGAGACCGACTGTAAGTCGCCAAACGAACGCTCATGAGGCCAGAGAAAGGCACTCATCTAGTAACGATCCCAATTGAGCCCGATCTACCGCGGTGGCTCCTTCCCAGTCCAGCAACTCTGCATCGTCCTCCACTTCCATTTCGTCTGCGAACTGGGCCGGTCTTGTGTCATTATCGGCAGTGTCGACAACTTCGTCGGTTTGCTCTTGTTTGTCGGTCTCGAATTCATCCTCGAAATAACCTCCCATAATATGATCGACAATAAGAGGCATATGACTGAGCACTCCTCCTCCAATTTCGAGCGCTAGTCGAAGATCGCGGACTCCGAGAGGCTTCCGATTCCTAGCTTCCTTGGCCTCAACGGGTAGAAGCCCTGTCGCGCTGTCTTTAACGATCTCGCCGCGAGTATAAGCTAGCTCCTCTAGCTCAAGCTGCTGTCGATATTTGCGCATCATCATGCCGTTGATCGTGCCAGACGGGCCATTACACCTGGTACGGGAAAACACCACGGATAGTACTTCCTTAACGAAAGTCTCTGTTGCAATCGCCATAAACTCAGCACACGGGAAGCCTGCACCGCTAACTACAGACTCCTCATAGCATATCGGTATCATTCGCGCATGTATTGATTCGGCGTCTGGAAATTCGCCAGTTTCCGATGCCAAGGGTTGCGCGTAGCGTTTCCGAATCTCTAACTCCCAATCTGGTGGTCACCGACCAGTTAGTCCGGCTTGATCAAAGCAGTGTTCAAGATGTGTATGGACTCACTCGTTTTATTCAAACCCCCAGCACTAGCTGGGACTTGGCTAGGGAGCTTGATCTGTTTCGCGAGATGATATTCTTCCACTTCATTTGGCACGACCTCATGAGGGTCACGCTGGTTATGATGACAAAGTCAGAGCCCGTCATAATCCACAGAATCCCCGGTGACATACCTCTGGAATCGCTTTTATTCGCCGACGGTCTCTGGGAGGTAACTGCATAACCTCTGTCTTCAACCTTGCCTCCGCGGCATCTCCAGAGGAGGGTTTCGATACGACCGACGGCTTGTCGTTCGCTGACACCCAACTTGCCACGCCATGGTCGGGGAGATCTCTTGTGAGGTTCCCTATGACCGCACATATAAAATTGTTGTGGAGGTGTTCGGTCTTCTGGTCGGCGCAAACTATGTGATCAATGCGCGACGCGAGCTCATTTTGATTGAGATGTCCTGCCACAGAGGATCGGTCGTCAGCTCCATGACGAGCAAAAGAAGCGAAGCGAAGCAAGTAGTAAGAAGGCGCACATACCCAGAAGGAATAGAGTTGTAGATTCTTTGTACTCAGCCCAGTTTTCACCGATAGCGGCTTTTAGTTCCGTGTATATAGGTTCGAGATCCAATCGCGGAACTGATATCAAAGCCTTCGTAGACTTTTGTGTCGTCGCAGGGCCAGGTGCTGCGGTCTTGGATGATGCTGTCGCAGTTGATGCAGAGTCTGTCCGACTCAGGGCTGCCGGATCGATCTGCATGATTGCAAGGCTCGCAGAGGCGCGACGGGCTGCGCGAAGCCGGAAGTGGGGAGAACTAGGCCTTCATTAATGAGAATACATGCCATTAAACTGGCCCCCGATCTGCTCTGGAGGTCGCGGATGATAAAGGATCGCACAGATGGGCGAAATCTCGATGAAAAAAGCGGCGCGTTGATGACCGAGGCGATGGAAGGAGGTCGGGGGTGAATCGTGGAGGTGGACTTCCCCGCCAAAAGCAGAAAGATGAGGTTCCAGTCACGACAACCAACCGCAATTGCGACCAGGCGTAGAGATCGCAGAGAGGACAATACTACAGAGATACCTTGATGATTTAAGAGGTAATGGACCATTGGTAAACTAAGTATAGAGCTCCAAAGAGTTTCGGTCAGGAAACGCCTAGTAAACTAACTTTACTACATCCTCACTGAGCACACCGAATAATCTACCAATCTCTTCCATAATTTCCACAATCTCGGTGGATAATTGACCCGTCACCAAAACTTCAATTAAGGTCAGTCAATGTCAGATCAATTTGCAATATGCAGCTCCATAGAGCGTCCATGCGTTCATGTGTGACGGTAAGGGACCAGGCTCAACTTACTGTAGGCATAGAGCAAGGCATAATCTTCGTCCGTTGTCAGCCGAGAAGCCTCAGGGTCCTTGCGATAGTGGAATATACGGGCAAGAAGTCGATCTCTTGCATGCTCAATGTTCGGAAGTACATCGATCAGCGGATATTCCAATTTCATAGAAGACGCCATAACTGCCAAGTGTCAGCTGGTTCAGAACACAGCAAAGTGTTAGGGATGTGCAAGAATCTACCTGATAATAAGTGGCTGATGCGAGCAGACAAATGCTCTCTTTCCTGAGCTGTATAACTGAGCAGAGCCAGTTCACCTTCTGAAGCAGGCACATTTTTGATCATCTCTAGATTCATGGCGTGGAATGCGTCCACCATGCTCCTTGTGCGACGGAGTATATTGCTGTATGCAGCATCGGGAAACGGACTCTTCAGCTCAAATTCTGCACGAGCGGCAGCTTGAAGAGCTTCCAGACGAGAGAGAAACCGCTCAATCTCCAGCTTCTCTCTTGGAGTCATGAAGCCTGTGGAACTTTCCCCTTTCGCCAGTAGGGACAACGGGTAGCGTTTCCAGATCAGGCTCATACGAAGCCATAAGAGGCTCAGGCCGTCCTTGAGCTCCTTGCGCGCGCTAATAGGCCAAATGAGCCGCGTAATGATGATACCCCAGATGCAGCCAGACAAAACCGCTGCAACTCGATGGAGCGTTATGTCGGTGATGATGGGAGAATCGCCACCCTCATCCTGGTCATCACTGCCCTCTTTTTGCGTCAGGGAGTACGCGTACAGTACGGAAAGATTGTAGGTGAGCATAATGAATCGACCCATCGGTCCTTTCCCCATGACAACGATTATATAAGATGTCCAAGTTGCCATGAGCAGACCGAGAATGGCCAGTCCAAAAACGTTCCCATCGGTCACGTACCATGCCGTAATGGCACAGAGTGCTCCTAGGCATGTACCCAGGAATCGAGAATAACCAGTGGTATTGGACGCCCCGATTGTCATAGAACACACCAACATGTAGGATAACAAGCCCCATTCACCTCTCCAGTGAGAATAGAAAGGCCGTGTGGATTTAAGGAAGGCTGGCAAAGCGTACAGGGCTGCTCCTGTGCCGACCTTGATCGCGAACTTTGTGTCTTCACGTCGGAATACTCCAAGAGATTTCCAGATTCGATAACTGAGGCGCTCCTTCGCGGGCAGTTTTTCCGCGCGTTTTGTTGGAGGTGTCTGTCTACCTTCCAGTCCGAAGGGACTGATAGAGGCCACAGGAGTCACCCCTTCTCCTACCGTTGGCCCAAGTAATGGTTGTTCTGTACGATCTTTCCATTAGGGCCAAGTAGATAAGAAGCGTTTGTGCCAGCTTGATAGAACTTACCAGAATCGACAGGCTGCGTGTTCTGCGTTTCGGCTGTTCTCAACCGCCATACTTTTAACCAGTCCCATGATCTCCCACTAGGTCTCTCCTCGGCTTCGAGTTGTAGTTCGTCTAAGATTGCCAGCAGGTCTTTCAGCTGTTCGCCAAATTCCAGTAGTGAGAAACTGAAATGACCGCAGCTGGCAGAAACTTCCTCGAGATCCGCTTCTACCTCCGGCGTTTGGATCTGTAAAAGTTCCTTCTGGCGGTAGAGAACCTTCAGAGCCTTCTCTCGCGATTCTTGATAAAGTTCCAGCGCGCGATCAAGACTAACATGGAACCTACTGTTGACAGAGACTTTATAGTCAGGCGCAGGCGTAAAAGGGATCTCTTTGAAAATTTCTTTCAAGGTGAAAGCAAGGGACCGCTGTTGACAGTTAGCATAAGCTCGGCGTGGTTCAACCGCAAAGAGATTGACATACCATGGAAGGCCCTAAGTGACTGATGAACAGCGCAAACAAGTCTTCGGGTTGAAGGGTATGCTCGACAGAAGATCCTTCGTCTCGGGCCGGATTAGGATCAGAGTGGTCTTCACTGTGTCGGTGATCATCTTCAGCTGCTGCCTCTTCGTCTCCTCCAAGTCGTTGTTCAGGCAGCTCGTCAATTGATTCGAGAAGTGTACTGTGCCCGTGCGAGGAGTACGGACTTGGCAATGGCACATGGTCAGTACCATTGGGCGCATGCTTTCTATCGCGGTAAGATACTGGATCAACCAGCTTCGCTTGCTTCAAAAGTTGAAATTGCAGCGAAGCAGCACTGCGTAGTCCTCCCATATTGTGCGTGATATCTTGGACCCATCGAACCAAGTTCTTTTCTAGCCTGTATTCCTTCTCTGTCCCCGCGACGTAGTGCTCGAGCTTTGCCTCTCGGACAAGCTTATCGAGTTGGGCATATGCCTTTTTGTGTCTCTCAGCTGCGTCGAGGAACTCGGCCGTCTGGAGTTCCTCCTCAGAGCCACTCAGAAAGCTGTCCGTAATGAGAGCCAGCATGATTGCCAGAGTCTCGGTCACAATAGCGAGGTTCGAGCGTAGCTTTTTCCGCGCAGATATTGGGAATATCAAGAATGACACGGTCATGGCAGCGGCGACGCCCATGATGACCATCTTCAAAACTTGGACGACCTTGGTGAAGGACAAGTCTCCGCTTTGCACCGCACCTTCTTTCGTGAGTACGGTGATGGACGCAAGCGAAGCAAGGGAACAAGCGACATTCACAAGCGGATCGCCGAAGCTTTGCTTCGTCCATCCTATGAAACCCAAGCCACCTCCGCAGAACACTATAAGAACAACGGCATGGCCAACTGCGCGCATGTCCAGCGTATCCTGGAAGAACATGCTAACACACATGCTCGTTAGGGAAATGAAGGCTGCGTATAGGAAGGCCAAAAGAGCGCAAATCAGCGCCTTATACATGCTCCCTTGTGTCCGCGCTGGATGGAAATATACTGTGACAGTAGCCACCACATGCTTGCCATCTTGATGGCCCAGGAAGGCCGCAACTGCGGGAATGAAAGTAGCAAGAGACCCGAGTAGGTAGGCCAAACTGCATTTCAAAACCCCTATTCCGGGCTCGGAGGTGACAAAATCACGCGTCCAGTGCCATATTTCTGAGACTTGACTCCAAATCCGCGATATAACGTCTTGACGGTCCGCGGAGACCTCCCCGGAGAGAAGGCCCCGTCGCTCCTCATCATCATTGCTGGTTACAATATGTGAGCTTCGTAAATTGACAAGCCCTCTTAAGCGTTGACCAGTCTTTGGTAGAACAAATGTCGCTTGTCGAAGCTGCTTGAATTACAAAAGTTAGAATTGCCGATGTCTAGATGTGAGAGCTGGGGAGTGCGATCCATGTTACCTTCGTTGGGCGCAGAAAGCGACGGGAACCTCGAGACGAGTCCCCAGACAGAGACATGTTACCAGCTCATTGTCCTTTGCCTTTCGCAAGGCACACGAAAGAGCCCATTACTGTGAACTTATGCAGTATTATTGGGTAGCGAGTCGCATATGTTCAGCAGAAGCTTTGTTGACGCTGCCAGGACTGTTTGGGCGATCACTTTGGGGGAGTCCACTTTAGGCTTTAGGCCGGTGTGGAGCGCGCGCCAACAGCCATTACGTAGTGATACCAGTGATGCATAGCTACTGCCACGTCCTTTGAAAAGCATCGATTACGCGCTCAGACAAAAGAACGCTTATAATTATTGTTACAATATGTAGTCGAACAAAAGATAAATATGTGCAGATGTTATGCTATGATTCTGACAATATATCCATCAACAATCCGCAAGCCCGAAGCATGATTAGCAATCAAGTGATACAAGCTCCAATGATGACCTTCACTATCGCCTTGCGCATTGAGATGACCCTATTCCAAGCCTTCTACCTTCCAAACCTTGACTGCGGCATCAGCGCCGGCAGAGGCAATCCTGGACCCGCCGGCAAGCCAGGCAACACCATTGACACCCTCCTTGTGAGCATTGGACACTTGCAACCAATCTCCTTGGTTGGCTAAACTCCACACAAATATGTTCGTATCCAAAGAACCGCTCGCTAAGAGTGTGCCACTTTCGTTCCAGGCAATAGAAGTAATTCTTGCTGTGTGTGCCGTCCAACGGTCAGTGACCAGACTGCCGTCGGCCACCTGGTACACGAGCACGCGGCCTCGCGAGTCACCAATGGCAAGCAGAGACCCATTGGGCGAAAAGGCAAGAGCAGACACTGGGTTCCGAGAGGCTTTGATGTCTGTCTTTGGAGACAGACTCGAATTGGAAATTTCGCAGATCTGCACGGTTGAATCTTCGCCTCCAACCGCCGCGACATTGCCACGAGCAGCGACAGCAGTAACTGTGGATTTTGGTTTGAAATCGCCGGTCTTCTTTCCGTCCTTATAGATCTCAATGCCTTCGGATGTACCCACCAAAACTGTCGAGTCACCGGCTGCGACACTCTTGGGCTGCCCAGAAAGCTTGGAGTTGCTTCCAGTGTATGTTCTGGCGCCGACATCGACGGACCGTAACGTATCATCCCAAGCCACACTGTAAATCCTGCCAGTTCCTTCCTGTGTCGACGCGAGGCCTGCGACATATGCCGAATGGCAGTCCCCATCCGCCTCCTCAGCGGCTCCAGTCGATACATCCCAGCTGCACACCCTTCCGTCAAAGCTGCCGGTCCACAGTGTCTCGTCCTTGCCCTCTGAGGAGGATTGAGTCAAGGATGTTATGCTCTTCTGATGACCTTGAATTACCTGTCGGGGCTCAGGTGTCCCTTCGACCAGGTAGTTCAGGTCACCGCTGAGTGATAGACTAATAAGCAGATTGTCGCTTCTGCCAGAAGGCCAAACAACACCCACTTGCTGATCGCGGACGTTGGAGTTTCCTTCCTCTCCCAGGGTCCAGCTCTGACAGACCTTGCCTGCCTCCGCATCCCAGATTTTCACGGTTCGATCAGCGCTCGCGGTGACAAACTTCTTCGAATCCTTCGACCATGACACGCTGAAGATACTTCCTTTATGCTCTCCTTCGCCAATCTGACCTTTAGGTTCGCCAGTCTTTCCGTCGTAGAGCCAGATCTTTCGATCGGCACCAACACTAACCAATGTCGAACCATCGGGGCTGAATCCAACTCCGTATATGTAATTCGTGTGCTTGTCCCTGATTCCTGTATTGAATTTGAATGGCGCTCCGTGGTAAAAGACTAGATTCTTGTCGTCACCAGCGGCTGCCGCTCTCAGCGGTCTTTGTTGCCTGATGGAGACGGAATTGATCTGCTGTGTATGTCCATAGATCTCACCAACAGTGTTGCCACTATCCCATGTGATGCAGTGGCCGTATCTCTGCTTTCCATCACCAACGGCGATGATGCGCTGAGAGTCGCCGTCCCAGGCCAGATCATTGATACGACCGTTAACAATGCTGTATTCGCCCTTTGTGATTCCTTCACCGACGCAATCCCAAACCCTTACTAGACCAGTAGCGTCACCACTGGCAACGTAAAAGCCAGAAGGCGAGAAGCGAGCAACTGTCGTCTGTGCCTTGTGTTCGGTATACTGCCTGGCGATGGAGGGGTTATCGATCGAACGCAAGAAGATCGATTTACCGGACTGTATGCCAAAATTTGTCAGCTATCGTTGATTCTGATAGTCAGCAAAGCTTTCACCATGATATTCATACCGCATAAGCCAAACGTTCTCCTTTCGCATCCGAGGATAACTGGGTGGGCTGACCCCTCGTGGTGGAGGGGCTCGCGGCCCAGATGGATTCTACGAGTCCAGTCAGTATTCATACCGCTTAAAGCAAGGAACAGAGGGAGTCAACCATTGGTGATGGGCATGACTGGACCAGCAGACAATGACAAATGATCAATAATATAGAAACGCACAGGGCAGGGGGGAAAGGAGCAGACTAGATAGTTGACAAGGTTGAAGATGGGGGATTGTTTACTCCACCACTACGTTCAACGGGGTCCTTTGACGTATGCAGGTAATAGTGGGGAAAGCCAGTTGAGCAACCACAACCAAAACCCCCTGGAACAGTGAAGCAGGAATGATCTAAAATTCTAAAGAAGCAATCCCGATTGTGTAAATACTGAGGTGACGGTATAGATTCTATCCATAACATAGCCCTTCTTAATCCAATCAATAGTAGTAGTACAGGTATCTCCCATTGCGAACATCTTGGGGATTGATAAATGTGGTAAGACATAAAAATTAAACAACTCCGGCCGTGCATATTTCGACATCATATTGAATACACGCAAACGAGCTCCCGCGTCTAATAGATGGGGGTTCCCTCCATCCTCGCCTTTGCTTCCGCCGCCAGAATCTCGGGATGTCTGTGGACACTTGGCATGAGGCCAATGCCGATTGCTCTCCGAATAGCCTTTGCAATCTTGCGCTGGTTGACGGGTCGTAGGCCGGTTGCGCTTCTGTGCTTTATGCGGCCCATTGGGGTGATATATTCGGACATTATAGAAAAGTTCTGTGGTGGGAATAATGCCTGGTTAGCCATCTACTGCGTCTTTGCCTGCGAACGAGAACGAGAGCATAGCGTTCTGGATTCCAAGCGAACCTTGTAAAGATCAAGCGGATTCATGTTCAAAGCGTCAAAGGCATCTGCTGCCGGGCCCTGGCGCTTTCTCCACTTCTTCATTTCTGCCGGACTGAGATCATGGGGAGCGTAGATATCACCCGCTTTCCAATCACGAGTCTGAAACTTCTCTAGGGCCCTACTTTCACCTTGGGCCTTCTGGTCCTCGAGGAATTTTTGGCGGTTTGGTAGGCGACGGCGCTGGAACACTCTGTCTAAACACACAAGTCAACAGCAGGTCCGAAAAGCATTCCTTCACAAAGATTTCTCAAATTATTCTTCGAGAAATAAGGGACAGGAGGTATGCGCACTTTGAAACACGGCAGCAGTACGTTGATGGGCTGTCTTGCTGGGCAGACTTGAACTCCATCGGCAGGTCGAGAAGGAACCAAGACTTGAGCCCAATGATCGAAGAGGCGATGAAGAAAGGATATTGAAAACCATCTTGTCGTCACTATCTTCACCCAGCCTTCACACTTCAGGCTGAAGAACGTTTGAAGATGAGACGAGAGCACTGCTAGATTCTGGATCGGAGACTGTCAGGAAGTGGAGCAGATCAGTTCGGATTTCTTTTCGCTGCGCCAAGAGCCGCACCACTTCCACTGCTGTCACCCTTTCATTGCTCTTTTCATCAACGTCCAGCAAATCCGAGGGACTCTCCGCATTTCTCAATGATGCAAATTGGCACCCTTTGACTCTATTAAATCAATAAATATTCTGGATCGGCTCTCGAGCCTCGAGGGATTGTGTCAAGACCTATCTGCCAGCTGGTCGCTCTTCCGGCTTTTATCAACATGCAATCCCATCTTACCAGACGAGTGTTTCGAGCCATCCTGAATAATGAACCGTTATTTCCCTTGCAACGTTGCAATCGACTTCTTCACATTACGCGACATCACCGGGCTCGGAGGCTAGACATTATCAATCCCCACCATGCTCAACGACGGAGTCTATTCGCGTTCAACATGGCACCCCCAGCCAATACTCCGCAGTCTGCAACTCTACCTTCTGAGGCCGGCTTGAAACCGATGAGGGACTTAAAGAGAGCGCTGTCTGACAAAAGTAGGGGTCCGGCGCTCGGTGTATTGACAAAGGCGTTTCATGACTTCTTCGTGGCGCGAGCGGAGAATTCCGAGGTCATTACCGGGTATCAGGCGCAACTGCTCTCTATGACATGGAAATACGTGAGGTCTCATGAAGCCGAGCTGGAAGCTGAAGATTGGCAGACAATGTATTCTACAGAGAACCTTGAGAATGTGCTGTTTGTCCTGTCGGAAGCCAAATGCCTTCCGGAATCGCGTGATGCCGTTCTCAAGGTAGCTCGTTTCGCTTTTCTGGAACTGTGTGCTGATCATGGCTATGGTGCCCATAATATTAGTCGACCTGCCCTCTCTGCCTATATCAAATTCCAAGCCTTGAATGGCAACCCGGAGGAAGCACGGCATGTTGTCGAGAGGTTTTGGAGCAGGCTGCGCAAGACCAAGCCCTCGCCATGGCTTACAGTGATGAGAGGCTTCGCCATGAACAATGATAAGCAGCAACTTCGCTGGACCACTAAGAAGAAATTCGATGAGCTCGGTATCAAATTCGATAGCGAAACTCACGAGCAATTGGTCAAAATGCTCATTGAGCAAGACTTACTGTCGGCTGTCAAGATCATGTATGAGTGTCCAATCACTGGTGGCATCGAGCCTACGCTTGCTACCAAGGAAGCTGTGGTTAAATATGCGCTTCTCAAATCCGAGATATCGTGGGCGAAGCCTATCGTTGAGTCAGTCTCTCAGGCGTCCAAATCAGAGACTGTGGGCACGATGTTGCTGTGGGAAGCGGTCCATGGCAAGAGCGCCTCTGAGATCTCGGAACTGCTCCAGGCATGGGCATTAGAAGATCCGAACGTGAAGACAGCGCTTACTGCCTCTCACATCAATAACCTCATTCAATACGCCAATTCCATCAAGGACCCGCAGCTTGCCACCGACTTCGCCGCCCTAACTTCTCAATGGAATGTTGTGCCAGATACGCAAACACGTCTCCTGCGGTTGGAAGCTGAAATTATTGCTGGCAACGTGAGACGGACGATGGAATTGGTGGAAGATCTACAGGACGTCGGCTCATTCACACTTGAGAATTTGCCATTAATGAATAGGCTCCTAAGTATGCTTTGCTTGCTGGGGAAAGATGATGCGTTGTACGACCGTGTTTCGTCTTTTCTGGACCCATTATTTGAAAACAACGTCCGTCTAGAGGCAGACACCCTCGCAGCGCTGACGCACCTCTTGCTCTACCGGCACGACTGGGAAGGCGTCTCAGAATTGCTTCGCCCCCGTCTCGGATCGTACGACTCGGAGGAGAGGACGAAAATCCGGCAGGCGCTCACTAATCACATCTTGGACACCAGTCAGGATAGTGCAGACGCGTGGGAGGCATACGGATTGCTGCAGGTCGCCTTTCCAGAAACGGGAGTGAGCATGAGGACTGAGATCATGACGTCCTTCTTCAAGCGCAAAAGAGGCGATCTGGCGGTCCTCGTGTTTGGGCATATGCGCCAAGCGGAGGACTTCGCGCGCCGGCCGAAGCCTGATACTTATGCGCGGTGTTTCCAAGGCATTGCTCAAATGCAAGACGCTAAGAACCTGGAGCTTGTCCACAACATGCTCAAGCTGGATGTAGAAGTGGACCTCAACACCCGACTCCTAAACGAGTTGATGCTGGCTTACGCCTGTTGTGATATGCCAGATAAGAGCATGGAGATCTTCCGCGACATTCTGCAGTCAGAGGAAGGACCGTCAACCAGGACGATCTTGGCCTTCTTCAGGATGTGCGAGAAGCACCATCATGGAACCCAAGAGGCGATGAGGATGATGGACAAGGTCAAACTACTCGAGATCGAAGTTGACCGCCGGCTGTATACGGCATACGTCGAAGCGTTGGCTGCACAGTGCGAGTTTGAGCTTGCGACTCAGGCGATTAACAAGATGCAAGAGGAAATCGGATACTCTCCGACTTACGACTCGTATGTCACCTTTCCTCTTAACAGACCCTTTATTTTGGCGCCGTTTTTGGAAACACTGCTAACGATTCATGTTTTAGTATTGGCCGCCTTTACAATGCCATTCCTTATCAATACTGGAAAGATGAGGTCGAAAAGTGGGCCAAAGCGCACTACCCGGAGCAATGGGCACAGCTTGAGAAACTCGAACGCACCGATCATGAAGAGGGCTTCAAGTTTGAGTTGGATAGCCGATAGTCCTGGCCTGTAGGGGCATTCATTCATTGTACATATCTTATACGCTGCAGCATTCTGTACAATATAATCAAGAACGAAGTATCGGATCAGATCAAAGCGAACCGCCCCCTCTTGGTCTTCCAAGGCCATGTACCATACCTTCGTTCTTCCAGCCAACACATACCTTGGTCGTGACGCGACGGCGCACTCTGAGTATTTCAACATCGCTTGAGGTTAAATCTAGGGTCCGCAGCCTGCGGATCCAAGTGTGATCCCGAAGCTGCTAAAATGACCTGCTGTCACGCCTACCATGCCATTCCCAGCGGAGCATTGCAGATCCCTCTCGCCAGAGCATTTGAGGGTAGTGGCTGCAGTACCGTAGCTGTAATACTCCTACAGGGACACCGAATGAGCAAAAGGAGAAAGAATTGGCAGTTTTGCTGGAGGACTTGGGGACCCCGAAATCCAGCACGGAGAGACTTACAATTCCATAATGAACAAAGTTATACGGCGCCGTGACATACATGTTCTAAAAGCTCATAGCGTTAGCACTAACATCCAATTCTAGTCAGCACCTCAGTTCCCAGCATAGCACTTACGGGAACACCATCATTCGCATTATTTCCCCGGATAAGCGTCCCGTTCTGCGCGGTGCCAAAGTCGGCAAATGCCTGGTTGCCAATCGGGAATGCCGCGAGGGCATTGCTTCTGAGCGACTTGGTTGGGAAGTTCTGCGCCAAAGCGATATAAGACATGTACGTCAGGGCTCCGCCAAGCGAGTGTCCCGTGGACTCGAGGGTATATCCCGGATACTGGGCGATCAGGCTCTGGACCTCGGCGATGACTTCGTCGTGGACAGCGGCCCAGGGTCTGTACACGCCGTTCATGATGGTGACGCCAGAGGGGAAGCTGACGCCAGCTAAGGTCGGAGTGACCTGGGTGGTGTCGACGTCGTTGAGGATATCCGTAGCCGTGGTCGATCCTCTCATGACGACCGCGATGGTCCTTTTCGTGGTCGAGTAGCCGATATAACCCTAGGCTCATTGCACGCGTGAGCGACGGTCCAGCCACACTATGATTCTCAATGAACAACAGGCTAAGGCACCTGGGTATCGGTTGCCAGATCATAGATCTGCTTGGTGATGGTGACATCGAAAGCAGAGCCCACGCAGCCTGTATAAGCAGCAGAGGAGAGCTCGGCCGCTCGCTGCAAGTCTGGGAAAGCGGATGGATCTGCCCCATGTCAATTAGACAGACAAGTACCTGTACGGTCACAGTCTCACGAACTGGAGGTAGCCCGAGATTCCAGCGAGGGTGCAGCACACACAAAGGACGCCAAGGACAGTCCCGCAACGATAACAGAAACCTGGGAAAGCATCCTGTCCTTATGTAGATGTCTAGTCGAAACTGAACGCTGCGATTCAATGAGAAGACCGCTGATGAAAGCGGCCATCCAGCAAGCCATTCTGGAGGCTCTTATACCATAATCTGCCTTCTCCAACCGAGGCTGAGGCCTCAAGAAAGCCCACGATGCATCAATCTGCCATTGGAGATTTCTCTCTGCTGTTCGTCACAACGACAATGGCACGGGCACCCAGCCCCCAATCACCCTGAAACGCCCAGTTCAACCGCTGCAGTACGAATTGACGCAGTCACCTCGCATGTCATAGCAAAGTAGAGGACTCTCCTCGTCCTCCTTTCCGGAAAATCCCACCAACAACCCTCTCGTCCTGTAAGCTGAAGCAGGTTCCCTGCCAGTAGACTCGCATACTCTTCCCAATCCAGACACCCATCATGCGTATCCTTCATCAGGCGCAATGACAAGACAAGAAACCAAAGCACGACCTCGGCAAAGCTTCATGCCACCTTTCCGCCAGCTCTGAATGGCCAGAGAAACAAACAAGACACCTTGCAGGAACAAGCAAATCCTCACAAGTGCCGGTTCTGCCGGCATCTGAAACCGAGGCCGATGATGCAGTCTACAGATGCAGAAGTTTGCTCCGTTGAAAAGTCTCCATTGGTCGATGATATCAGTATGCCGGGGGAATTGTGACGCGTCGGGGTCAGAGAAACGAATATGAACACCTTTTTAAGATAACCGAGCCTGTCTAGATGCATCTGCAACCTGGGAAAAGAGCTAAATACTTGAGACGGCGCCGCTACCCCGCATTTCGCTACAATGTTGGTCTTAGTGTTCAACCAGGATATCTCTTTCGTGGGGTTGTCTCCTCAGTCGGCTGCAATGGGAGAGGCCGGAGGTGCCGTTAGCCGTCTGGACTCATCCTGCTCATGAAGAGTGGTAATAGATCACGACAGTTCCTCCTCTTCAAGACTTTCCATCGAACTAGAGCATCCAAGCCGTGCTCTAGATGACTAAGATGATGAGTTGGGGTGGCTGAGGGCTCTGCATTGAGGAAGCAGTAGACGGGTCCAGCCAAAAAAGGAAATGGAGATTCTCCTTCACTCCATCCTTGCTTCTAACACAGTTTGTGTGAGACGGTAATACTGCTACTCCAAACCAGCCTAAAGAAAAGAAAAGAAAAATTGAAAGAAAAAGATCTGCTATTCATCAATTACTCATAACCTTTTTACTCAGCCCATGTTCCCATGCAATGTCAATATTAATGTGTGAAGAACCGCCTTTGCGGTCTTTTTGAAACCCCCGGCAAATGCAAAATCATGAATCTAGAGAGCACTCAAGTGTCCTTGTCTAACTATATATTATGAGAGCTTAACTGCGGCAAGCCGTTGGGTCATGCTGTGGTATGTGGTTAGATCCAGGATAAGAAAAGGATAAGAACCAATACAGCAAGGGGACGACTCACAAATCAAAGAATGAGAACTGGCTAGGACTGCTACCGTGCTTGTATACGAATCGGCTCGCAAGATAGCTGCCGAAGATAGCGCGCAGATAGTTCTCCGGAACCTATCCAAATTCTGTCAGTTTCTCGCTTCAGCGTAACAAAGTCGGGGGGAAACGCACCCGATGAAGAATGGTGTCCAAACCAATCTTGTCCAGGAGAAGATTGGGAAGGGCATCGCTCAAGACAGAGCGGCGGAGCTCTACATTATCCCACAGGTTCGTCTTTTGCAACTCCTCATCCAGCTGCGTAATGGCAACGCTGAGTCGATCACTCAACACGCTGCGCAAAACGCCAGTCTGCTCATGCTCGCGCCAGATCGCCTCAAATTCCAGTGTGGCGTTGGACTTGATGATCTCCTGCACTTGCTTGACGTAGTCGCTGTAGAACTGTGGTACGGTGCCGTCTTCCCGGATGCACATGTTCTCGACAAACTCCTGGTCGTCAAACGAGAGCGAGGCCAGAACTTCCAGCGATGACGATGTCACACCACCCTTGTTAGCCGAAGCATCCTTGAACAGAATGCATCCGGCGCGTTCAAGGCGCAACTTGCTGTCCTGGGTGATGAACAGATTGGCACCCTCGACGATGTACGGAATGACAGACTTGCCATTTTGAATGAGCTTTCCAACAGTGGACAGGTCGATGGACTCGGGCCGTCCACCGCAAGGCACAAACATGTCGTAATGCTGGTCGGAGCGCAAGTGGAAAGTGTTTCGGAACAGCATCCCATTGTGCACGACCTCGCCGCTGGGAAGCTTGACGTCGCTCTCATCCACCAGGACGCGGTAGCCCTCAGGAGACAATTTCGACAGATCAAATTCGGAGATGGTGACTCGCTTCTTAGCCAGTCGGATAAGCTCCTGGTGATCCAGACCGTGAGGGTCGACAATCACACCGGAACCATCAACAATGGCGGTGTACTTTTCGTTGGCAAGCAAAATTTCGTTGGACCCCAGATCACCGTCGGGACCGCCAGTCTGGAGTTTGCGGATGTTGGAGGGATCGATGCCCAGTTTGCGGTAGATACCTAGTACATACTGGCGCACTGAAAGGGTAGTCATACCGTACGTATCGTGAGGAATACCACCTAGCCTGGGGCTCTTGCCCGTGAAGAAGGACTTCCACCACGGAGCACCACGGTTGCGCGCATGTTCTGTGGCCCAATCGACCAACTCGGCCGTGTTCTCGTCGGGGCCCATGAACAGAATCTCATCCTTGCCATGTAGATCAACGATGGGGTCCTTGATGCCCGGGCTGGCTGGCGGCAATAGGAGATCCAGAATGCTGTCGATGTACTTTTCAAAGGCGACACGAGCCTTGTCCTGGTGGTTAACATCCAGCAGAATGACACCCTTAGCACCTCCTTCCGGAATATCCTTGTTCTTGCGCTGTTGCGTGTTTGCCAAGTTGTAGTTTTCATCGAACAGGGAGCGAGCATTGATGCTGTAAGCTTCCTTGTTACGACTCTTGACAATACGGATACCACCCCGAGCAATGTCGCGGAAACGCAGGTGGAATCCGCGGAACTCGGAGCTGATCACAAGGAACATGCCGTACAGACGCTGTGGGTACTCGTGTTCGGGCAGGAAATCAGGGTTCAGTCGGAAGCTGAGAGCCACCTTCGTCGGCGTGAAGAAGTTGGTCTTGAGAATGGAGGTGTTGAATACCCGGAAGGCGCTCATGACCATTTCGTCGTGCTCGTTAGCAACGGTACTGGAAATGAGCTGCTTCAGTCTCGTGCTGTCCAGGACTTCGTCGACCTGCAAGCGCAGGTAGCTGAGCGTTGGCAGGAAGTCATCCTCCGAGGCGCGAGTCTGCACATAATGGGTGTTGGCAAAGTCCAGGTAGAGCTTGTGGATTAGCTCCGGGTATTTGTTAATGATCTCGAAAATGTAGTCGGCCGTAAAGGTTTCAGTACGCAGCCGCTTCTTGATCTTCGAGAGCAACTCCTGATGGACGCTGTTGTTGGCGTCAAGCACGGCAGCCAACGAGGTGTATTCAGAGCCGAGACGGTTCAAGAACTGCTGCACGAACACCCACGCGCAATGAGCGTAGATGGTCTCCTGCAAACTCAGGCGGCCAACGGCGAAGTGGTGCTGGAAGCGGTTCTGAGGAATGCAGTAAAGAAGAGAGGTCTCCTTGATGATCTGGTGGATGGCTGCCTCAATGGGAGGGTACTTGGCGGAGATCTCTGCATTCTTCAGCGGGCGCAGGTACAGAGAGATGACTGTGATGCCGTTGGAGAAGTTTTCAAGATACTTCCTAGAGCTGGTCAAGCGGTAGTAGTGGTACAAGTCGGAGAGCGCGCTGAACAGCCCCATAGCAGAGCCCTGGCGATAGGCGATAACCAGTCTCTTCTCGCGACTGCCTTCAATTTCGAACATCTCAATGACAGGACCGGCCCGGTTCACCGCATTGCTGATGATCTCCTGGTAGATGGCCTTGGTGTTGGCAGTTGCCTTTTGCAAGAATCTCTTCTCGCCAATGATCTCGATGTCCGTCTCGTTGGGACCGGGATTGGGGTTGGCGAATTGACACTTGTAGACGAAGTAGCAACGGAGCTGCTGCTCGCTGTCTCCAGGAAGAGGAGTTGGCGAACGGAAAGTCTCAACTCTGTAGCTGTTCTCAGGAGTCGAGTTGTTGATATACTTGGCGTCAATTCTTTGTTCGTAACGGGGCCCATCGACGGACGAAATGCCAGGTTTGCTTGTATCGATGTAGACAGCGTGATCTTCCGCTTCCTTGTCCAGTCTGATTTCAAGCTTCTTGTCATCGCGCGCATAAGCTGCCACTTTCGCGGCATAGAGAGACAGGATCTGGGTGACAATAGAGTCGACGGTTTCGGTCTGGAAGTAGGTGTCGTCGATTCCAAGCATGTTGTAGAACCAGGTGGTCTCGGAAACAATAAAATCACTAGGGAAAAAGCCCTTCTCTTCTAATTGGTCCATGACTATAGGCGAAACAACCCGTATCAGCGGCACAGATCTTGCGCATGAACTTATCCGAGCGAGTAATGCATACCTTGTTCCATCTGCTTCTGCTTGCCCTCGAACTTGGCAGCAATGTAGCCGGGATCTTCCTCGGAGAGGACCCGGTGTAGAGGACTACCGGGAATTCCCAGATGAGTAGGCTGAGGAGATGGATGGCGCACATTCGATCCCGCTACATGGTCGAGAATCTTGTTGTGTGGGTATCTTTGAAAGCCAATGGGGGTGCCAGCACCAGACTGAGCGCCATCGCCGCTCCCGTAGAGCTTGGGAACTGATGCGGTGGGAAGGACGTTGCCATTGACATGGGCATCTGAATGCGGGGGGTGGAAGCGGGGAAGCCATGATGTGTATTTGTGTCGTTTTTCAGCGGAGAGCTGAGAGGTTGATGAAGGGAAAGAAAGGGATGAAGGAAAACTGCTGGTGTTAAAGAGTGTTAGCGGTGAGTAAGGAGATAAAAGTCAAAAGAAAGTTCATGGGAGGGGACATTGTTAGGAAAGCTTCATAGATAAGAAGGATACACAAGCACGGGAAGGAACCGGGATATGCACGACGGGAGAGATAAGAAGATAGGCAGTCAAGGAACATACCAGGACAGACAGCGGTCTGGAGAGGAATGAGTCAATTCAGCAATTGGGATATGAGAAAGGGGAAGATGGATAGAGAGGATAGTCTGTTGCGGCGGAGGAATGACGAAAGCACGGCTAACAGTCAACCGGGGAAAGAAGCTTATCGGAGATAGAATGGAAGAGGAAGATGTCGCCTGCGATCCATGCAACAGACAGGCCAACTTTGAGACACGAGATGAGAGGATAATTATGAGAATCAATTACTATCAGGCATCCGAAGAACGGAGGGAGAGCTTCCTTATATACAGACAGCACTTGGAATAGTATCAAACTGTCCCTTGACTGACCTGAAATCTGAATACACATTTGATACAAGTTTCCGGCTCTATGCGATCGGCCAGGCACGGGGCCGGTCCGGGGCAGTGAGGAAAAGCGGCAAAGTCTTGAACTTCAATTTTGCTAGTGGGTTCCACTTCCGCCGGGCGTTATTATGACGAGGATCTCTACCTACCTACCTTTCTACTCTGTATGAAGACTGGTCTATATGGAGTTCTTCTCTTTCTTACATGTATCAGTGTTTAGTCCTCTCTATTTCCTCCCCTTCAACTCTAGATACAATCTTCATCTCGTTCCATAACCACGACAATGCCATTGTAAATGACAGTTCCTCCTTGGTAGAGGTAGGTACAGTCAAATTTCCTAAAACAGGAAAGACTGAAAATGGCGCAAATGAGGTAAGAGAAGGCCAGAAGGGGAAAAATACCTCATTGCCACAAGATGATTGGCCATAAAAGGGGCTAAATTTGGAAAAAATTGCCTCAGCACGTTGGAGACACCTGGCGTCATGTGTGGCTAGGTATCTTACAGTACGGAGTAGCTTACCGTAGTATCCAACTAGGTAACTCTTCCTTACCAGGTATTTACACCTAACCACATTCACCACTGAAACACTTCCTATTTTCAATATCTTAGAGATCAAGTGACGCCTTTTGAGAACTATTCATAGGCCTATGTTTCAATAGTAGCATTGTAACAGCGGCAATGGCATAGCCCTTCCCCAGATTCAGTGCATAATGTTGAGGTCCAGGCTCTCCCTAACTTCTAAGCAGCAGTTCAACAAGGAGACTGGAAAAAAATTAGTCCATCAGCTGACTGGAACCAGTCACGTCCTCCACTTAGTAGGGCTGGATCTTCCTAAATGGGATTTCAATGTGTCATGGTGGCCAGTATTCACAAATCATCGCCTGCAATTGTTGCATGCGACAGGATTTCTTCTGTTTCTCCTGCGTAATATGCCTCAGGAGAAAATGCCTCAAATTGCGCAAAACGTTGTGCTTCATATCAGGTACCAAGGTTGATAGTGCAGTGCACGGGGGAGTATGTTGGCGATCTATGTGCGCTATGTCGAGTTTGAGTACGGTCCCAGATGCCATTTCGATAGGTAACGACCTCCTATTTTGCCCTTTACCTACAGTCTGCCGGAGCACATGTCCACTGCATCTTTTACTGAAAGACTTTAGACATCGATGTGGAAGTTGATATCTCGACTCGGCTGTCTTCCGTATACCCAAGTGCAACCGCGCTCTGACCACCCTTACGAGATCAACGTCACTACAGTAATCCGTAGAAAACAGCAGAAACACTGACCCGGTAGAACTGATCAATCAGGCTTCACAGTACCTGGAGACTTTGGAGACTTTGGAGGCTTCTCCATGGTCTACTACCTAACAGAATCGTCCGAACAGAATTTTCGTCGAGGCTGCGGGGTAGTCCGTCCGCTGCCGTACCTGACTTAGACTCCCTAGTCAATTTGCGGGGTGATTGTAGTCTACTCCGTCGGTTGTCGATGATTTACATTTCGGAGTAAGTACGGAGTAGTCAAAATTAAAACCTGATCCTCGTTCTAGACAGGACTATTTCCATCACATCATCGCCAGCACGGAGTTTCCATTATTTTCATTATTCAATTAATGGCTCAATCGTCCCCCATATTACCCCATACGATCAATTCTATCCCAACAAGAAGGAAAATTTCAAAGACATTGCGGGGTTCGTCTGATGTGATCCGAGGACGAGATCCAACCAGACTCTCCCAAGATCCCATCCCGGTCTCCACTTCCCGGTAGGCTGCCCGTGATGAGGTAAGAAGAAGTCGTCCTTGTACTACTCCTGGCATCTGAGACTTTGCGCTTCGGGACTGTCATTCGGCTATACAATGACGTGTTGCCGAGTAGGCTTACGGGGGAGGCGTTCAGACCTAAAGACTCGGGTCAAACCGCAGGAGAGGAATCACTTGCCTTGCGCAGTTATCAAATAGTCATTGAGCATGCACTTTGCTGGACGCAATCAGTCCGACAGAAATCGTACACAACTCGAACTGCATGTTCGTTGTTTGATCCGGTGACAATGTCATGAGCGGCTGGACTGAAAACGTGGAAGATGCTTCTGGCATTGGTCTGAATTATATAGCATCGTGCGAGCCTCGTATCTGGGAGCTCTTTCTGTTGGGCATACATCCTTGCATTGCGGACATGCGGTTTGCTCAAGTTCAGCTGTAGGGCTGTCTCCTCACAGCCGTTGAGCACAGAAACTTGTTCACTGACATGCATGTCCGTTCTGCACTTTGGAGGTAAATAGTGCATTCAGTGGCTGCTGATGTATCTACAGTACTTTTGTGTTGAGTACCTTCGTTGGACACCACGTAGCTACAAACATCAATGCATCAACGCCTCAACGCATAGATGCCAGGACCACCAAGTGTTCTCGGCTGACCATCTGAGAGACCTCCAATCCTGCACTCAGGACCACGGGTTCATTCTCTTCCTGCCCCGAGTATCTACACAGATAAGAAACCAAGGCGTGGCTGAACTGCGGCGTACTAATGGCAGCAGTGCCACTGACCGGCGGTGAGAATGATTGCTCTTCGATAGCTGCTCACCAGACTCATCAACTACTGTGAGCTTTATTATTGTTCATGTTTGATGTTCTGGACCGCTGATTAAACTGTATAGAAGAAAGTTGTAGCTAGGTACTGGCAGAAATAAAGATCCTTCAAGGTACTCCCTGGATCGCACTAAGAACATTGTAGTTCTTAGCCAGCTAAGCATGATCCCTTGCAAGAGAATGGGAAAGTCAACTAGCAATGATCGGTGTCATCTGATTTATTTGTTTACTCCTCGATACATATCATCTGATTATGCTCAATTCAGACGGATTCTGACACTTACTCGAGCTTAACTGCAATCTTCAAATCCACTGTGGTTAAATACTGCTTTCACCTAGATAATATAGTTCTCCATACTTGGGCATCTCAGCACCATTCCTATATGTCCGCCTCTTTGGCCTCCCAATGCCATGTCCCTCACTTGGGCTCCTTATCCCACCTATGTTCACTCCGATCATCTGATGACATACAACAACGATCTTCCACCTCCTGAATCTTACTCGTAAGCTCCTCCTCTTCAAGGGTGAACAGATCCTGCGCCGGTGTAATAATCAGTAGACTCCATAGAAATTATTCCAGATCCATGAATAACAGCAACAGCCGTTGATCTCTAAATTCAGTAACGCGTGGATTGCGATAATATGAATGACAGAACCCAAGAGAACCAGGGAAAACCATCCAGATCACAAAGCTAGGTTTCAGCAGAGGCTTCTTGGCTGTCGTGGGTACGGATATGCATGTCATGTCATAGAGTCACGTCACAGGGCAATGAGCAGTTCATCAATCGCTTTGGCTCTGCGTAAGGGCGAGGACGACAGTATCGCCAGTGCTAGAGTAGCGCCTGCGCCGAACCCGGTTAGGGATCTGTGCGACGTGTCAAATCTTTCCAGGTGAGACCATACCCAGCTCAATGCGTCTTTGGAATCGTTGTACGCAGCGCCAGGTAGTATTATGGGTCAATCACAGTGTAGCCCGTGTGATCCGCGACATATCGGCAGAACCCATCGTCAGCCAAACAAGGTAAGCAAAAAGCCGCTGCCACAGAAGTCTCGGAGAACCAGGGAAGAGTTCAATGCTTCTTGGTCTCTGTAGACGTGAATCTAATAGTGCGATTAGAGCCTCGAGACGTTATGGTCTCGACTTCGTCAGGATGACGGTTGATTTTGATCTGTAGGCGAAAAGTAACCAGCAGAAGGCAGCAATGCACTTGTTCAAGTAGTATTCCATGACCCTACTTGGTCATGATGTGTCAGTTATGGAGGCAGGTCGACCGCCAAGCTCATGTAGTGGGCTCTTGTATGTCTGGAAAAGTATAGAGGGATCACTCATTATATGATGACAGCATGCCGCTGGATCGATCACCAATTGCACATTGTTGACGATGACCTGCAGCGATTATGGTCGTGGTAAAAAATAATTAAAGGATATAGTTATTCGATGAATAGGAAGAAATCAGGACGGGAAGAAAGGGAAAAGGAGCGAAAAGAGATTAAAAAATTAAAAAAGAAAAAAAAAGATGGGATGAGGCTGACCCGACTTGAACGGATAACCTTAAGATCTGGAGTCTCTGTTACATTGTTAGACAAATGTTGTTTGAACTGCTTAGAGTAATTTGGAACTTACCACGCGCTACCAATTACGCCACAGCCCCAATGGTTGCATTTTTTGGCGGTTCATCAGGTTTTGTAGCAGGATTAAATTTCAAGCAACTAATCAACAATACGCAGGCGACTGGACTTGAACATGTCCGTCAGTCATTGCTACGGCAGTCGTCATAAGTATAATTTCGCTCTTCATGACCTCCCACAATGAGTTCTTAAGGTGGGTTGGAATTCGCCTGTGACAATCGAACCCCTTTACGGAATACCAATATAAAAATATTTCCGGCACTTTACACCGAGTTCAGACTATGTTCATCCGAAGGCACCGCAGACCTCTGGTCACGAATCTCAAAGCTTAAGGCAGCTTGTGCATCTTGCAGCATTCCGAGGACCAAAAATATGCAGATCTTCCCATTGATGCTCCAGTATATTTACCAACTCAACAGTCCTTCCACATAGAGCCACGCGAACAGAGCAAAAAAAGAAGTGAGGCTGACCCGACTTGAACGGATAACCTTAAGATCTGGAGTCTCTGTGAAAATTTATTAGAACAAGTTGATTAACTTATGTAAGACTGTTGATATAACATACCACGCGCTACCAATTACGCCACAGCCCCGGAGGTATATACCCGATTTGGTTTTAATCAATTGTATGACAGCCAGGATATCTAGCTAAGCGACGCTGATATCCATAAGCTAGGTCTCTACTGCCGCTGCGCAGGTTGTTACATATGCACTCGTGCGACAAGCATAAGGTACCTTGTCGACCAACTTACTGCTAACTCCTCCTTGTCGAATCAGAGGTTTATTATCATATAAGAGACACTGAGAGCATATATAACTATGATTTTGGATCATTAACTGTCCGAATCAGCAGGTCTAGTTTTATCTGACAGCAGCCGACGCCAACACAGGCTTGCTCTTAACATAAACAGTTAAGTGGCTGCTCAAAAAGTTATGTAGTGGTCCGGGCATGATATAGTCAGAAGATTAGGTCCATTAAGAGAGCTCGAGTAAATCAACAACAAAGTGTCTCGATGAACATCCCACACCGAGCATAAGGGGGTCGCAGCACTCCATTATCTTCCAGAGGAAGGAGAGTAAGGGCAGTGAGGTCACTTATATGTTGACCAATATGAGCAGCGCATATACGGGAGAGTTGTAGGTCTCTCCAATTGGGCAACTTCATATTGACGCGTTGGACATTGCCATAGACTCGGCTCTACGATTCTGCAATGCGCTATAAGATGAATTGGAGCGCCTGATTATCACCTTAAGGGGCTGTGGCGTAATTGGTAGCGCGTGGTATGTTCCATCAACAGTCTTACATAAGTCAATCAGCTGTTCTAATAAATTTCCACAGAGACTCCAGATCTTAAGGTTATCCGTTCAAGTCGGGTCAGCCTCACTTCTTTTTTTCCTTCTTTTCCCCCTTCATTCAATCAACCTTCATTATGTCTTTTTTTTTTATTGGTAATAAAGACGCAACACTCATTAAAATGTAGCAAAGTGTCTATGCGATTATAATTCCATCACGCTAAGGACCATGCTTTCTACAGTTCTCAGCTGGAATATATGGTGTTTGGCGTGTGGCACTTCCTCCGCGGGCATATATATTCACCTGATGGTCCTCACCATACTACGGCCTATACTGTATCAACAGGCTGGAACTTGGCTCACACACACCTAGAATATCTGGTCTGAAAACAAAGGGAAATAAACTAATCATACATTAGAAATTAGAATGTTTTCAACAGCCGCTCGTTTTCCATATAACCGTCGCCAATTGGTAGGACAGCAATATATGATTAATACACATCTATGGAGTTAATGGCCACTGCTGGATGAAAGCCAACAGTATGTTAGGTAGTATTCACATTTACCTTGTGCCCCAAAGGAGATTCCTGGTACTGTTAACGGGTCCTTCCACTATTTGGCGGTTATTATAGGCAAGTAGGCCTTGCGAATACAGAACTATTCACTGTCAACACCAGGACCCCCATGTCCTGAGGTAAGAAATACAGGAACAGAATCTCATGTCACCTTCTCCTACGAGATATGTCCAGCAAAATCTTCTCTCGCCTAGACAAGAGTTCCTCATGCGAGGTACTGTCACATTAATTCCCAATGGAACAACATCGCGACGACTATCTTCATATTCTATCACAAGGCCCTGCCTTTGTCGAAACGAAGCGGAATCACTCGCAGGATGACTCTGATATACTACACACAAAAGGCGTACATGGTTTGCGGCGAGACATCCGTCGGATTATCATTGATCGCCTTGCCAGACATGGAGTATCCACAGAGGGCATTCCGGCATTGATGCTCGAGCACTGCCTTCCAAAGAATGATGCTTATACGAAAGACTGGAAGGCCCTTATTCACACACCTCTCAAAGTCTCAGATCAGATGCTTCTAGACATGCTTGGGCTAAGGACGGCAATGGAGAGAACGCAACCCGACAATGGCAGTCGGCAAACCTTTGTCTATATCCGTTCATTTCAACTGACCGTGGTTCAACTAATCGACATCATTGCAGAGTTCCATGGAACCGGTCTTCAATATGCAAAGGCGACTGCGTGGCTGAGGAGTATAGAAATGATGCGACCCCAGGAGCTGGTCTTTGTGAGATATGTGGGGAGAACGACTCGAGAGGCTCTCCGACGACACCGAGAGGATTTACTTATACGGAAAACTGGGTTTCTGGCCAGATTCCTCTCCACCCTAGAGAAGAATTACCCAATGGTGATAGACTCAGCAATGATCCATGTATTTCCAGCCAGACAACTCAAGGGACTGCGCGAAGTGTCTAAATATAACAGAATCAGTGAGCAGGCAGCAATAGCATTACTGGGCCTGCCCTACTTGTTGAATCAAACGATGACCGACTTCGTCGACTGGCAGTTTGACCCAAGTCCATCATATCGCCAGGCATTTGTGGCCCTTGCTACCGACACTATCTCTCGCATGAGTCCTTCCAGATTTCATAAACGCCCCGCACCGATGTCCCTCATAGCTTGGGGGAACGGAATTCAAAGATACGCAAGAGAGCACAAGCAAGCGGTGTCAGTTTGGCGGAACAGTTGTCATGAATTTCCTGACCTCCTCAAGCATATGATGGTCAAACAGGCAACACCCTCTCTGTTTGAGGGCAAGTATGTACTTATGCTCACCGTTGGAGCCGGGATTAGCCATGGCAGCTACAGAACGGCCGAAGCATTTTATACTGGACACAGCAGCTCAGCGACCCTGATAAAATCTTTTCTATCAAGGCTCTGGCGGTGGGAGCAACCGAGAAACTGTGTTGAGCATGTCCTAAGCGATCTCATTGACGCCGGTGCTTTTCCATTTGTGGATTTATGTCCCTGGCACAAGGCAGAGGGGAGTAATCTACAAGCAGCGGCTGGCTTTTTGAAGCAATACATTGGGTTGACAAAGCCACTAATCATGCTGACATTCTCAGTCAAGCCTTCATCACTTATAGCCTCGGGCTTTGAAAGGTCACAAGGCAGCGCTTCCGACTTTTGGACTCGAGTTGGTAGTTTGGAGCTTGTGCACCCAGCGGAAGGGCTATGCTGCATACAGATTCCATGTTTTCATCCAGGTCAAGGACGATACTCAATCAAGCCAGCTGTTTTCCTCAAAGTCTTTGATATGACACTCTGGGTCTTGCTACTTACCATCAATGTGACACTCGATTCAATGGCGAAGTTTGACGCAACGAATCGGCATGGTTGGTGTGAGTTTATCAAAGCAAACGTCGAGAGTATCCTGCATGATCAAGGTTTCTGCACAAAGTTCAACAATCTTAAAGCAAGTCTGTATTCTGAGAGACCGACACCTGGAATGGCCTGGCCTACCTCGAGTGATAGAATCGCCACTGCGGTAGCGACGCGAAAAGACGTAGTACGTGCACACTCTTTTTATTTATGACGTTGGTCATTCACATTCCACAGGATCGGTACATATACAGCGGCTATGCAGTAGACGGCAGCATGTCCACAAGACGAAGGCAACAAGTCTACCGCTTATGGATTATGGATATACCAGAGCTCCACGTACACATCAACCGCGACAGGGCCCAAGATTGGTTCACATGGGCTAATCATCTAGAAGAAGGGACATCTTTTTTTGTTCATGCCATGGCCCTAGCAATATGGCAGGTATACTCAGCCGAATCTTTTCCGACTATTCTTGGCCCACATGTATCCATTTTGCAGTTTCTCAAAGGATTGAGCCTAGGTGACTGCCTGAGTGAAAATCTTACCCGTGTCATTAATTCACGTCAGAAATGGGCCTCCTCTAAGGACGTACTCGAAACCCTCACGCTCGAGCTGTCGATTGATCAGCGGTTATGGCAGCAAATGCACGATGAGCCCATCCATAGCAGCTTGTCTGTAGCTGTTCTGTCGCGATACAAACCGTTGTATCAGGCGCAGTTAAACGGGAGAGAGGTATTTCTTTGGAAGAATCGGTCGCTTGCTCTTCATTGGGCAAGCCCTTCGGGAGTCAACTATAAATTCGTACTGCGCGCTCCTCAATCCAGTCAAAACGAGACGTACGCTCGAAGGAAGTTCTTGTTTTTGTGAGTTCCTCTTCTACTGTGGCAATGTACTTGCGGAAAAAGAAAGAAAACTACAGCATCTGACCTAGGGCTCAGTACAAAAGACGGAATAGACCTTCGCGATAGTAATGGCGACTCATGTTTGGTGCACGGAGGGGCATTGGGGTCACAAAATATGGTCACGTTCCCTGTCCACCGACTCCCCAGTTGTCAAGACACTCCAATCTTGGGGGAGCAACTGGTTAGACTCTGGGAATTTGAGACAGGCCACGATTGGAAGGAAACCACTTCCCCGCAACCGATTACAGTCCTAGCTTCGCTGGCTGACGACGAGCAATATTGTCTTCCAGAAAGTTACTTCATTGGGGAAGGTCTGGAGTTGATACGATGGAACTGGACAGGCGAAAAATTGGCACCGTACAGAAAACCACCGAGTCCAGCAGACGAGATGTGGCTTTTGTGGATGTGTCTTCAGCAACACTGGCCGGACGGAGGGTTGCTGTTTATCGGGATCCCAGAGAAATGGCCATCACGAAGGGATAATATCTGGACACGTTTCAGAGAGTGAGACTACCCTTTCGTCCAAGCTGCAAATGCCACTCAAAGCTGACGATTCTTGTAGCTTCCTTGAGCAACCCCTTGTTCGTAAACACCCTCGAATTAGCCTTGTCAAAGCATGGACTCGTGACCTTCTGCACACCCACAAAACATCCCAGATGCTCAAGAACCTGGCACATCTCTGTCGGATCTCGGAGAAGAAGAAGATCCAGGCTCGAGACCGTGCAAGGATTCAGAAAGAAGGGAAGGATGTCAAGATTGCGGGTACGGAGCTTCGCATACAACTTTTATGGCCACGGAGCGCACATCCATCATGTTAGGTATTGATGAGAGAGTTGGACTTAATGATTCGCCGTCTTAGCTGGACGCCAGTTATCTGGACGGACGTCGGAATGATGGTTAATGATCAGTTCAGACTCCTCACGACCGCCGACTCGTGCTGATCAGCGATAAATCAGAACAAAGTGAGAGATCCGATAGGTAACTGAGCGGAATATTGAGTATCTCCAGCCTTTAGAATAACCCATGATGAATAGCCGGGGTCCATGTCCTGCCGTTACTGTTCTCATCGTTCGTCAACTTCTTTCGCAGTAGTTGAAAGTTTGCTATTACTTAGTCTCAAGATACATACTCAAGTACTCCTGCATCGATCACCTGCATTGGAGCGCCCGTCATTGTGATACGCTACTGTCATCTCTCTGACCCATTTGCATAATCTGATGCCTCCGTTGAGTTTATACTTTTACGTGTTTCAACCGGCTTCTAGAAATTCGGAAAGAATCATTGTTAGACTAGTTTGTGGATACTGGATTGACCTCTCGGGCCATATCCCCTTCGGGAATCCTTCGTCTTTCTTGCCCGATGGGGTATGCGGCAACCTCGTAATGTGACAGTAGATACAGAAGATTCTGCTTCTGAATATCTTTGGTGGATAAAAGATACAATCATTGGATTATTGGATTGTTAGTTAGTATCACTAGATTAACTATTAGGATAAGAGTGCCTACATTCAATCATGACCTTGGTATATGATTAGACCGATAATCCATTTCCTTGTTCAGCAGTCGTGTTCATAGACTACCTGATGTTGATACTGTATGGCGTTAGATACCTTATGGGTCCTAATCTTTTGGAGACAGAGATGCGTTGCGCGATATTCAGATCTTCGTCCCACTCGGTCTTCCGTAGAGTTGCTCCAGTATTCTGAAGTAGTTATCCGCACTCATTTGCCATTCTCGAGTACCGAATCTATGTTTAATTTAGTCGCACTCCAGTATGCGACCATAGGGTATGACAAACAGGCTTCCCATTTAGTTAGCTGTACTCCGTACTTAAAATAGTATTATTAACATAGCTCGAAGTTATACTCCGAAACCTAGACCTGTAGCAGAGCTGTTGAACGTAAGTCACGGCTGAAGCATTTGAAGCCCCTTAATATAATAAACAGACGGTAAGTAATGGTATTTGAATGAGTTCCCCGTTTCTACGAGGTTCCCAGAGAATATCGGAGCTTCAATGGATTTGATTAATGGCCACTACAGGAAAGACTAGGAAGGATCAGCTTGGAGGACGAAATCATCTTCCTTATGGAGTGATCTGGAGTGATTCCCTTCGGGGTAACTCCGTATGTCTGGCACAATCTAGTCTAGTCTAGTTTAGCCTACGGAGTATTGGATTCTTGAATTCTTCCATCAAAGTTCTAGGCAAATGCAGCAGCTCCTAGATACCTCTCCGACAGTTTGGTTAGCTTCAAGCCGATCGCCGCCTCCTGCGTAAGGACTGATATATGAATGCATAGTTGCGGTGGTCTATTGGATATAGCTGGTCTTTAATATGGATCCCTTACGGGAGCTTCCCCGGGATTTCGAGAATTAACATCAACAATACAGTTTAGCTTTTGAAATGGTTACATCTTCCATTAACCAGGTGAAAGTCAGTCTACTCCCTATTCCCATAGAATATTCCCTCACAAGGGATTTCGGTTACTTTCCTTTCCCTCTTTGCCGGTATGGCAGGCTACCTCGCCAGCGAATTAGGTTGGCGTGCTTTCTGCCTGATTCTGCCCGTAAGGGAGCAGCAGTGCATGCTTTTGACTCTCGTACTCCGTCCCTTTGAGACAAATAATAATTAGATACCCAGTCAAGGCAGAAAGTGTGACATGTCTGCCACTACAGGAGCACTTAATGCTCAGACAAATCTGAATGAACACTACTCCGTACCTCCGTACGATCACCCCCTTTCCTGAATAAGAATCAGTAATGAACCAAATCCGTCGTAGAAATCCCTGACTCGATCTGTCCCGGCCTCACGGTGGCCCTTTCGAATTCTCCCTTGGCTCCTTACAGTAGGAGAGTGTACTATGCCTAGCTTTTTGACAAGTGTGGAAAGACTTGGCAGCTCCTTCAAGGCTCTCACCCCCACAGTCTCCATCGAATGCACACGTATGCATCTCCAATCTCCATACTTTCTCCAGCTTCTTCCTTTAGCCACCGGCTGTTCGCCTGCCTATCAGGTACTCAGGTTACTTGCATATGCCCCCATCTTACCCCCTTTGTTCCTAATTCTTCCACCACCAGAGCCACCTCACCAGTCACCACCCAAAGGTCGCCTTGCTTTTTCCCCCGGAGCACAATAGCTTCCCCCGGGTTTACGTTCCCGCCCTTCCGTCCGTCGTGGCAAGCATGCGCAACGTACACTAAAGTCCGCCTGGATACCCAACGGACCAACAACACTACTTACTACTACTTCTAGTCCAGTACTACTATCTGGTCCCTAGGTCTGGGAAGAAACCTCAATCAAATAAATGCCAGTAAAACAGGGCGGACGCCCATCGTACTTTGAGGGAAAACACCCTGGATCCCTTCCTTTAGGGCGATGATCGCTAACGGCCAAACATTTGCCTGGAGTCCCTGGACCTAGACTAGGCGATGGACATGACAAAAGGGTGATGGCGATATCCGACTGGGGTAAAAATAATAATAATAATAATAATAATACTACCTAATATTTGTCCGATACGATTAAAATGATCTATGGACGTTTGACTGGATGCTTCAGCAATGTACACTAACTAGCTCCTGGCTGGGCCCCCAATCCAATCCTCACTTATATCGGCTGGGTGTCTCCCTAGGTCCTTTAGATGCTTGATCAGTCTTTTACTTTTCCAAATCTCTGCTGCTTCTCTCCAGTTTTTCCAGGGTCATACTACCACATTCTCTATCTGCTCTGGTCTGCCCGTCGTGGACAGCTCACCGGCTTACAGCTCGCCACTTGTTAACACTCTACAGTGTTGTATCCAGAGCCCTGAGTACCCTCAGCTCTCTGTACTGTCTCTCCAAACAATATTATATCTCTTGTCATACCATCTGCTGCTGTGACCTGAGATTACTTATTTCTCTCGCTTAGTCCATCGCACGCTGCTTGTACCAACCCAGCAGCCTTTTGACCTCGCCGAGGACCTTGTATATCATTACATCATCGGGATAATCCTCCAGCGTACGTACACTCTGTTTGCTTTTCTCTTCCCTGTCCCGGATGAAGGATCTTCACGAGCGATTCGCCTTCTCCAAAGACTCAAAAATTACATCACATGGCATTCGGCGATGGAGCTTTTCTCCTCACTCTGTTTCGGCCATACTCCCTTCATCGGGGATTCTCGGAGGTATCTCTCTCGGAATAAAGGTAGCTAACAAGGGTATGCTGTCTATATAGATTTATACAGCTTCAGTCCAGCCAGCTCAGCCCATTCTTTCCCAATCGTACTCCTACCTCAGTATCTTTCCATCGAATTCTCCAGCTCACCTGGGTCGCCATCACATTCCCAACATCAATTCAACCACAAGTATCTATCGCAATGGCCTCACCCATCCCTTCACACCCTCCCTCCCGTCCCACCCTCGTGACACCCTCGACCTTCACCCAGGACATCTCCCGCGCGATCCTCGCGTCCGCCGACGGGCCTAAATCCATCCATCTCGACTCGCACCCTCACGTGGCGCTGGAGTATCCCCCTCCTCCTCCCCCGTCGCCCGTCGAGTCAAGAACAACGCATTGTTTCTGGGGGAGAGAGGGGAAACGAGCCTGACCGTCGTTCCCAGCTGCTGCCGTGTCTGCGACGGAGTGCCATAAATCTTGCATTGCGACTTTGATTCTTCTGCTGTTTTATGGAGTCAGTTTTTAGGTTTTTCAGTTTTTGTTTCCTGTACTTTTTCAGCGAGCCTCATCTGTTTCCTCTGTTTCTCGGTGGTTCTGTCAGAGTACGTTCGGAATTGGTTCGGTTTGGAAAAGCAGGCATTGACTTGTCATCTTATTGATTGATTTGGTTTCGGGTCTTCATGGCGTCGCGAGTCGTTTACCGTGTGATATAATATCGGCTAGCTAGCGAGTCTTCATATTCACATCTTTTGGTTTCATTCCCTCGGTCTCATAGGATGCATCCACGGACTAGATCGCGCTTGACATATCAGTTAATGGAATGGTTGCTGCAGGCACAGTTCTGTCCCACAAGACGATGGGATTGAGTTGAGACATCAGACGTAAGCATTACACAATGATGCATGGGTTCTTTCGGTTCAATCCTTGTCCAGGACCAATAGACAGGACAAACATATGGCAAGTTGGCCAGCTCAGTTGAGAATGCGGCGAGAGCAACCAAAGAGTATTATGTAGGTTCAGACTCGATCCAAGGCCCAGCAGTTATCGTTCAACCATTGTGCCCTGCATAGCAAGGTCGAAAAGTGCCTCTGTGGTTCAACCGAGTGCGTTACCGACCAGATTCTTCATCCTCGACCGAGACTTGAACTGCCTCGAGTGACCACATTGCGGTTCGATTTTGATGCTGGCGAGCTGCACCGCGGTGTTGTGCCAAACAGTCGTCCATATAACTTCAATGGCACCTTGCAATCGCTTCAAGTAGACCTCGCAGGTAACAAAGGCTAACTTTGTAGGCACATCAACGGGACTGGGTCGCTTCGTCCGACATCCCCGGCCCAAATTTCTGGCCATTAATTTCAGTGTAGAGCTCTTCCAACGCGGTCAATGCCACGGCATCTCCTCGACTCGCAGCTTCGCTAAGCCGCTGGACCTCTGCAAGTTCCTCCTCCGTTCGAGCCCAGCCGCGTAGTCGATCCTCCAGATTCTGCGTACGTTTCGTACTGAAGACAGTGCGCACAGTGTCTGTCTCACCTCTTTGTCTCTTGATGTGCATCAGTCGCTCCAGGAATCGAGCTTGACTCGACTGCGGTCCCGTCTTGCGGAGCACGTTCGCCGTTTCGGCTGTTTGTATGGAGGGCTCCTGAGTTGACCCTGAGCCGGAACCGGAGATCAGGTTCGCTTTGCGACCGAGAATTTTGACGCTGTTGGCGGCAATGAGGTCAAAATCCTTACCGCTCCTCAACGGAGAGATCTGCGGCAATGCAGACTCTAGGTCAGGTTCATGACGTTCATGACCCGTCTCTGGACGAGTGAAGAGTAGCTCTGTCCCGATCTGGTCTGCCCATGTGCAACTGAAGATTTGATTTTGGTACGAGACTATTGGGTTGGTGGTGTGAAGGCCAAGGATTTGGACGCGCTCTGAAGGAACGTTGTCAGGCTCGGTGCTGTCAATGGCTGGTTCATGGCCATCGGTCGGAGTCAGGGTAGTTGGAACTGCAGCAGTAGACGAAGCCGGGTCACGGCGTCTGGGAGGACGGATGGGGCCGTGAAGGGAGGTCAGGTCGAGATTGAGGTAGAAGGTCTGACCGTATGGGAAACAAATTAAGCTCAAGCGAACGCCTAGAAAGAGCGAAAGGAACAAGCAAACAATCATACCTCGGTGTCGACCTCGTGATATTCATATTCGTAGTCGGAGTCATGATCCTCATCTGTCAACATGGCCGGGTCCAAGACCAATATCGGCTCGGAATGAGACTGCATGATTTAGACCGGCAGGTTCATTGGGCATAAACAGCTAGCTGGAAGAGAACGACTAGCCAGTTCAAAGTTCAAATGATCAACCCTGTTGAAATCAAAATTTGGATTGAAAGTCACAGTGCCCTCTCAAGATACATAGATTGATAGCTGCCTTAGCGCTCGAGGCCCTTTTTTCCCTTGGGCGAAGGGATAACGGAAGAAGGCGGCGGGCAGAAACTCCACTGGATCCGCTGGATAACACCTGGTGGGACTGGGACTGGTTAGACAGTCTTAGACTACCTTGGCCATGTTTGTGCTGGATGACTGATGAAGGGTCGAGGGCGAGGACGGAGGAACAGGGATTATTGATGACGATGTTTGATTTCCACAGGGCTGACCCATCGATAAGATACTAGAGCACTGTACTGTCGTCTGGGTTGGACAACGAACAGACAGAAATATCAACATACAGTAGCAGTATTATCAGTCTAGTACCTTAGTAACTAGAAAACATTATTATTAAGGTTCCTCTCTACTACTTGTAGTCTGAATATAGAGTATTGTACGAACGCCGTCATAATGATCTTCCCTTGTGCTTGTCAGTTTGCAAAGATTAACTTAACTCAATTCCTTCAGTCTAGTCTGGATCGTCCCTGGTGATCTCATCCTTTCGGGCTGCATTCATTCTTCCATCATCCTCCATCATTCCAATCCCCGGTTTCGTCCATCCCATCTTCTCTACCTACCCTCGCCTTACCCCTCCATATCAGCCAAAAAGTCAACAGTAACACGGTAACCATCCACAAAAAGTAAGCTACTCGTATTTATCATCATCATCATCTGTTGTCATCAATTGGCTTCTATGTTTCCATCAAGATCCATCAGCAATAACCAAGCAATCCAACCTTTAATAATGCTCTGCCCTACGGAAGATCACCGATGGTGTTATCCACATCCGTCGACTTCCGTGCAGAGACAACCCCATGCACCTCCGTCCAGATCCATCTGTTGATTCGATCATGTTCATGTTCATGTTCCCTGTTCGGTTCATACTTGCCTGCTTGCCGATCCGATTTGCCCTTCTTGTCGTCCCCTGTCCGCCTGCATCATCATTGGCACACATTTGTCAACCCGGCTCTGCGCGGAAGAAGCAAGGAGCTGATTTGCATGCTCGCTATCCACTGTCTACATGCGTCCGTCGATTTTTGCTGCTCTCACGTTCTCCGTTGAAGAATGATGATGTCCTTTTACTCTCTTTTTTCCCATCTATGTCTGTCATATTCACAACCATGACCCTCATAATTATCTAATCCCCTTCCGTTATACCCGGTCCCTCCTTCTGACTGGATGATCTCTAGCTTTTGTCTTTCCCTTTCTGTCCATATTATTTTGCATTTATTTTCTTTTCTTTTTACCCTGACTCGGTCGTTGCGCACGGGATCCATCACTCAAGTCGGTAGTGGTACTGGTCATAGCTGTTCTCGACCACTGCTAACCTGGCAATGCCTTCTTATAGTGTCGTCCCCTCCATCTTCGGGCCTGGTTGCCCTGACTCTCTGCTCTTTTTTGTACACGCTCCTCGTCTTCTGCCCCGTAGTCACCTCTCATGACCCTCATCTTTCCTCATTTCCCTCTGATGAGTCTTCCTTGACCATCCCGATCTCACTTGCGCCTGGCCGTGCAATCCCAACCAGGACATCTTTAAGCCTTACTACCCTTACTACTACTACGATAGCGGCCACGTCGACCAGTACTGCCCAAAATCACCAGGCTGATCCCTCGGTGCCTGATCCTTCTTCTAGAGCAAATACATCCAACGTCGGGGCTGTCTCCCTGGCTGTGGAGCAGATGATTGGCAAAGCGAAAGGCAGCATTATCGTTTTGTCTTCACTGATCGCGTATGTTTCGATCAATAGCTTAGTACGTGCCTTGAATCCGGACACATTCATCTGGTACGATGAGGACAGGGATGAGCAGCGCTGGATCGCATCCTCCCGGTCGTGGTTTGACCGTAAAGCCTGTCGCTGGCTGAGTCTCTGCGGTACCGCTCATTTCCACACGGTTGGTCCGCGCTTCGGCCAGCGGAAAGTCCTCACGGAGTCCAATGCCTCTGTCTCGGCGCAAGACGAGGCCGCTCCGTGGCGGTCCTTCTGGTTCCGAGAACCGGAGCATCCGGCGGATCAGTGGGATGATGATGCCGAACGTTCGCTCAGAGAGATACCCGACTATGTTTTTGAATATGCTCCTCTAGTGCATCTATTCTCCAAAGAGCAGTTCTGGCCATGCGATATCGCAGAGCACCTGTTCCACACCACGCCAATGTTAAACTACACGCCAGTGCAGTCACAGCATAATCATCCGACGTTGGAGGATCTGGACCAACTGAACCAATGGCAGGATGGTCGCTACGTCTTCTTGACCAGTAATGATGATGTGGAGGAACGGCCTCCGTGGATGGAAGGAGAAAAGAATATCCCTGTTTCGCCAGATGAGCACTCTGAAGAATCATGGTCTGACTGGGACGGTCGACTGGATGGGGCCATTCCGGGAGATACACCCGAGGGCCGCTTAAAATGGTATGACACGAACCACAAATTAATGTCGGAAGACGAAGCAGCCAATCTACCATTGGAGGATCTTGGTTACTCCAAGCCAGAGGATCTTCTGCAGGACGAGAGGGTCAGGGACGAGCTGCGGAAACGATACGGTGGCGAACCGATAAAGATGCAAGAGACCGGAGGCCGAAGTGACGCGCCTGCAGTGCTGCTCGTCGTGGACAAGGGCAACGGCATAGTCGATGCCTTTTGGTTCTTCTTTTACAGTTTCAATCTCGGAAATGTGGTCCTGAACGTGCGTTTCGGCAACCACATCGGCGACTGGGAGCATTGCCTCGTCCGTTTCTATAACGGCAAGCCTAAAGCTCTCTTCTTTAGTGCACATTCCGCAGGCGAGGCATATAGTTATGAAGCGGTGGAGAAAATCGGACAACGGGTAGGTTGCGACGTCCACACTGGTGAGGTTGAGTGAGTTAAGAGGCTAATCAATCGTTTCCAATGTGTAGCCAGTCATCTATTCCGCAGCGGGTACGCATGCCATGTATGCCACTCCTGGTGTCCATTCGTATGTTCTACCCTGGGGACTTCTTCATGACCAAACGGACCGAGGACCTCTCTGGGATCCTCTCTTGAATTCGCACATGTATACGTATGATCATGTGAATGACACGTTGCGCGCCTCCACAGCCAGCCCGTTGGCGCCTACGGAGTGGTTCTACTTTAACGGTCACTGGGGTGATAAGTTCTATCCTTTGGGGGATCATCGACAGTATCGCTTCGCGGGCCAGTATCACTACGTCAACGGTCCCCTGGGCCCACGGTTCAAGCATCTGGACCGCCGCAAGGTGTGCCAAGGACCCGACGAGGATCCTTGCGTGATTAAAGATTGGGTGGGCGAAAAGATGCGGCTCAAGCGCCTGTCGAATCCCCAGCCGCACGAGAATCCAGTGTGATCTGGTACTTCTCAAATGAAGCATCGCTGCCCTGGTTGGCACTGAAGCGATGTTTGGTTGAAATGTGTTCCAAGTGAACAACCTAGCGTATCCCCGTGGCAATCCCTGCTTCAGTGTTTGTTATCTGTTGCATTTATCGCATATACCCCTCAAGTTTTTTCATGTTTGCTTGTCACGGCATGGGGCTGGAGCTAGACGGTGAAACGACAACGCATATGACTGATGATGAGACCCAAGATTTCCTTTTATACTGATGTCGGAGTTTTCTGCAGCAGAAGGTGGAGTTACTGGATTCTTATGCTTTTATCTTTTTTTTTTCAGACTTTGGGCCTGGTGTTGCGGTTTATGGATCTTGATTATTACCTTATAGGGATAGACTCGGAAGACGTGATGTGGACTAAGTCGAAATCTCCGAAATATTAGAGAGCTAGACATTTCCCGGACCGCTGACTTTTAAAATGAATTGCTCATTCCACTCAATCACTAGGGAACCCTACAGAAGGACAGGGAAACAATCAAACGCTTGCTTGCTAAGGTAGAGCCATCAACTTCCAACAATGAGAACGATGTACTCAGCTCGCCAAGATGGGCAAAGAGGTATTGGACATCCAGTAAGGAGAGAAGAGAAAAGTAGACATAGACTCAGGTCGCAAGACTCAGACCTTCGATTAATCCCTCCAACCCAGAGAAGAGCCCAGGGTACGTACGCAAATGAAAGTAGAAACCATGGTTTAAGAAAACTGGCCAGAGAAAGGCGAATGAATGAAATGAAGTCCTTGAGACGAAATACAACAGGGTTATCAGCCGGTCTGTCCCATTACACGCACATAAACGCCGAGTAAGGAATCGATAATCGATGAGGGAAGGAAAAAGGAAAGGTAGTTGAAGTGATCAGCAAGGTAATAAAATAATACCCTGTGGTAAAACGATTAATGCAATGAGGAAAACACCAAAACCAACAATTACCCCAGGTGAACCCTTGCCAGCAATGGAACGCCGTGTGCGAAAACCTGTAAAACAACCGAAAGAGCAGAAGATGACCTTGAAATCGGACGCTTAGAAACTCCGCCTGATGTTCCCCAAATGCCAAACCGCACATGTTGAATCCCGCCTTCTCGGCTCTCACTCTCAACCTCGCCGATTTTCCAGGCCGGATACCTATGAGAAAAGGGGAAAAAAGAAAGACAGAAAAGACAAAAGAAAATGAAGTCATAACTGTCATGGATAGAACCGCTTAAGTATGGGTCAAATTGAAGAGCCCAAACCAGGTCACACTCGCGTAGTTCGCTTGCGCAAGCCAAACTCCTGCTCTTGCAATTCGCGAATCAAGCGTAAACTCTCCGCATCAGGTTCATCGTCAGCAATCGCCGTGCGTTCACGTTTCGCGCCCTTATGCCCTGGAGACGTTGAAGTCGTAATCATACGGTCAAACTTCTTCTCCGTCGCCGGAGAGACTCCTTTCTTCGCATGAGACGACGAAGGGCGTGATGCAGATTTCTTCGAGCTTCCCTGCGCACCAGGCGTAACTCTACGAGCGGTGGTTGGCCCACTGAAGGATGCCCGTCTTGCAGACGGTGTGTGCGTCGTCGTCTTCACGGCCTTGGCTGGCTGGCTTTCGGGCACATACCTGTCGACGTGACGTGGTTGACGGGAGGAATGCCGGGAACTAGCAGTAGGCGTGTAATAAACAACATGGTTGTCTTTCTCCCCATCCTGCTCGGGAGGCACGTCCGTCTCGTCTGCCTGAGAAGTTGGCGGCGAAACAAGTGAAGCGGTTGGCTTCGATACGGCTGCCCCATCGACCTCCATAACGACCGTATCTGACTGAAATGCCGGCGGGGATGCGTACGAAGTCTGCCCCACGAGGGTCTTTCTCTCGGTAGACGTTAGATTTGTCTGAGCTACGCCATTGTGGTCGTGCGAAGTGCCAAAGTATGAGGGAGCTTCCAAATCAACCGGCCTCTGCGTATGAGACCTGTCTCCTTCAGCTCTGAAGAGACTGGCCGGCCTCGCCACAGGAGACGTGCTTTCCTGCTTCGGTCTCTTATTCAAAGTAAAGGCCGCGTCTTCCTCCTGCGGAGGACGAGGCCTCTTGGCAGAGGCTGCCGCCCTGGGCTTCGATCGTTCTTGGGCTTTGATAGGGTCGATTCTGCCATACTCATCATGAATGCACCGGCGCTAAAGAAGCAGTCAGCTGTGCACCTGCACAGGGAGAGAAAGAATAAAAACGAACCTTGCTCTTTCGACAATCATCACAAGCCTTGCTGCGCCCTTTCTTTCCTGTGCTGAGACCCTCGGGACTGCCATCATTGACTTTGCTGGTGGCTGCATTCGGTGTGCTCAAGATGGCAGTGCCATAATTCCCAGAAGCTTCAAGTCGATCTAGACCATACCCATTCGCGGCGTCCTGAAAGCCTGCTTCAGACGCAATGGCCGCCAATGAATTCAATGCCGATGCGGCATCCTGAGCCAAAGATGATTGGACCCCTGCAGGGAAAGATCCAACCGTCGTTTGCTTTGCCGAAATTGTGTCGTTGTGTTCATCCTTATGCCGACATCGGATTCTTCGCTTACGACACGCATCACAGGCAACACGCTTAGGACCCAATCCAGAGCTGCGATGTATAGATCGAGGTTTCTGACCCATTTCTTCCTTCAGTTCTTTCGTCTCGGTGCCTGGAAGCGTCGAAACAACGATAGGCTGAGGGATCTCAACGGTTGAAGGCGCAGAAGAGCTTTCTTCACTGGAAAGACCATTGGTCAAATCCGGAGGTTGTTCTAGTGGCCGCTGTACAGCTTGCCGTTCTGCGTACATGCGCTGCCCTTCTGCATTTCGCTCTGATCGACGGCTAGGCCGCCCTGCCGGCTTCTTCTCCGTAAGGCTGAGTTTGGCATTGCTTTCCACCACACCAGGGCGTGTCCATTGCGGAGCCTTTTCATTTCCTCGCTTCCACGCAACCCAGATTCCAAACTTTCTCACTGTGTCAAGTGGGTCTCCTTGGCCCTTCGGTATAGATCGCTTGACAGCGTTCCTAGCATCTATCGTCACTCCCTCAACCATGTAGCCACTGGCAATTAATGCTGTCCGGAGCAGGTACTTGGCAAGATCTGGAAGTCCCTCAAGTTCGGCCTGGGAGTAGAATCGAGAATTGTGATATGGATCCCCGGCAGGCGCCTTATTTTCGCGCTCCCCGAATTCGTAGTAGATAGGATAGGCTCTGTGAAATCGGAAGTTTTCATCCTCAGCGAAAGCGTCGAGCACGCTTTGAGGAATAGGATCGTCCTCCAGGTATTTCAACGCGGTGTACCATTGGATCCTCTGGAAGAACGGATACCGAAACTTCCTGGGAACCTTGGTATCTTTTTCGATCTTGGCAACCTTGATCTGCATTCCATAGTTGAGCCGCGTCAAGAAATTACCGCCAATGACCAGGCTATTCGTGGGAGTCCAGACGGCGTGGATCCAGCCAGATGGAATCAACATGGTATCGCCTTCAGACAGATCGACGCGGTAACACTCCTTAGTCTGGTCGCCAAGGAACGTGGAGTCTTGCGCGGGAGAGTTGCACCAGTCTTCATATTTCTTCAGATGCTTGTCCTTAGGTGGAATGAAGAAAAAAGTCTTTTTGCCTTTCAGAATGTGATAGTAGACCGAAGAACCGCCGAAATCGATGTGGAAATCGGTATAGCAGTCTGCGACAGACATGAGGCAGTAGAATTGAACTTTCGGATAATCGCCGATAGCCTTGAGCTCTTCAGGCCATACCGCATCCTGCAAGTCGAGGTCGCGCACAATTTTGGGTCGGCGTATCAGTCTTCCCAATTTACTTTGTGAGACCTCCAAACTGATAACATTGCGAACGACCTTGGAGCCGGTGCTCTCATAATAGTCAGCCCATTTCTGCATGTTCCACCTCTTGTCTTCGCCCTGCTGGGATTTGACGTCAATGACTTCGACTCTCTCATCAGGACCGTAAAGCTCCGCCACCGTTCGGACAGTGAGACCCTGAGGAACAACCATGTCCAACTGGTCTTGGCCGCAGTCGATGACGGTCTCGAAGTCCTTGCCCTCCTCTGGGACGTGCTCCAACAATTCATCGAACATCTCTCGGCTAGTAGCCTGCTGGACGAGGGCGTCGAATTCAGCATCGACGATTGGAATGGAATCACGGGTGTTCAGATGTGCTGGAATAACGATTGGCTCTGTCATGCCGCTACCGCGTTCGAAGTATTCGGCAGTGACCAACTCCGGTCTCATCCGAGGGAAGTTTTCCGGTAGAAAGCGAATCTTGCCTTCCCGAATGGGTTCAATATAATGATGTTCCAAGGAATCGCTGGCGGCCTTGACAAGGCCCTGGTTCAGACCAGCATAATCAATGGCAGTGCGGGCTCGAGAAGACTTTCGAACAAACGTTGTCTGTCCGTGGATCGGTCGACACCGGCGACAGATGAACTTGTCGACTGTCCGTATCTCACGATCATTCTTGAATCCGGCACAAACGATATGAAACCATTGCTTGCAGCCGTCACAACTGATCCATGTGACATCCCCTTGTTCTTCTGAATCCACCGGTATTCGGACCAGGTTACAGGCGGCGCAGTTCGCCTGGTTGTTCTCGTCGGATTCTGTATCGTCATCTCCCCGGGGAGGCACATCCATTGATGCCCGATCAGCACCGGTATCTATCCCTGTGAAGACTGAACTCTCGTATCGTGCCTCAGCCCCGGGCAATCTCGTGTCTGGAGGTCCTGGGCCCGTTTTGGCATTTCCTTCTTCTTCTTGCCAGACAATTGGAGGAAGCGTAGAAGAGCTTGTGTTGGGCCGTACTCCCTGAATGACCGGTCGAGAAATGAAGGCCGAACCGTCCGACTGAGATCTCATCCGAGATGATGGAAATGCTGTATTTGCGGAAGTGCGATACGCGGATTTCTCGTCATCTGGCAGAGTATATGTGCTTCCGAGACCAGCCCGAAAGTAACTCTTCGGTTCCTCGCCGTAATGAGGATGGTACGACTCATCAATGCTCACCCGCTTCGAGGGGTAGAAAGCGGCAGGGTGGAAGTTGCTTGGTCTCGCGAAATTTAGAAGAAGTTCAGCGTCGGTTTTCATGCTGTCGAAGGTGGAGGAAGGGTTTGCATCCGGCGCGACGGCTGACGGTGGGTGGTGTAAGGGAGATGGACTTTTCTCCGACCGCGGTCGCTTGGCTGGACGTTCTGAACTTTCAATGGACTGGGAAGGGAAGAGTGACATGGCAGGCGTTGGGTCTTGAGAAGGAGGTCTGTACGAGAGAGGCGCAAAAGTAGGACTGGTCGCTAGGGCGATTGTCGCGAGAGTGTCAATCGTGGAGCTGGAGCGACCATGGCTGGTTCGGCCATGAGATCCCCGATTTGTGTTCGAATAGACATCATTGTTCAATGTGTTCCGATCGCGACCAGAGCTCGCAGCTTGCGGGCCCCCGCGGTCAATCCACGAGGCACGAAAGTCGGTGGTTGTGAAAGGAGAGATAGGCTCCACGGCGCGTCGCGGAGGAGACGGAGTGCGGTATCGCGGCGGTCGAGGTCCGGAGTGGTTCAAGAAGGACGTGGCACCTATCATGATGAAGCCTGGGAGTAGTAGAGAGAAGGTAAAAGGAGATAAAAGGGCCGGAGAAGATTATGAAGTGCCTGCGGAAGGCGAGTTCAAAGCGGGGGTGATAAACCACGCGGGCTAGAGAGAGGCCACCGCAGGCAAAAAGAGAGTCATTCCTGGCAGATGATGAAAGCGCACAGTCAAGAAACAATAAAGAAGTGCGGATTAGGATGGAAAATCGAGTACTGAATGGATGAGACGTTGAGGGAGCAAGGTCGCACGCCGGAGCGCTGGGAAGTTGAGGGGGAGGGAAGTTGACTCTCTCTCTGCGGACTACTAGTTCGAGGGCGGGAGAGGACTGCAACACCGAGTGCGAGACGTACCGCCGCGGCAGGCGGGCAAAGTGATTGAGAGGTTTGTCACCACAGGGACAGTGACAGATTTTTGAGGAATGGAAAGATGATTATGGCTGGAAATGATTGAAGGCAGCGCGGTCAATACCCTTCAATCGACGATTGACAGTGTTGGCTGGGAGTTGAGGTGACTTGAAGGAGAGGGAGGCGACTTAGAAGGCCGACCAGAACCCACCAGCAGTAGTCTTACATTCTACATAGCAGCACATAGGTTATCTACATAAGGGTACAGTCGTTATCTCGGGCATTGATACCTCCAACCAAGTACTAGTACCACTGCTATTTAAGCCTTCTTATGTACTCCAGACCTACTATCAGTATCGAGGTTTCTATCGTTTGCGGCGAGGCATACCGGGGTGAGATAGGGCCATTGGCGATCGGCACTTGGAGAGTCGGTTTGTCTCCTGCATGAATATGACTAAGTAGTATATCTTGGACAATTGTAGCTTCTAATAGACGAATTCCAATATGAGTCTAGACTTGAGTGCGACCTCCAATAAATAATGACAATCATAATGGGATTCGCCAACGGCATCGGTCGACAAGAGGAACCAACACAGTGAGGGTCGTCTGCGCCTCTAAGCCCGATCGGGAAAGGGATCCCCCCTTCCGAACCTCGTGCTCACTTTCATCTTGCGCTCCTCCGCCCATACGGATATCGACTCCCTCTCCTCCTTCTTTCTGTTCCTCTTTCTACTATTCTGATTGATACCATCCTCTTTGGGTGTCTCTCTTGCTTTTAGATAACTTGACTATTGATTTTTCTGGACTTTCCTTGTCCCAAGAATGAGCCGGAAGCTCGCCCCCGAAGCCAATCGGTGAGTCTCCTCGCGCGAATCTGCCCCTCCGCCAGAGTCTCTTACTGCTCTTGGCCTGCCATCACGCGATAGTCGCTTTTCTCAACTACATGCAGACATATTGCCCATAAATGGTCATAGACGCTGACAAACGGTTTTCCAGGATTCTCTTCGTCAAGAACCTCAAGTACGTTTCATTCATCACTGCCCTGCAGCAAGATCGACAGTCCGACTACTATCATATCTTCTGCATATATGCGAATTGCCCATAGTGCCGCTTGATGACCAGGGACTGATGAGATGATTTTTTGCAGCTACAACGTGACTGCTGAGCAGCTATTTGACCTCTTCGGCAAATTTGGACCCATCCGGTGAGCCATACTTTGAGACACACATGCATACTCTGTGTTTTGCAATATATAAGCTCACACTGCCTTAGTCAAATACGCCAAGGAATTGCGAACAACTCAAAGGGTACCGCTTTTGTCGTATACGAAGACGTTCACGACGCCAAACAGGCATGCGATAAGCTCAATGGATTCAATTTTCAGAACAGATACCTCGTCGGTATGTGTCGCCTGGTGACAACAAGAGAGCAGTTGCTTGGTGAAAGGAGAATATTTTTGCTGATTACTGGTTCTAGTGTTGTACCACCAGCCGGAGAAAATGCTTAGGTCGAAAGAGGACCTGGCGGAAAGGCAAGAGAATTTGGAGCGTCTCAAACAGCAGCATGGGATAGAATGAGGCGCCTTTTTTCTTTTTTGACGATTTCTCTGAGTACCCTTTGCAGGCATCGAGCTGCATCTTGTCTAACATGGGTTGGTTGTGGGGTTTCCGGCGTTTGACTCGTATGGTTTTCGTGGCTCTTAATTACGGGTATGAGGGTTCCTGGCGGGTATAATGAGTCTCCCTGGTCGTCGTCTAGGGAATGAGACAGAGTTAGTCTCGTCTGGGCTGGGATATGTTTTGTTGTGCCGGCCAGTTGCTATCAACAATATTATTATCCTTTCCGTTGCTGCGGCATGGGCAGCTTGCGGACATTTCATCTCCATCGTCTTAGGGTGTACGGATAAGAAGACAGTAGTTTAGAAATGGTCTGCACCCGCAAAGCGTGATCAAGGTGTTCCGAGAAGTTGCCACGGCTCTCACTTGTGTTCGCGCATGAGCTGAAGGTCATGACATCGCCTTCGAAAGTCTACAGCATAGCGGAGGGGATATGGTAGCGGTCTACTCTGTACTGCGCCCTGCACCCATTAGGGCTGATTTTACATGGTGGCATAACCAGGGTAAGATTCCTTTCCATTTCACTGAGACGAACTCGTAATTGAGGGCCTAGTTCAGGCTGGTTTCGTTCAATACCCTTCAAGGACAAAGGTATACGGAAGCGATATGTGTAATAAAAGTGACAGAGATTTCTCCTACGAACCTTGACACTTAAGTACTGTACTGGCATGAGGTCATTGCCTCACTGCCTTATAATTAAGGTATGAAACGATCCCTGACCATCGGGTGCAGGTCATCCCAAAATGGACTAGCGCCGGGGACACCTGCGGCCCCACCGACCATTTTCTCTTCAAGATTTTCTTTGCAGGGCTCTTATCATGAAGTCTACTCTCAAGCATCTCTTTCCACCTGTTCTTTAGATACCCTGCAATACGGCAGTGATCCTTTGAGTGAGCCATTTCATCTTATTTTGAAAAGCCAACACTCACTTCAAACAATGTCTGGTGAAACTTCTGCCGGTAAGCGAAATTTTAACCCTCGTTTTGCGACCATCTGCTAATGAATCCGCCCGTGCAGCCTGGCCCATTGCCGACGAGGCCCTCACCCAGAACCTCCTGGATTTGGTGCAGCAGGCTTCTCACTACCGTCAGCTGAAGAAGGGTGCGAACGAGGGTATGTATATCTGGTTAACCTTTTGTCTCTTGTTCTTGACTGACATTCTGCCTCAGCTACCAAGACTCTCAATCGTGGTACCGCCGAAATTGTCATCCTCGCTGCCGACACCTCCCCTCTGGCTATCCTGCTTCACCTTCCTCTTCTTTGCGAAGATAAGAACGTATGATTTTTCTTCCGATATACTTATACTCTTGTTGAATACTAACTATCAATCAGGTTCCTTACGTGTACGTTCCTAGCAAGCTCGCTCTGGGCCGTGCGACTGGTGTCTCCCGTCCCGTGATTGCGGCCAGCATCACCACCAACGAAGCCAGTGACCTGATGGGCCAGATCAGAACCATCAAGGACAAGGTCGAGAGACTGATGATCTAAACATGGTTCGATCTGTGGATGAGTGAGGCAATTCCAGAGTTTTGCCCTTACAGTACGAGCTGGTCGACATGGCCCAGACTGTAAGAGTGCATGAATCATCGAGGCAAATCACGAGTCTATCTTCAAATTGAACTCGTGATACGAATGATTCAGGAAGTTGTCAAGGGGTTGAATATTTTGCCTGTACTTCTTCTCATGTCTTTGGATAATTGCTATATCTCGCTCGTCACATTGAGTGTCACCAATGAAGTGAGTTGTTTGACCACTCATCCCTCTTTTGGAGAAATATGCAGCGTAGGGAGATATGAACAAAAAAATAATTATTAGACTAGAAATATTTCGACAGTGAGAACTAGTTAGATAGAAGTGATGGCGAAATCGTCTATGCGCCTTGGCACTGCAGGATGAGCGGCGTGACTAAATCGAACTAGTGGACCATAGACCGTAACCTGGCGGAGGCATGTCTCATTCTGGCACTGACGACTTGTGGCATTTCAAGACAACCCACCTGGACTGGTTCCGACTCCTTGCTGGTAAAGGACATAACACTCAAGACCTCTTTTCTTACCTTTCATGTATTTCCGCCAACTTTGATCTATCCAAGCATTGTGGCAGGTCCAGCGTACACTCTATTTCGGTCATCATCACTGATGCCTGCTATACGAGCCGCCCTCGTATTATAGGGAGCTCTTGAAAGAGCCCTAGTTTCATTGTCTCGACGTGCCTTATTTTCATTTTGGAGATTGTGGACGTCGAAGGCGGAGATAGAGCAGGAATGTGTCTCCCATCTATGACTTCACTGGCAGCGGCGGCTACAGCCATCGCAGTCATGAGCAGTGGCGCCCCAACATCATCACCCACACCTTCAATACCTGTACCCTCTTCCATGGCTGGTCCGCATCATGATTCTGATGGAGAAGACAATGGAGAATGCAGACTGCTGGGTCCGTTTTCGATTCTCGTCCAAGCGGCACTCGGATCACTGGCGCTGTTGTCCTTGGTATACAAGCGCTGGAGGGAGAGACCCCAGCGGCCTGTGAAGGTGTGGGCATTTGACGTATCGAAACAAGTCTTTGGGTCGGCAATGCTACATCTTGCGAATCTACTCATGTCCATGTTCTCTGCCGGCCAGTTCGAGATCACGAGCAAATACAGGCCGAATCCGTGCTCGTTCTATCTTTTGAATTTGGGGATTGACGTGAGTCATTTCCGGACATTTACGAATTTAGTTGATGTAGGAGCTGACGATTGACCTCCGGATCAGACTACGCTCGGAATCCCCATTCTCATATTCATTCTCCACATTCTAAACCGCCTAGCGGCATATACTCCCCTAGCGAATCCCCCGGAATCGATCGAGTCTGGAAACTATGGCGCTCCGCCACGGGCCGCCTGGTGGTTCAAGCAGGCTATGATATACTTCTTTGGGCTATTGGGAATGAAAATTTGCGTCTTCTTTCTCATTCAATTACTGCCCTTCATTGTCAAGATAGGTGACTGGGCACTGCGCTGGACGGAAGGGAACACAGCTCTGCAGATCATCTTTGTCATGCTGCTTTTCCCAGTGATCATGAACGCCATCCAGTACTACATCATCGATACTTTCATCAAGAAACCGCTATCTCAAACTCACGAGCTGCTCCAGGAAGAAGATGAGGTGGAAGATGCTTTGCTGGATGACGGTCGAACACCGCGCAATGCACTGCTGTCTAACGTTAACGATGCTGATACATTTGGGCCGGATGAAGGTATTATGGGAAAGGATCTGGGCAGAAATCTGGAACCGCCCGCACGGCTGAACGGATTTGGTCATGCCGAGTACGATCCGGCTGTTGATGGGGAGTATTTCTCCCCAGCGTCATCGGCGTCTGCCAGCTCCAGCAGCAGTCATGGAGAATACGATGCAATGTCATCTTCCACAAAGCTTACACTTCAGAACAAGAGATCATGACGACCTTGTTTATGCTTATGCGTCGGCGTTGGGTGCTTGATATGGATACTTCTGTGCCGATGTCGCGGCCAGTCCTGCTTTTTTGTTCGCAGCCTTATACACTTCTAAATTTGTTTATAGCGATCCAGACGACATGTATATGCTTTAGTCACACTCCAATGAGATATCGACTCACCGTGCAATCGAGGCCATGGGTAATATATTAGGCATAGGGTAGAGTATGCAGAATTGGCGTGTCATCCTCTTTCCACGACAAAGGCTATTCTTGAATAATTATCCTACGACCTATTGGAATAACCTAGTCATTTTCAATGTTCAACTCTGTCGACCGTGACCTATATAGCTGTGTTGCTGCTTGAACCAGAAGATGCCGTAGGCATCAATATCCACCGCCAATGTCACCGCCTTGTTCTGCCGTTGAAGCGAAAAGAAAATTATTGTCAGGTCCTTTGACGGCCCGCAGACGATATTTCATTCGATCTGGACAATATTCTCACATTGCGCTTTCTATATATGGTACATTTATAATTATATCGATTCAAACGGCTTACTACTATCGTGTGAGATTTTTCTCATTCCGACGACGGCAAGATGCCCAAAACTACCGTCACTGTCAAGGAAAAGACCCGCCAAAAGACGACGGCAAACTCGCGCTCTCAATTTAAGAATGGAGCTTCTTCCAAGCCTGTCGACGAGAGCGATGCTTCCGATGTTGAAATGGTCGACGGCGTTGAGACCGAGAAAGTGCGCGAGAAGGACGAGGCGGAGAAGAAGCTGGAGAGAATGCTCTTCGGTGATGACGAGGGTTTCGTGGGCGCATTGAAGAACCAGGATCGCGAGCTTATGGCTTTGATGGCGAAGAGTGATGAGGAGAGTGGTAGTGAAGAGGATGAGGGCGATGATTTTGACGATCGGGATTTGTCAGATGTTGCTGATGCAGATGTTTGTTCATCCTCAACCCCCCGGTGGGTATGTGCGTGCGCTAATAGAATTTCCTACAGCTCTTCTTCCTCGATTCTGGCACTGCGCCAGTTGGTACTGAGCTTGCGGAGACTTCGGCGGCGGGGTCCGACTCTGAGGAAGATACAGACGCGGAGGAAACGCATCGCGCTGTGTGGCACGACAGCGACGATGAGCGCCTCACGATTTCGCTGGCTAGTCACCAGAGGTTGAGGAAGTTGCGCGTCACGGAGGCGGAGGATGTCATCAGCGGCAAGGAGTATATCAAGAGACTTCGCAGACAGTTCGAGCAACTGCATCCTGTACCGGACTGGGCCAACCCAGAATTGAACAAGAAACGGACCGATTCGGACTCTGATCGTGACAGCGACATGGAGACGGACGATGAGAATGAGCGGCTATCTACACAACCGTTGGCCAAGCTGCTGCAAGGTGCTACTGATCTGACCACGCTTGGTGAAAGCACAGGCGCGGGAGGCAAGAGAAAATTGCGACAGGAGGTGATAGATATCCACAGACTTAAGGATGTCGGCAAGGATCAGCCGGTAAGTTTTCTATGTGAGCGGCAGCATTGCATAGTTTTGGTATTAATCCTTCTGTTGCAGTCTTCCATCGACTCGCTCATGTTCCACCCTCACTACCCATTGCTTCTGTCGTCCGGACCTGCAGCAACGCTCTTCATCCATCACATCTCACCTTCTGCGGAGGCTCCCAATCCCCTTCTCACATCACTCCATATCCGCCGTACACCCATCCACACCTCCGCTTTTGCTCCTCCTACCGGTAACAAGATCTTTGCCTCTGGTCGTCGACGATACTTCCACATTTGGGATCTCGATACTGGCAAGGTCGAGAAGGTCAATGGCACTGCAGATCGTAAGGAGGAACAGAAATCCATGGAGCGGTTCAAGCTTTCACCCTGTGGGCGGTATGTCGGACTGGTCGGCTCCTCTCGCAAAGGAGGTGGTATCATCAACGTCCTGCACTCGGAGACGGCGCAGTGGATTGCCCAGGTTCGCGTGGACGGCCGTGGGGTGTCGCCGATTTCGCCTGGTGGAGTGATGGAGAAGGTATGACTGCCGCGAGCAAGAACGGTGAGGTGTCTGAATGGGACGGACGTCTGAACCGGGTTGTGGCTCGTTGGATGGACGCCGGTGCCGTGGGGACAACGACACTCAGCCTTGGTGGACGCTCTGGACGGACACAGTTGGGTGGAGACCGCTGGGTTGCCATTGGAAGTTCCAGCGGCGTAGTCAATGTCTACGACCGTCGCGAATGGGCGGCCGCATATGCTGCGCAGGCTGCCTCTTTGGAGACGTCGCCGATCCCGCGTAACCCGGAGCCTGTACGTGCCTTGGATCAACTCACCACGCCCATTAGCCATCTGGTCTTTGCACCAGACGGGCAGTTCCTTGTCATGGCTAGTCGGTGGAAGCGGGACGCATTAAGATTGGGTATGCCTCTATTTCTGCCACTGTTTATGGTAACTTTAACTGACTGACCTTTTACAGTTCACCTTCCCTCTTGTACAGTGTACCGCAACTGGCCCACATCCAACACGCCTTTTGGCCGTATCTCGTCAGTAGCTGTCTCCCCTAGTTCGGATCAGCTGGCAGTCGCCAACGAACAGGGCCGTATCCGACTGTGGGAGATTCGCGGGTAGACGGGTTGACTCAAAACAACGAGCTGTTTGGAAGAGGGAAAAAGTTGTTCTTGTACAATTTAGGCATTGCGCATCGTATAGATCTAGCATACATTCAAACGATAAAGATCATCGCACATATCACACGGCCATCGGCCAATAATAGATTCCCGGCTCATAAGCTTCAGCCGAACATTCAGACCGCATACTCCATTCCCGCCAAAGCCACTGCGAAACAAAAGGAAAAAGACCCGAAACTCCATCACTGTGCGGTCATTAATGAACTCAACGATTTCATAACCCCCTGCGGATAGTCAGCACCCCATCCCACCGAAAGAGGCCAGCCTCATATGAACGTATAACTTACATCAAGGCCGAGCTTTATAGCGAAACAAATCATTAGAATCTGCTCACACCAAGCTAATAATAAATCCAGGATAAAATAAACTCACCGAGTCCATGAGCTACCCCGCAAATCACAATCGTCAGCAAATATAGACGCCAGCAGAGCGGAACCAGAACCTGGTCCTCAGATATAGATTTAACTTACCGAGCCAATGATATGAACCTTTTGCACGCATCAGTTTAGCACATCTGACATCAAGAGAAACTCAAACCTACCTTCTCCTTATCTTTATTCTCCGGATCACTCTTGCTCGCGGCAGTCGGGTTCGAGTTCGAGTTCGAATTCGAATTCGAGCTCGCGCTCGCGCTCGGGGCCGGCGTGAGCGTGACGAGGACCTTGTTCGTAGAATCGAGCTGGGCCGTCGCGGCGGACACAGAGGGTGGGAAGAGTTTAGTGCCGAGAGTCGGGACGAGGGTTGTGTCTGGTGGGAGGAGTTTGGTGGTGGCTGTTGGTACGAGGATGGGAGCTGGCATGCGGATGGTGTCTGTGTTGGTGCTGTTGTAGTCTCTTACCCATCGATGAGGAAAGGCCAGGGCTGTCGTAGTGAGGGCCGTGGTGAGGATAGTAATAACACCCTTCATTTCTGCTGGTTATTTGGAACAGTAATTTGCTTGCGTGGTTAGTTATAATGGGGAGTTGAGAGAAAAGAGAGCAGGGCCACCTTGGTAGTTCGACAGGAGTCAACAGCTAAATCAAATTATGGTAACAGCTGTCTTGCAAAGCTTAATGTGAGTTGGAAATAAGAAGAAAGAGTTCCACATGTTGTGTATATATGGGCCTGTTGTCGGGTACATATGATACTCCAGCTTCCAGGCATCACAACAATGCAGTGCTGTGGATCAACCGATAAGACCATGTCCATCTGCCGGGGCAACGTGCCTGCCATAATGCCATGAGACCCTGGCATTTTATAACGGGTCATTATTCCGAACACCGTGCTCCTTGCGGAGGCGCATTCGTCAGGTCAACCGGGTATCGGGTTGGGGTTTGAATATGCTATAGAAACGGCAAGACTGCTATTTCATATAAGACCCCGTCAATCAAATGTCGTAGATGCTGACGAAGAATTTGTCGCAGTGTCGTCCAATTCGTCAGTTAATGAGGCCAGTCTGTTTTGGGGTATTCGAACATTCCTGCCGTGCCTTTGGAATGCTGGGTTCCTTGGGCAAATCTAAACATGTCTGCAAACCCAAAACTAGCAAAGAATCCAACTTGTCTCTGATTGAGCATCTAGATCCCTTGCCGAGGGCTCAGGTCTTCCATGCCACTTGTCCGCTGAGGCGGATATTCTAGAATGATTGACGTGCAGATGATGTTGGTAACTCAGAAGAGGCAAAACAATCAGCGCTGCCGTTCCCTGGCAAGTTCAATTTCGTCAGTTGGCTGTCAATGTAAGTAAATATGTTAGTCTTCCAGCGCATTTGAATGGATTGTATTGGTAGCGTAATATCATTCATTGAGCCTGTATGTTGTTTGTATGTACAGACACTCGCATTCCAGTCGGGTCGTTCTATGGGGTCTGTAGCCAAGAAAGACCATGTGCATCCTCCATAACACCGACAGATTCGTGCTCTTGTATGACTTTCATGGATATTTTCGTCAAACCCAGGGCCGCTTCCACTTGCCATACCAAAACACCGTATCCAAAGAAAACTCGTCATCAGCCAAAAAAAAAAAGTCCTTCCAAATATCAGATATTGACATTTAAAGCAGTTTCTGCATTTCGTCCTTGTTCCGGATACCAGCCAGGTTGCCGGCCCTGACACGTTTGAGGGTCAAGGCGGCGATCAGCGCGGCACCGACACCGGAACCATCCTCGGCCGCCATAATGGTGACCTTGTCCTTCTCGTTCGGAGCCCAGTCCAGGATCTCGCGCAGAGCCTGGGCACCACGAGCCTTGAAGTGAGGGTACTTGGTGAAGACGGAGCCGTCCGCACCAACGTGGCAGCTCTCGATCTTCTTCTTTTTGCAGATAGCGGCCACACCGCAAGCTGACAGACGAGCTGCACGCGTACCGATCAGCTCGGCCAGACGACGAATCATCTCGAGCTCGGCCAAAGTGGGCTTGATGTTCAATTCGCGCTCGAACAGCTCCTGTGTTTCCTGCAAGTTCTCGTAGGGATCCTCCTCGATGGCAGCCAGGAAGGAAGCGTCCAGCAAGTACGGCTTCCGCAGCTTGCTGGTGTCCTGATTCTGGAAAATCAGTCCTGGTCTGCTGTCCAGGAGATCAATCAGGGCCAGACGGAAGATCTCTCCCAGGTAGAGACCGGCCGTCATCTTCTCGAAGGCCTGCTGACCGGGGCGGGGAGAGTCGCGGTCAATGATGTGATCGTACTTTGTGAGGGGAAGAACAACGTGCTCGTTGTCGAAAGCACCGTACTCGCAATTGATAGCCACTGGCATGTCTGGGGGCAGGTTCATGTGGGCCAGCTTAGGGACGGAGCCAACATCCTCCATGTAGGCCGCATTGACACCTGTACCAAAAATACATCCAATCTTCATCTGGGGATCGGTGTAGGCCGAGGCGATGAGCGTTCCAGTGGTATCGTTGATCAAAGCAGCGACCTTGATAGGAAGTCCCTGAAAAGCACATTGTTAGATGTCCGTAGATTGGCGACAACAAGTAAGAGAGGGCATACCTTTCTCTTCAGCGTTTCCTCCAGGGGAGGGACGACATCTTGTCCCTCGACACCATCAATGTCGAAGCCCTTAGTCCAGCGCTGAAGAACACCATGATCAATGTACTCTTGTGTAGCCGGGTAGGAGAAGGTGAAACCGAGGGGCAATGATGTCAATCCTTCCTCTCCGTGGTGGAACTCAATGAATTGCTGTATGCAGTCGGCGATGTATTCCCACAGCTCCTCAGCGGTTCCGGTCTTCAGTTCTTCCGGCATGCGGTACTTGGACTGGCAGATATCGAAGCCTCCCTTCTCTTCCGTCAAGGTAATCTCACAGACGCGGAGGTTGGTGCCACCCATATCCAAGGCAAGGAAGGTTCCCTGCTCGTCTCCATCGGGGAAGTCCATAACCCAGGTAACGTTCATCGGCTGTTGCGTAGTCCTAGTGGTCAGCGTACAAGCTTCTCCGGACGGATGCGGTCAAGCTCACGATGTTACCGCCCTCCACGCTGAGACCTAATCAGAAACCACAGGTTAGCTTTATTAAACTTCTGATGGCTACCGGAGCTATCAAGGGATAGGTAAAAGATAAGGGCTTACCCTTCTCGAGCTCCTTGACGAAGTGGTCAACCACCTGCTTGAGCTTGGCCCTGTCCACAGTGAACATCTCCTCGAAATCCTTAATCTGCTGTATGAGATTCTGAGGCACATCGGCCATCGATCCTGTTTCAATTGCATTTCGAATGAGCCATCCTGCCAAATGTTTTGTAGCTTTGACCGGTTTGACCTACCCTTGCGGGATGGGGGACGCTTGGGACCAATTCCGACCATTGTGTAATTAGAGTGGGTATTAGAAAGGAACGATAGATATGAACAATGAAGGAGATATATGAAAAGAAATAAGTAGGAGAAGAGAGAGAGAGAAAGACAAAGAATTGAGTTGGGAGGGAGGGGGAAGGATATTGATAACGAGAACTACGGACTATGAGGTATCTAGAGACACCGTGGGGCAGCGACCGGAGAAGGTCCAAGAGAATCAAACACTGCCAGAGCCACCGAAGAAGGCCCCGCACAGAACGATGAAATCGCAGTGGCCGTTGATCATCCGATTCCCTCACCGGTTGGTCTCTTTCAGCTGGGGTCGAATTCTAGTGAGAATCGAATTTTCTGGCATTACGCTATTGATACTCCATCCATTGTTTATTCCAGATACCGAGTTTCTGCTCTAGGGGTTGGGGGTTCATACCGAGTCCCTCCCCACCTTTCGCAGGATCCGATGACAACCTTAATGCTTCCCAAAGGATTATCTAAATAATAGCAAATGATTGAGAATCGAATCCTCGAAAGCCGGTGAGATTCGGAGATCCTTTTGTGATGCGTCAATTCCGCTGTTGGCGCCTCGATAATAACAATAGTCAATAATCCATCCAGTAAGCAGCGCTGAGCGCTTCTAGAACATTGCTTATTATGGTTGCTATAGTTAAACTACGTAGTTAGTTGTCTTTTCATGCTAAGGCCAGCTTCATTATTAATTCATTATTTTGCATACCATGATTCATCTATGTCTCACCTATAGATTTCGTTCAGATTCTCGTCATTCACATTCATGTGAGAAAGTTTAGGATGCAAGAGAATCAACCATCCGTGATCCGGCCAAAGCCACATCAGCGCCATCATTAAATAGTGGTCACACTAAAGGACTCACATGGCTCACAGGGCATTTGACTTCTTCCTTTGACTAGCCAAATGAGGGAATACATGTCCCAATCCCCCCTCGCTGTCATGCACAGCCGTTGGTTGTAGCTCCTTTGCTTTCGCATCTCCTGTGACAAGCGCATCCTGGGCAAGTCCTCCGTCCATCTCCTCATCGCGGTGGATTCCGGACGACTGGCCCAGGGGCTGTTTACTCGACAAGGCCTGGGCACGGTGGGCTGCTGCCGTCCCTTGTCTGATGCCTGCTTCCTTCTGAGAATGACGATCCAATTGCCGTCGCACTCTTTCGTGATACGCCCCGGAAAATCCCAGCGCTCGATCAACTTCTTCTGTCAGACGCTCCACCTCATCGTGTAGCCGTTCGTCTCTTGTCCATAAAGGTGCATTCTCGGCATCTCGTGTCTCTTTATCAGGATTCGTCCTCTCCCACAGTTCCTCAAGTTCCTGTTCCCAACCGAGCGCTCGTGCGAACTTTCGCACACCAGCATCACAATCGCCCAAAAGAAGGACATCGTCGGGACGAGACCCCATACCTCCAACACGTTCCATGTTAATCAGCACTCGCGGAACCCCCTCACGACAGAATGACGGTAAACTAGCAAATGGGTGTACAGTGAGACTCGTCCCCATAACAATACATAAATCTGCTTGTTCCGGGAGACTTCGGTTTGCATGGAATTCCTCGGGCAGGGCTTCTCCGAAGAAGACAATGTCCGGCTTCACAAAACCGTTGCAACGAGGACAATGAGGCACCTCCCCTTTGGCAATAGCCTCCTTCATTTGAGGTTCCGGGTACGCCGCCTTGCAGTCAATACAGTGTTGCGACGCGAAGCTACCATGGGCCTCGACAATTTTCTCGCCTGGGACTCCTGCCAGGCGCTCCAAGCAATCAATGTTCTGTGTAAAGTGTTTCAACAGCAGCCCCTTATCGTGCAGTAACTTGACAAACGAATGCGCAATAGTTGGTCGATACCGGCCAGGCGCCAACTCACGCGCCAAGGCGTAGAACGGTCGAGGGTTCTCTCGAAAGTAACTGATATCGAACACATCCTCCGGCTCTGGCAGATCTAGAAAGGCTAGATTGGAGTAAAGGCCAGTGTCTGGGGAGCGAAAATCGGGAATGCCCGCCGAGGTACTGATTCCAGCCCCTACCTGCCATCACCACCGTTAGCTGCTACATGCGGGGCAAGGAGGGGCGATCTCGGAATATGTCATACCATGACCACAATGCGTCGCACATCTTTCTCTTTTATATATTTGGCTACTGCTTCAATATTCCGCGCCTCCAGTACCGATGGTGAAGTTCCCTCGTCGACCACAGTGGACGTTTCACTGCCCATGTTGCGTCGGGAATATCCCACACTGGGCCGCTATGCTGGTCTCTGGAACTTCGTCGGCGGTCAATGCAGCTGGTAAAGGAGCTCAACTTCTTATCAATTATGTTTGAGAACATAAATGATGAATAGATAATAGAGGCACGAAGACGTAGCAAAGAAATTCACCGTTGATAGCGATGCAGTAGCAAATGACGTCGAGTTGATATCTCAGAAGGAGAAAATCCCCCGATTGGGTAGTCGGTCGGCCTGGCTGCCTGAGGCTTGCAGTTGTACAGCAATCGGTCTCCAAGAAGGAGATTTGATATTATATTTTCATGCGTCCTGGATCAAATTGTTGTTAATACAAGATACAGCTCTTCAAGATAAAGTCCATTGCACTTCTTTCAAATGAGCGAATGTTCTGAAGCGATAACAGGAGCTGCCTAAGGCATAAGCTTCTCACCGCCCACTGGTTGCTCTATCTACTCCGTATCTGGATCGGATGAATCTCCGCACTGTCAACAAGACAAGACACATTGCATCTTCCACCGACGCTCCGTCGAGCAGGGGTTTGGACACGATGTCCAGGACAGAAAGCTCCATCACCAATGGGCATGTGGTCTCGTCTGCAGAACAGAACGGAGAACGCGCGAACAACCACCTCCCAATTGACGTGTTCAATGCCAGTTCCGTTGCGGAGATCAAGGCCGCCCTGTCACACCTCCATGAGCAAGAAGTCGCCGTCACCGCTCGGCTGGACGCCCTTGTCGCTTCACAGAAAGATTTCTCCCGGGAGATAGGGCGGCTAGATCTTCTTCGCGCCCACTTGGGTTCCCAGACCAGCACCACCCACGCAATCAGCCATGGCATATTGTCCGACGCGGCGGCTACCGCAGATCGCATCTCGAGCGCCGTCCGTCGGCTCGACCTGGAGCAGTCAAGAGTGAAAGCGACGCTGGAGGTGGTGGAGCAGGTTTCAGAGCTGAAGGCTTGCGTTCTGGGTGTTGCAGGCTCCATGGGGGCCCCGCAGGATTGGGAAACGGCGGCCAGTTATCTGAACAGGGCGTCCAAGATACCTCCGGAGGTGGTTCTAGGTACTTTTGCAGCCGAGATGGTGCCGACCGCTGAGGTTCCTGACCCACCAAACGTCACTCTGGATAACGCGGCTGAATCGCTTTGCGGCTTATTCCTGCGCGAGTTTGACAAGGCCGTTAAAGAGAATGATGGCGCTAAGATCACACGGTTCTTCAAGTTGTTTCCTCTCATTGGTCGCTCTGAAGTTGGTCTGGATGTGTATGGACGCTATGTATGCCAAGGAGTGGCGTCGCGGGCGCGAGCGAACCTCAATGCCGGCACGGGAGGTGCTCAGAGCAAGGATGGCTTCTTCTACGCAAATGCGCTGACGAAACTGTTTGAGCATATCGCCCAGCTCATTGATGGACATGGAGGCCTTGTGGAGCGGCATTACGGCCCGCGGAAGATGAACAGGGTCATTGAACGTCTACAGCTCGAGGCGGATCTCCAGGGTGGGATTATTCTGGACACCTGGAGCGACGAGCGGCACGTCGATCGCAAGCTCACAGACATCAAATCGTACGCCTTTACTTTCTTGGTGCAGAGTTTCCTTCCTGCTCAACGCAGTGCAACGCCTCGGTCGAATTCCCCAGCGGCTCGCGACGGACTCCCCGCTGAAGATGAGGGGGTAGACATGAAAGAGATCGACGGGCTACTAAACGAAATGGCAGTCATGCTGGGCCGCTGGTGTCTCTACTGTCGATTCATCGCCGAAACTTGCAATGTAAGTTATCTGACTGTGTCAACAGCCTTTTGGATGGATGTGTGCAGAAAGCTGACTCTGTGCAAGGCCACCGAGGACGAGACTCAGAAGTTTACGCCACCCAAGTTTCTACAGCAAGCGAGTCTTTCCAAGAAAATCAATGACCGCCTGACCAACCCATTCAATACTATGACGACCTTTTTCTTCCGTCGCTCGGTGGAAAAGGCGTTTCAGTTGGATGAACAGCCTTCTGGTCTGACCCTGCACCCGCAAAAGCCATTGAAGGCAGATCCTCCTCATATCACATCTGCAGTGGACGACATCATGTATATTGTCAACAAGGTCTTGCAACAGTCACTGGCCACGTCACAAATCTCGGTAGTGATTAATGTCGTCCCCACATTGGGACGAGTTCTTGGATCGGACTTCATCGGAATGACCCAAAGAAAGATGCGTGATGAATGCTATCCCAAGGCTCCTGTCCAGGGGGCTCAGCCGCCTGAACAGACCGTGATCTCCTTCCTCGTCTTGATCAACAACCTGGATGTTGCCATCGACTACATACGCCGCATTGTGCAGAACCACACCGAGACGAAAAAGACCATCACTGGCCCGGATGGTCAGGTCGAAGAAACAGACCAGCTGAGGTCCCTGTTCCCCGTGCCTGCAGAGGCCCAACTTGCGGCGCAAACGCTGCAGACCCTCGCCTCGTCCTTCGAGTCCAAAGTGAATGACCTCCTATCCGACGGCATCCAGGTCGTATTCAACAATGTCGTCAAGCACCGCCTGCGACCTATCCTTGCGGATGCTTTCCGTGACATCGAATACCAGCCGCGGGACGACAGCGACCCAACGAGCACCGTCTACCACGACTACGGCGACGGAGGCGAGGACGTAGACGACGGCGCCAGCCGAGCGGAGCTGGTCCGTCCGCGCTTCGCCGCCAGCTGGACCGAGCTCCTCCTCCCCATCTCCCGCATCCTCACAGCCTCAGCCTTTGACCGCCTTCTAAACGTCACAGTCGCGTACCTGGCCCGGCTGCTCGAGAAGAGACTATGGTCATACCACGGACGGATCAACGCACTGGGCGCCACCCGACTCGAGCGCGACGTCTCAGGAGTGGTAAGCGCAGCAGTGGACGTTGGCGGCGCCCAAGGTGCCTCGGGACGCTACCGACACCGGGAGGCGTTCGCCCGCTGCCTGCAGATGGTGCTTGTGATGGGAATGGACGACGACGAGTGGGAGGACGTCACCCGCGGAGGCGAAATGGCAGACGTGCTCGATAAGCTCAATCGGGAGGAGCACGCGCGGATCCGCGCAATGGTGCGGCGGTGATCTTGCGTCTCCTTTTTTACATAGTGTATACTGCATAGACTGCCGCGAATGTAAATAGCATAACCGTCAGATAGAAGCATTTACTGTAACGCGGCAACACCCTTGCCTAATCAGACAGACGTACTCACCCCTAGGTCGCGTCTTAAGACTAAAACAAGGTTACTAGCGCAGGACTTATATCTCTTATATAGAAACATGATATCCAGAGAACCAATGCAGCACAGCGAGGTGGAGATTCTAAAGTAGCCAGGCATGAACCTTAAGAGCGACGCAATACCATCCCGCTGGACCGGCGCTGTTTCAAATTGGAGGAGCCACTTATGGTGCTACCAAATATACACAATGAACAAGCACAGATTATCTGATCGTTATTGAATTATTCAATTCTATACACGTGGTATCGTTGCTAGCTCCAATGACTGACATCCCGCCGGTCACAAAAAATAGTATATACAAAAAAGCCGTAGATCAGGACCAGATGAACGCCGATGTTGCTAAACCAAGAGTCACAGACAGCGTGGGGTGGGGGGTTGGGGAAAAATGCACATGTAGTCAATGGCGTAGCCCCAGGCGACGCAGCATTGAAAAGCGGAAGCAGAAAAATCGATGCTGGATATCTCAAATAGTCGCTTGGAAAAGAAACAAGAATAAATTGGGGGTAACTGAGGGTGGAAGAAAATGAGGTAAATGAGGTAGGAGGTAAGGTTATTATGATGAGCCGTCTTGCTTCTCGTCGATTTGAGGAGCTGCAGGTGTCCCGTGCGTCTCTTGGGCTTGCGCAGGAGGATTGCGCTCGGCGACCTGTCGTGGAGCTGGTGCGATCTTAATCTCCTGAATGCCAGAGTCGCCTTCGCTGCATCCTCGGCTGTCGATTCCCACGGGAGTCTGGCCTTCGAGCATCTCACTGTGCTCTCCGATGCCATAGCGGGCAGCATGAGGGATCTCGTGGCCGTCTTCGAGCTGGTCGTGCTTCTGAGGCGTCCAGGCCAGGTAATCACGGCGAACTTCAACATAGTCATATGCGAACTCGCCCAGCTGGTCGTCGTCCATGCCGAGCAACTCTGCCTCTTCGGAGGCACGCAGCTTCAGGCCAGGAATAGCGTTGATGGCGTAGGCAATGATGGCGGAGACGACGAAGGAATAAGCGCAGGAAGCCACGATGAAAGCAATTTGGATGTAGAGCTGCTTGTAGTTGTGGATGACCCATCCACCAACTCCGGTTCCAGTGTTCACACCATCCAGACCGACGATTGCATCGTCTGCGAAAAGGGCGTTGAAAATAAGGCCAACGATTCCTGCGACACCGTGTTCGGCGAACACATCCATAGAGTCATCGATACGGATCCAGTATTTAACTATACAAGAAAGAGTGGTTAGCAAAGCGAACTGGACACCATAGACTTTATCAACTTACCCTTGGTGGCATAGTTGCAGACAACGCCAGTCACGATACCAAGGATAACACTGGCCCAAGGGGTCAAAAACCCAGAGGCGGGAGTCGCAGCGACCAGACCGGAAATAGTGCCGGAACACCAGCCGACCATCGACCACTTTCTAGCCAGACGCCAATCGAGAAGAACCCAGGTAATGGCTCCAAAGGCAGCAGTCAGGTTTGTGTTCCAGCAAGCCATGGTGGCTCGAATGTTGGCACCGAAGGAAGAACCACCGTTGAATCCAAGCCAACCGAACCAGAGAAAGACGGTTCCGAGGAGAATGAGCGAGACGTTGTGAGGGCGGAAATTCAACATCATGCGTTCCTGACGACGACCGAGAACCATCGAATAGGCGAGAGCTGCCATACCGGATCCGATTTCGACAGGACCACCACCGGCATAGTCCAAAACACCGTATTTGAATGCCCAACCGTTCACGTTCCATACCCAGCAAGCCATAGGACAGTAGACGATAGTAGCCCAGATGAAGGTGAAAACCATGGCCGGAAGCAGACGTCCACGTTCTGCAACAGCGCCCATAATAATAGCCGCAGTCACACCACAGAATTGCATCTATGCCAGACAGGCTTTGGTCAGCCTGCAATGTCCGCTAAATCCTGGCAAATCTTGAAGAGTGGTATCATACCTGGTAGAAAGCATAGAGGATATTAGGAATGAGAGGTGATCCAGGACTCGGGTCGGCCAGAGTTTTCATGAGACCAAAGTTGCGAAGGTTGCCAATGTAGCCATTGGTGGCAGTAGGAGAGAAGGCGAGGGAATAACCCCAAAAGTACCACTGGAAGGTGACGACCGAGAATGATGCCATACAGGCCCAGATCATACTCAGAGCCGACTTACGACGAGCGAGACCAGAGTACAGGAATCCAAGACCAGGAATCATGACCATGACCATGGCGGAAGCCACGATGATGTACGCCTGGTCACCCGATTGAAACCATTTGTTCAGATTCTCCGTTCCTGAAAATGATGCCGTTAGAATCATGGTCCCATACAACGCGAGCAGAAACTAGAAAACATACTGGAATCACCGCCAATGTCATTTGTGGCGAACTGCGCATAGTTTGCGGGAGCACCAGTCCAGTTGTATGACGCATAGTCTGGGGCATATGGAGCGACGCCTGGTTGAGAAGACATGGTGAAATGCTGAAATTATGATTCTACGTGTATGCTGAGTCGATGAAGAACGCAGAGAATCTCAATGCATACGAAAACCACCAGACACTCTCTCCCGGGATGTGTGGCCGTTGCGTTGTAGGGTGGGCGGAGAGAGGGATATAGTTATGGTTTCCGATGCCGGAGGGAGAGGCAGAGAGCGGAAAAGGCTAGCGAGAAAGTGACACGATCGGAGGGCGGGAAGTTTCGGTTGAAGAGGAATTGGTATAGACGGGTCGAAATGGATATATTGTTGGCTAGATCAAACCTCCTACTTCGCTCACTCAAGAACGAGACTGTAGTTGAAAAGAAGGATCGAGCGAGTGAGAGAGTGAGGGAGTGAGCAAGTGAAGAAGTGTAGACTCCGCTCTGTGGAGAAAGACAATTGCCACGGGGGCGGAGGACGTAGTATATAAGAAGATGGCGAGAAAAGATCGATAGGGTCATAGGAATTTAATCAAGCGTTCTGGAAAGGCATCCCGGTGGGCCAGGAATTGGACGGACACACGAATTTGCGTTTGCAAATTTGAAGGAGTCAAGCGATGATAGCGATAGATCGACAGTCTTCCATGGGCAGACAAGACCGTGAGAGCTGTGGGGCGGTAATTATCGATATTTTTAAATGCTTTCCTGGTCTCTTTCTTTAATCCGCTCTTTGGTGATGATATCGGTTGATATTAGTGTTCGTATTAGTCTTCCAGCTTGATTGATAGATAGTTACTGGTCCTGGTACAGTCAGATGCGATTTCCCTGTAAACAAAATTAAATTAAATTAATAACAATAAGAAACTGCATAAGGCGAAATAAAGCAACTAAAAAAATATCTAAAAAAGAAACCTCCTTGCAGCTTTGGAGGGAGACGCGGTTAAACCAGAAAAATGAAAGGAAAAAAAGAACCTGGAGATAACATGCAGAAGACGCCCAATGGAATAATCGATTTAATAAAGAAAGATAAGAGAACAGCCAATAAGGTGTTCGAGCCTGACGGCTCTGGGCCAATCAGCCACAGGCGAAAACAAACTCACCAATCAATGGCGATCCCATATGAAATGGAGCTCACCTCCAGTACTCGACGACCAACATCATGATCTAGGACACACTGAAGAAGACTTGACCTACCTACTGTCCGCATTCCAATGACGGTATGAGACAACTTCAAGACAGATGTTGCTCGCATCATAGCTTCTTTGCATCTCGAACTGCCTCGTGGCGAATGCGCTTCAGTATGGAGTGGTCCATATCCATTAATATTTTTTACCCGACAGGACCCAACTTTAATCCGCTCTGTTATCCCGGCCGGCCAAGACCACCGTCGAGACGGTGTGGGAAACTGACTGACTGTGGCGAATACATAATCATATTATCATTGCACTCCACGCACAGTAGTCATCGTCATGGCCTGGTGGATAGGGATAATAGAGAGATAGATAGGAAGGAGACTTCCACCCCCAAACATCGGTTCGTTGCTTTTTCCATGCCAGGTGGTTAAATATTCCTCTTGGCTTCGAGCACTGACATGTGGTCTGTGGCTCATATTCAGGCTGGCTTTGGTAGGTAGGTTGTTGTACAACTTTCAAACAGCGTTGACTGCCGGGTTCTTACCCTTATTTATGCTCTTGGTTAATCAACGCTACATACTTCCCAGGCAGGTAGAATGAGTACTGCCTGCTATCTTAAGATGATAACATATCCGCCGACACATGCCGCGATAGATAGATAGATAGATAGACACTCCGTACAGTGATAGTCTTACTCCAGCAAGTGTTGATGATATGAAGAGATACCTCCACCCCTGTCAACTCCGCGGTACAGCCCCCATACAACTCGATCCCACGGCACAGATACGTACCACTATCGACAGAGTTTCAAGTTTGAGACTCGAGTGATCCGGAACGCGAAGGCGGATTCCTTATCAAATTGCTGTTTCTCTCAAGTCATCTTTCGCTCACCCTGATAAGCAAATCGATTGGTTGTGAGGTCCCGATAAGGTCCTGGACGCCACCTGCCGAGTGTGCGGGGCCCGTTAGCTCCGGATACGGCATGGCTGCAGCTGAAGGAGCCCCATAGCACTGATAACGAGAAGCTTGGCCAATAACAGCTCGGCCCAATCCAGCCCTGGCCGGTTCCTGCTGGATTTCCCTCATTTTCCCGAAGTCTCGCTCGGGCATTTCAGGAACCCAAGCTTCGTGCCCAGGATGCCATTATCTGGAGTTCTGGAGTTCTGGAGTTCCTCCGGCTGGGCGCCGTTCGGTTCGGGATCATATTCATATGTCAGCCTGATCAACCGGAAGCACTTTTCGCCAGCAGTCAGTGCTCGACTCTCGTGCCTTGGGTTTCTAATCTGTCTAATTTTGGGCAGCGACTTGGAAACTCTCTGCGCCATAGCTTCCAACTTGAAACATGGCTTGTAAAAAACACGAGCCCGATGTAATATTTGCAGTTGTTCATTTCGCAGTTGGTGCCTGAAGCTCCGGCTTATATCGCTCTAGTCAAGTTACTGCGGTGTATTTCACTGTAGACCACGTCTATGATACTGGGCCCCTTCAATATATCCAGTGGTCTGTCAGGTTGTTCGTACCTGGAGCACGGACCGTAAGGATCACCCAGAATCATGGAGACCAGCCCTGTAGATTCATCCACCTCAATCATGAATATGATATGAACTCGAAATAAAGATTTCTGCATATGTCCAGTGGAGTCACTAGCCACTTAGCTAGTTAATCAACTATATGCGGTGCTCCGTACTAGGCTAGCCCTAGGTCGCTGGTCGCATGGCCTCTGATTGAGTAACCCGCAGTATTTGTTACGAAATCACCAGCCTCTGCCGGCAATCCTATAATTCTATTGGCATTTGACGGCTGTCCAGGTCCATTTTTGACATCGACAAGCCGATCAACTCGGTACTCGAGAATCTAGACACGCCTGTAGTCGCGTGGGGATATCTGGGAGTGGGCACGTGGTTGCATCGGCAAATATATATCTGCCAGGAGCTCGGCACATTTTGTATACATGGAGCTTCAAGATGCGGTCGCCTGTGAAATCAGACTCAGTAACCTCACATCTACACAAACGACTAGTCCAGTGGTGATAATCCAAATCATACCGAGTTAAATGACTTGTATGGATAACGCGTGGACTTTGAGACAGCCGGTAGACTATCCCATCCCGGTCAACAGAGCAGGGACATGCATTCGAAGTCAAATGACCGATATACGACAAATTTTACTATGTAGCAAAAAAGGGCAGTTATTTTCAACAACCTGGCCTGCTGGCCCAATGGTAAGGCGCTTGACTACGGATCAAGAGATTGCAGGTTCGAATCCTGCGTAGGTCATTTTTTTTGCATCCATTTCTTCCACCCCATCTCCATCACCCTTTTTTCGGACGTACCAGGCCATGCAAACTTTCGGACTCACGTAGACATTCTACGTAGTCGTTTCGACAGGTGGTAGAATCATAAAGGTATAATAAGATTATGTATAGTTATGCATGTCCAATGGCTAAGTGCCTTTTTCACATTACACAGCAAAAAAGGCAAGACAACACCGCCCCTGCAGCCTCCTTTCTATCGAATGCACAGTCCATCAGTCATTCCCATATCAAACATTGACACTGTACCCCACCCCAACAGCTCTTCGCCGCTTGACAGCGTTCAGATATTTCCGACCCTCGTCCACCCAGAACACGGTGCTTGATATGCACAGAAGCCTGAACAGATGGGCGGCATTGAGTGGTTCAGTCTGAAAAATGCGCTGGAAGAACGGAACATAGATCACGCAAGCCTGTCCGAACAAGGAGCCCAGAACCGCATAGTTGAACATCTTGTTCCCGAAGAGTGACAATTCGCCGCGAAGCACGGATTTGCTCTCGCTGCGGCAAGTCAAAGCGTTAAACATATCGAACAGAACAAAGCAGGTGAACGTCATGGTCGTGTCGTGGGCAGTCACCACGCGGGAACGCTTCCCGGGGTTGGCGACATCGTCGGCGTCGCCCATCTCGTAGACATAGATCGCCAATGTACCGAGCATGATCATAAAGGCCGACGTAAGTACTCGTTGAATCAACGGTCTCGTAAGAACCCGCGCCGTCCTCGATCGCGGTGGACGATTCATGATGGACGGGTCGACAGGCTCAACACCCAATGACTGTGCTGGTGGGCCATCCATGAGGATATCTAAGAACAAAGTCAGTTAACAAACACAACAAAAAATCCATATAACCATGGGCAGCTCACTGATCCACAGGATTTGCATGGCGTTCAGTGGGTTTTTGAAACCTAATAGAGTACTCAACAAGACCAGACTGAGAGCAGCCACACTGGTGCTGAGCTGGAAAGTAATGAAATTCTGGATGTTGTAGAATATACCCTTGCCTTGCTCGATCGCACGCAAGATGGTGGAAAAGTCATCGTCTGTTAGGATCATATCCGCAGCCTCCTTGGCAACGTCGGTACCTAACTTGCCCATTGCAATGCCGATGTCTGCCTTCTTCAAAGCCGGTGCATCGTTCACTCCATCGCCAGTCATGGCCACGACATCCCCCTAGACTGCAGAGCGCGCACAATCTTCATTTTATGTTCTGGGCTTGTGCGGGCGAAGATTGAGGTGGTCGAAATAGCCTGTGCAAGGTCCGCAGTACTCATACGATCTAAATCCTGACCGCTGAGAACAGGTCTCGACCCCGGAGAATCTCTTACTGGCATTCCGAGTTTCTTAGCAATCGCCACCGCTGTCGTCTCTGCATCTCCTGTGATCATGATGACTCGTACCCTCCCGCCATAAGACGCCTGATGGATTTGTGAACATCCTTCCGGGGAGGGTCGTTCATCCCAGTGAGCCCAGCAAAAACCAGTCCAGTATATCGGTCGTCCTCATCACCCTGACTTGTGCTCGAAAGGGGAGTACCGGATCTACTACCAAATACCCTCCCTCCCCTGGGAGTGTCTCTGACTGGTCCGCTGGCGAACGCCAGCACTCTAAGCCCCTCAGATGCCATGTGTTCTGCTGCCTGCCTCACGGTATGGCGTCGCGGCTCATCCAAGATGACCTCACGACCATCCTTGGTCAGGTAAGTATCACACCGTGTCAGGACTTGTTCCAGAGCACCCTTAATATAGGCAACGTTATTGGCACCGGCAAAGGATGGTGCGTCGTTCTGCCCACTGCCAATAATGACACCCATCCATTTACGCTCGGAACTGAAAGGTGTTTCAGCCACGCGCCTGCTGATGCGGTCACGAAGGTCATCTTCACCAAAAGTGTCTAGCAAGTCCAAGATGGCGACATCGGTCGGTTGACCAACCCATCGGCTCTTCACAGCCCCAGACGCGCGGTCCACAGTAGAACTGAGCACTGCTGCCGAAGATGCGCTGGCCGGGGAATTTGCACTGACCCGCCAGAGTCTGGCATTATTGGCAATATTACCGATTCGGAGAACGGTTCGGGCGGCGGGCCCGGAGTCAAAGAGGAGATATCATTGTGGACCTCAAATGGTTCCGGGCAGTCGAAATGCCACATCTTGGTAACAGCCATGTGGTTGAGCGTAAGAGTGCCTGTTTTGTCACTGCACACCACGTTCACTGATCCCAGGGTCTCGACGCTCGGTAGCCTTCGCATGATCGCCCCTCGCTTGGCCATCCGCAGCACACCCAGAGCCAGAGTGACGGTCACAATGATCGGAAGTCCTTCCGGAATGGCAGCGACCGCGAGAGAAACACCGATGGTGAACATCTCGAGGAGCTTTCGACCCTGCACTAACCCGATCACAACAATCAACGCAATCACACCGAAGGAAATATAGCTCAATTCCTGGCCCAGACGATCCATTGAAAGCTGGAGTGGCGTGCGCGGGCTCTCGATCTCCTGGAGTGACACCGAAATGCTGCCAAACTCTGTCTTGGCACCAGTGCCAATGACAATACCCTGGCCGTACCCTGATCGCACGAGAGTCCCCATGAATGCAATATTATGTTGTTCATTCAACCGTATATCCGCGCCAACGGCGCCGCTGGCGGGAGCGTCATAGAACGGCGACCGAGGCGGGCTAACGATTTTGGGAGAGTGGGAGACTGCGGCCTTGGTGCTGCGAAGTGCCTCGGGGTATTTGGCCACAGGCTCGTTCTCGCCAGTCAAGTTCGACTCGTCAATGGTCAAGTCAGTAGCTGCAGTAATACGTATGTCCGCCGGAATGCGGTCGCCGGTGGTAAATAGAACCAAATCACCGGGGACTAGTTCGGAGGCCAGAACAGTACTCGAAGCTTTAATAGCCGCCGATGCCGAGCTGGGGCTCTTGCTTGCAAGGTCCTCCAATTCGATATCCGGCCCTAAAGTCGCGGTCGTAGAGTTATTCACAAGAGGAGCGTTCGAAGGAGGGATGTCGCGGATGAGGTGTGCATGATGGGGTACGAGACGGTTCAATGCCTCCAAGGACTTTTCAGACCTGTACTCCTGAACGAATCCGACGGTCACCACAATAGTCACAGCGAGGGTAATGCTGACGGCGTCATCGTAATTGCCCATGAAGAATGAGATGGCCGCGGACGCCAACAGGAGGAGGATTAGTGTCTCCTTGAACTGCTTGAGAAACCGAAGCCACAAGGGCTCGGGTTCTTCATGGGGCAATTCATTTGGTCCATCTCGCAATAATCGTATCTCTGCCTCTGCCGGTGTAAGTCCGTGAAGGAGAGATGTCTGTAGGCGCTCCGCGGTTTCTTCGGGACCTAGTAAGGAGTACGTTGATGTGGACGTCTATCGGACGACTCAAGTCAGAATTCGGTACATTGAACGAGGCCAATTCATTTGTGAATGGGTTATCAGAAGCCTTTTCAAACGCAGTAACACTTACTGATGGCGACCGCACGCCTGTTACAGGGGCTGTCGATGATGGTCTCGAAGCCTGGGCATTATGCAAAGGTAGCGCAGGCGTTGCGGACCTTGACATCTCTCATGCTCTGTCAGAACGAGGAAACATTCAAACCGGGTTCGTGATCCTTATCATCCCGTCATCAAGGGACAAGATCGGGAGAAAGAAGCGCAGTCTGGAATTTGTCAAATTTGTTCTGATGCTCCGATAGGGCTGGAGAGTATGCAAAAAGCCACGTTCTCAGACGCGCGGCGGAGTGCGGTATCAAGATGGAGGGAAACTAAGTTGAAACAAGACGGGCCGTGCAGATGGTCTGGACACCGACTCATTGGTTAGTATGCAGCTGAGGATTTAGATAGCTCATGGCGTGGTCAATCATGGGCGTACATTATTAGATATATCAAGGTGAAAGCAACCGAAACAGATTGATAGCCCCGGATTATCCAGGATTGCTTGATGCGTAATACAGAACTGCGTATGACTTGTAGAATACCTCTCTATCCCCTATCCGTCCTTGCTGGGCCATGTCAACAATCACGTGATGAGGTTTGAATCTTTCTCACCCGGGATATACGAAGGATCAATATTATTCCGAAAATGCCGCATCCGGAATAGCTCAGAATTGTGACATTGATCTTCATACTGTTACGTAAGGTATAATGCGCACGTGATCTGAGTATTCTACCTTTTAACCAATCGACGCCTGTGCGTTCTGGTTGTGCTGTCATAGTCCCGTGCTCCCGTTGCTGGGACGAGAACTTGTGGGAGGGAGGAGGCTGGGCAAACCTCAGGCTCCACATCAAGGTACCTGCCTTCCACCCGCCGCCCGCCAGACGCGCCTTTCGCAACTCTTTCTCTCTTGTTTCCATCGCACCACACCAACCACCCTTTCTCCTTCGCTTTGGTTGTGTTCCCCCCTTCTATACCCACCTTGTTGGGATTGATTTTGTATCGCAGTCGATGCGATTATTGATTTACTATCGACTGGATCTGTTGCTGCTCTGAGTTCAGCTGTTTTCCTTGTCTTTTTGGACGCCTTTAGGGGCAGGAAATCAATCGCCGATCCTTCGGTGTTGACCGTGTTATTCGGATACCGCGCGTCACCAACCTCGTTGCCAGGGACCTCCCAAACAATTCACCCCGCACTAGGCGGGCATCTTTTTGGATATTTGATTGCATTAACCATTTGGTCTTTGATCCATACCACGTTTGACAATGTTCTACTCCGAGACCCTGCTGTCCAAGACCGGGCCGCTGGCCCGCGTCTGGTTGTCGGCCAACCTTGAGCGCAAGCTTTCGAAATCTCATATTTTGCAGTCGGATATCGAGAGCAGTGTCAATGCCATTGTTGATCAAGGGCAGGCTCCGATGGCTCTACGACTTAGTGGTCAGTTGTTGTTGGGTGTGGTTCGGATCTACAGCAGAAAGGCCCGATATCTTTTGGACGACTGCAACGAGGCTTTGATGAAGATTAAGATGGTAGGCTTGATTGCGATTTCCATTCAACGCTTGTCAAGCTTTACTGATATGTACGGTTTTAGGCGTTCCGTTTGACAAACAACAATGACTTGACATCTACCGTTGTCGCTCCTGGCGGCATCACTTTACCTGATGTGCTTACCGAATCTGATTTGTTTATGAACTTGGACTCCTCTTTGCTTCTGTCACAGACCCTTAATCTGGAACCAGAAGGCAAACGGCAGGGACACTCGATGGATTTTGGAAGTCAACTGCTACCTGATAGTAGCTTCCGACGATCTGTTTCTCAAGAGCCACCACGCTTAGAGGACCACACATTAGTTGATTTGAACTTTGGCGATGATGATGATACCCATATCGGCCGTGACTTCAGCATGGAAGTTGGTCGAGATGCTCCCGCTCCCCGCCCCTTCGAAGACGACCTCCTCAGTGACGCCGGCAAGTTCAACGACGTTGACTTGCAGCTGGACCTCGGTGAGGATGACGCTCCTCTGGATAAGATGGACCTTGGTGAAGATGGCTCCCAGGATCACTTCAATTTCGATGAAACTTTGGATCTCGGTGGCGACGAGGAGCTCACACGCGAAGCTGAAGAACGCCGACAGCAACGCGACTCTGAATCCGCAATGACGGAACTTTCCGAGGAAGAACTCAACAGACTCGAGGCGGAAGATTTAAAGCTGTCGAAGGGAGGACGAGGAATTCTGGACGAGGAGTACGCCGACGGCGAACACGAAGATGGCGAACAGGATGATGACGTTACCGTTCAACAAGCACAGCGTGCCAAGCGACGAAAGGTGATGCCGGTCATGGATTTGGATGAGGCCATTGACTTTAAGCCCAGTCATATTAAAGAACAACAGGCAGATCGATCTGGAATCTTGAAACCGGCAGCGTTCTTGCCTCGGGATCCTGTTCTTCTTACCTTGATGAACATGCAAAGGAACGGCGACTTTGTGTCAAACGTCCTTGGCGCGGGCCGCGGACGTGGTTGGGCCCCCGAGCTTCGTGATCTACTTTCATTCGATGCCATCAAGAAGGCAGGTGAATTGAAGAGAAAGCGCGACAGCGGCATCGCCGATATGGATGTAGCCGTAGCCACTGCTCCTGCTCTGGAATTTGGCGAGGAGGAAGCCATCGTGCCGGTGGACGAAGGAGTTGGTCTCGACTCGACCCTTCACCAGCGGTCGGAGATTGAGTTTCCCGGAGACGAGGAGGAACAGGGACTGCATATGAGCGACGATGAGGGCATGCATCACCCTATGGAAGAGATGGATGCTACGACTGTGCACCCCGTGGATAGCGGCCCGGTCTCCGTTGGTACCAAACACGCCGTCCACATCCTCCGCGACGCATTGGGCGAGTCCGCCGCCGACAAAAAGAAGAGCGTCAAGTTCCAGGATCTCTTACCCGAGAAGAGGACGAGCAAGGCTGATGCCACCAAGATGTTCTTCGAAGTTTTGGTTCTGGCCACCAAGGACGCAGTCAAGGTTGAGCAGGGTACTGACTCTGTTGGCGGTCCTATCAAGATCCGCGGGAAGCGTGCGCTCTGGGGCTCGTGGGCGGAAGAGAATGCGAGCGGAGAGGCTGCTAGCCAGCCCACTGAGGTCGCGGCCTAAGCACGTCTTACATACCCTTTTCGTGTTGTGGCAATGTCCATTGTTTCATGTACAGTTGACTCGTTTGTTCTTGATTTTCCATTCCGGCTGGTTCGAATTGAGGCTGGTTTGCCTTTTCAGCAGGATTGCTTCTGTGTATTGCTCCGAGTGAGTTAATGGTGTTTCGGGGATTTGTTTTTGGGAGCTGAAAAGGCGGCTACTGATCGGTTCTTTTGCGGTTCATCCAGAGCTGCAATTGCTATTCTGTTGGGATTATTTGGGCTATTGTTTGTATGGAATTATGGGTAGGTAGCTTTAGGATTTAGAGATTGTCTGTAATGGCACCATTCCATGCACGCAGTCGGGATTTGCAACAATACAATGTGTAGGAAGTACAAGGTACCATCGCAGGTAGTTTACAGAAAAGGATTCCAGACTAAGATTGGTCATCTTTGTCATTGGATGAGATGTGATGATCCAATCCTGCCAAATTCCTTTGATGAAGCTTGCTAAGCAACTTGGTCGTCTTGGCTGTGTGGCTTGAGGCTTCCAGAACAATATGATTCAAGATGCAATAATACAAGCATTGAGGACGCGATAACAGGGGTGTATAGAATGCGGGACTCGGCGATTTTTCCCACGAGGCAGATAACACGACCTGCAGACTATGTATGCAACAGGAGTGAGCCAAAGAGCATAAGCATGTCATAATCATAAAATCAACATTGTCAAAGCATTGATAGAGCTATTAATATTCTCTTAGTTGGATTTTGACTACAATGGAAAACTGGTCGATCACATTCCTTGAACAGTGAGTTCCTTGCGACTGGGTTCCAGTGACGATGATGCTGAGAAATCGTCCGTGGGACCATAATCAAATGACGCTAGATAACTAGATGTGCCGGACAGAAGCCCGAGAGACTGAATCCAAGCCAACAGGGGCACTAAAATACTAGGAATTGCTTACCTCACTGACCTTTATATATGCTAATCTGTAGCTGCTCATCTTTTTCTTCCCCAACGTCTGCTCTACTGTAGCTGTAGAGTCCACCTCGACAACGAAACCCGACGCCTGGTGACGTTTTTTTCATCTGTAGACTGTGCCAGTTCTCGGATCGTCCTAACGCCTTATCTCGAGATCTAGTTCGTCTTTGATTTTCAGCGAAACCCTCACTCTTCGTGTACTTGCTCTTGATCTGTTCCTCCGTTGGTTATCTGTGGTTGAGCATTGAGGTCGTACCTGGCATAACTGCATGGAGACATCCATCTCGCGATTCAACCTATGTGAATAAGGATGCCGACCACTCAGCAGACCGACTCTGTTTCCACAAGGGAGAAACCTGAGTCGCCTGTCGAGGGTGATTCGTCAAGTGAGAAAAGCACGGGCGAAGCTCGAGAACAAGAGACAGAACGGGGTGAAGAATCGGGTAGGACTTTTGCACCCATCAATGCGTCCGCCGCAACAAACAATGAGCGATCGCAGAAGTTGCAGCGAACTACGTCTTCGACCATTGAGCGCAGCTGGTCTCTGAATGATGGATACAGCTGTCATACTGTGGACGAAAAAGCAGAAGACAAATCCAACCAACCGGGAGAAGCAGCCGACAGTGATGAGTTTGTTGTCGGATGGGACGACAATGACCCGATGAACCCCCGGAATATGAACAAGTTCCGGCGATGGCTTATTGTCGTGATCTGCTCGTCGGGTTCACTCTGCGTGTGAGTCTCAAGTCTGCGACTTAGCAAGCATATAGACAATACTGACAGTACGGCTTCGAGGACTTGCACCTCGTCCATGTATACCTCCACCTACGGGCAGCTGATGAAGGACCTTGATTGTTCTCCAATTGTGGCTACTCTCGGCCTCTCCTTCTTCATTTGGGGCTTGGGTAAGTCTGCCTATGAGTCTCACTGCGTGGTTTGCGGGAATTGACCAGAGGCTGCTCGTAGGAATCGGACCGTTGTTTCTGGCGCCATTGTCGGAGGTTTGTCAACTCTGCGTGGCTCTCTGCGTTCCACTGCTGATATGCCACAGTTCTATGGCCGAAAGTGGATTTACATCGTCTCGTTTACCTTCTTTTTGATCTGGTTGATCCCGTGTGCCGTGGCGCAGAACATCCAGACCATGATCGTAAGCCGTTTCTTCAACGGCCTTGCTGGCAGTGCTTTTCTCAGCGTTGCAGGAGGTACAGTGGGCGATTTGTTTGACCGCCACGAACTCAGTGCTCCTATGATGCTATACACGGCTTCTCCTTTCATCGGTCCAGAAGTGGGCCCGCTGTATGTTCTCCTCGAATTGTCTCAGCTCGGACGTTTGACCGGGTCGAAGCTCGCTCTTGTGCAACAGGGACTGACAGGAAGTTACTCAGGGTTGGTGGGTTCATTAACCAGTTCACGATATGGTAAGCTCGTCCGTCAGTTTGTTGCAAAACAATACCTTAACAAGTCTATCATATCTTCAGGCGCTGGACGTTTTATGTGCTTCTCATCTGGTCCGGTGTCCTTCTGGTCTCGATTATCCTGTTTGTTCCCGAGACCTATCACCCAGTGTGAGTGCTTTCAGGTCCCTGTATCGTATCTAAATGCATTGGCTCATCTGACTCGACTTGACCAGACTCCTCCGGCGCAAGGCGCAAAAGCTCCGCAAAGAAACGGGAGACGACAGATGGAAGGCTCCAATCGAACGAATGAACCGCTCGGTAGCACGGACTATCCTACGATCTACCTACCGGCCGTGGCTTCTATTGGCGCTGGAGCCAATGTGTTTGAACCTCTGTATATTCTCTGCCATCCTGCTGGGTATCCTCTATCTTTTCTTTGGTGCTTTCCAGCTCGTCTTCGGCAACGTATACGGCTTCGAGCTATGGCAAAGAGGTCTGTCGTTCCTCGGTCTCTTTGTTGGCATGGTCTTTGCCATCCTATCTGATCCTTTCTGGCGTCGAGTCTATGTTCGCTTGGAAAAGAATCACGAAAAAGCTGTTGGGAAATCAGATGATTTCCAACCCGAATGGCGGCTACCTCCAGGTGTGTATATTCCTGGTGACTTGGTTATCCGCATATTGAGCTGGAATAAACCTTGCTAATATTTGTCTCCTTCTTATGCAGCAATCCTTGGAGGTCCGCTCGTCACCATAGGACTCTTCATATTTGCCTGGACCATCTATCGTCATGTGCACTGGATTGTACCACTGATTGGCAGTGCGTTCTTCGGGGCCGGGTAAGTTTGCAATATGGCTGACCCTCGGACATGATTGCAACCGCAGCGGCGCCAAAATAAGCTGAGTATAGACGCTAATTCTATCTGTTGCACGAACAGAACCATCCTCGTATACTCGGGTGTATTTACTTTTCTGGTTGATGCCTACCCAACGTACGCCGCGAGCGCTCTGGCAGCGAACAGTTTTGCTCGCTCGACATTTGGTGGTGTCTTTCCATTGTTCGGTAACCAAAGTAAGCATTCTCTTCTTCGCTTTGTGTGCGAATTTCTGTCTATGCATCTGCGGTCGTCCGAAAAGTCGAGCCGAAGCAACAGGTCAGGAGAATGGTCTACGTCAACGGTGATAGGCTCATACTCAGCTGACCTGTTGTTACGAACTGCAATGCCTGTGCTTCATCATATCCCTGGTCACTGCTGATGATTGAAATTCAGTGTACAATAATCTGGGTTATCATTGGGCGACATCGCTGCTGGCCTTTCTGACACTTGCCATGTCACCATTTCCGTTAGTATTCTTTTATTTCATCCGTACTTTGAGATCAGAGACTTTGGAGGTTTCTACTGTTTGATCCATGCTCCAACCTCCTTGCATCAGCTTGCAGGTGTCAGCCGTGGTAGCGGCAATGGCGTGGACTCTGCCGTATTTCTGCTGCATTTGGCAGGCTGTGAAGATGCTACTGCCTTCACGTATAGAATCTTTTCGCTGACTACGGTCTACAAAACAGGTACATATTCTTCCGATATGGCAGCCGTATCAGAAAGAAGAGTCGATTTGCTACACGATAGACGACCAACGTTGTTGCCGCCGCGTATCGAGCGTGCATTGTCATGGTGCCTCGACATACTGCGACCGAGCTATTGCTTGCTGCTTTCATGCTAAAAGTTTTACCTGGCAAGGGTTGTACATCTAAACATAGACGCATGCATCCATGCAGACATACACTTACTAGAATACACCTAATGCATAGAATCAGCAGGATGAAGACAATGGCTCTTCTGAAAGCTCACAAGTATCTATGCGACCAGTATGACGAGCTATCGGCCATATACAGCGAGGACCAGCTGCTGTATTCCCATAGTTAATCCCTGACTGACCGGGCAGACGAACCCTTGTTCATTACCAAGCAATCGAATCCAGGCCAAGCCAGACCAAACCTAAAGACGTTGGGCCTTTACCGCGCATTACCTTACCTCCGCGGCGCAGGCAGTACCTAAGTATCTAACAATCACCTGCAACAACGGTCTTTTGCAGAAATATAGCCCCTATTCAGCCATCCCCATTCAGAGCAATGACCTCAAGTATGATGCAGGAAAAAGGAAACCCGTCCAACAGGTCCATGCAGAAAGTCCCTTTTACCGAGGCATTTCCCGAAACTGGGCAGGCTGTCGAGGGCCGGGCGATCACGGGGAACTTGGTGGCATTCCGGAATTACCCTGGCGTAATTTTGGAGAGTTTGAGGGCTTTGCTGTACGTAAAATGACTCATAGAAATAGGACTTGAGGTTTGTTTCGTCCTTGTTGTTTTGGTCATCGAGGTTGGTGTTCACTAATAATGTGCGATGTAATTTATCTTGTTATGAAGGGAGAGGAGGATGAGATAACATGTCTACTAGTATATCATGAGTAGTATATGAATCTTGAGATTTAGATGGATCATCAGCACGTGGGATAAGATATGGTGGAGGTGCCTGAGGCTTGAACCAGGTTGATAGTTGATAGTATGTATTATCACAAGCAAGCTTCATCTGGACGTTGATATGCGTGATGCATGTGAGATCAATCTTCCAGGTCATATCAGATACCATATATGCGGCAATTGCCTCTGTCTGTCTTTCTGGACCTCATGGCATGATGTGATGAATCCGCAGGACTCGAAATATTACCAGAGACTGGTAGATGGAAGAATGTGACAGTCAATTGAAATCACAATTGATTTCAACGTGTAAGGCTGAAACCTTCTGCCTGAGGTTATCCTCATTTCCCAGGCAGGAAATACCTAACAATAGCTTCGAGCCGAACTGTAAAGGTACCTGAAACCATCTGCATGATTTCTTACCTGCTTATGATACCCATGATACTACTGGCGCATCACTGTCACACTCATATCAAAATCCCTCAGTTATACTTTTCTTGTCTGCGAGTCTGGACACGCGACTCCCTTGACTCGACTCGCGTTGGTTGACTTAACCTGCTTGATACATAAGCCACCGAGTTTCTATTTCTATTACCTTACTATCACCGCTATTGGTATTCGAGTTACATATTATTACCTTATTCCTCGAAATTTGACTCTTCCCTGTTGTCTCTATTTTCCCTAATTTCTCTCCCCTGTTCATTTTCTGTGCTTCTATTCCCCCGCGTTCTCAATTTTTACTTTTTTCTCTTTTCGCATCTGATCACTCTCCTCTCCACTCTTCCTCTGTGTTCTCAAAGTCCTTTTATCACGAGTGCTGTTCTCGCCTCAATTTTACGTCTCCTCCATGGATTCTACCCGCAGCGTCTCAAAGTGAAAGTCAACTCGATCCTCCCAAGCAAAAGTCAACTTTTCCCCGCAGCCCCGGCAAGCCTTTACCTGTAACGCTCCACCCGTTCCAATTCTCTACGTACTTCAGCCACACAGTCATCAGTATTATTATTATCATCATTTCTATCACGTCCGCGTGATCGAGTTTATATTTTCCTCAGATCCCATTGTTGGACCGTCTTGACCGCGGTTCGTGTCTTGATTTGCGCCTCGGTCCACAGTCGCAAGTATCCAAGGTCTTCCTGTGCTCCGGTACTCGGTTTGCCGCTCGCCCCATCCACATCCCTACAACTTCAAGACGACAGCGGTTCCATGTGGTACATCGTTTATCCGGGGTAAAACGCCGAGCGTAAAAGTTTCAGCATTCAATCTGGATACCTTGACGAGTGTTTCGTTCGCAGTGCGCCTATCGTCGAAGAATTACGCTCGCCTGGTGACGGAGAAAGAAGAACGAGAGGTGACAAGCGACAGCCGACGGCTTTTGACGTGACGTCCTTCGCTCGCCGCAGTGGACGCGCACGACAATAACCCCTACCAATAACTCCTAGACACACGGATGTCGACATGAAGATGGAGGATAACGGGAGCGCCCCAGCTCTGGCTGGCGATCATGGTGGAGGCGATCAGGATAACCCAGACGCGGGCAATCGCACGGAGCAAGCGAAGCACAAGACCAACGGCGCTACTGAGAATGCGCCGAAATCGGCCAATGCAAAGGATCCGTCAAGACCACGAAGGAAGAAGGCAAGGAGGGCTTGCTTCGCGTGTCAAAGGGCGCATTTGACTTGCGGTACGCTTGTGTGACTTTTTTTCTTTTCTGAGTTTGATAATCTTCGCGCGCGCATCAACCCTGCCTCCTGCAATTGGAAACAAAGAAACTGATCGAGAAACTGATCGAGAAACTGCCTCTTAGGTGACGAGAGACCGTGTCAGCGCTGTATCAAACGGGGTCTTCAGGATGCGTGCCATGACGGGGTGCGGAAGAAGGCTAAATACCTGCACGATGCGCCGGATGGAGCGTTGATGCCTGGAGTTGGGGGGAATTTCTTCAACAACGCGATGCGAAACAATTTGCCCTTGTCTCGAAATGGCGCAAATACGGTCAATACGACCTCTCAGCAGAATTCGGGGTCCAATTACTATCCCACACCTCAATCGAACTCTTACAATGTCTATCAAGATACCCCTCTGACACAGAATTCTTTCACTTCGCAATCCCCCGTTTCCCCAACCTTCAACATGAAGACCACTCCGACGGCTCGAAGTAACAGCTTGTCATCCTCGGTGAACCAGCAGCCTCCCAACACGACCGTATCAGGCGCCACCCAGAGTCAGAATCCCTTCGCGGGACCATTCTTTGACCCAAGCGACCCTGCTCTCTTCAACTTTGACCTTTCTAGCATGAACTTCGAGAATCGCTATGGTGCGTTGGAGTTCGGGATGCTCGGCCATATGGCGACCGGTGCTGGTGACTCTCCCACTGATTCCGCCACGCAGCGAGGATCGATTGGCCGGAGTGGCTCCACGCAGTACTCTACGACACCCATCACTGGGGCACCTGGCTTTGGGGACAGTCCTGGTAACCAGCAACCTTTCATGTTTGGCAACGATCCGCTCCTGAACGAATGGCCGAATAGCCAGGCTCCGAATCAAGGGCATCTGAACGTTAGCGGCGTCTATCCCCAGGGCGGCATGATGCACATGGCCAAGTCTGATGCGCCACATGCGTTTGCCATCGAGAGCGGACCGGCCAGTTTCTCCAGCCCGAGTGCGACAACCAGCCCTCATATCAACAGCGGGTATGATGACAGTTCGCTGAGCAATACAGTCATGAATAAGCCAAACGGCTTAACTGCCAACGGACAACGGCCGGCGATCACGACGCCAAGCCTAAAGCACCAGAGCTTGCAGTTTGGAGTCAAACGACGTCAGCGGAACCCGTCGACTGTGTATGAGAGCGTGAAAGAGCCGTATGCCTATACGAACCGCTTCCACAATCTGACTGCCTTCATCCAACGGCGCTTTTCCCCGCAAAAGACCTTGCAGATTGCGAAAGCGTTAGCGTCGATCCGGCCGTCCTTCATTGCCACGACCAAGACACTCAACCGGGATGATTTGATCTTCATGGAGAAGTGCTTCCAGCGGACGCTCTGGGAGTATGAGGACTTTATCAACGCGTGTGGGACGCCAACCATCGTCTGCAGACGTACCGGCGAGATTGCAGCGGTCGGCAAGGAGTTTAGCATCCTCACCGGCTGGAAGAAGGATGTGTTACTGGGCAAGGAGCCGAATCTCAATGTCAACACCGGAGGCGCATCGGTTCCCGGGTCTGGCACCACATCCCGCGGCAGCTTTACGCCTCGAAGTTCTACGCTGGAAAATGCTACTCCTGGACGCCCGCAGCCTGTATTTCTCGCTGAATTGTTAGATGACGACAGCGTGGTGGAATTTTACGAAGACTTTGCTCGACTGGCCTTTGGCGACTCCCGCGGCAGCGTCATGACCACGTGCAAGTTGCTCAAGTACAAGACCAAGGAGGATATGGAGCTTGCACAGTCTGATGACAATCAGAGGTGGAATAATCACCTGCGCAAAGGCGGGATTGCCGGCGAGGCGGGGATGAATCAGTTAGGTTTCAAGGATGGCAAGGTCGAATGCGCCTACTGCTGGACAGTGAAAAGAGACGTGTTTGACATTCCAATGCTTATTGTGATGAACGTGAGTCGCCAATGATTTTTGACGATTCGATGTATACTGACTCGGATCACAGTTCTTACCGTGCATATGATTCGATCACCTTGTGGTGGTTCATACACGGATGTCCTTTGAATGCTTTGAATGTGTTATTGATTATCTTGTGCATTTCTTATCTCATACCCTCGGATGGATCAAAAGTTCCCCCCGGTCGATTGTTTATGTTTATGTTGTTCATTGTTCCGCCTTGGGGCAAGGCTTTTGCATTGGTACATAACTTTCTTCTTTGAGGTGTACGATTGTCGGTTTTTGCCCGGTTGTCTTATAAGGGTTCTACTGGTCCTAATGTGTTACTGGGCCCGTCTGAACATAATTGTTCTGCCTCTCCGGCACCGCAACCGGAGACTTCTCTCCTGCCGGATGCTGTGGAAGACTTGAACATCGCATTCAAGTATATATTTATCCTTCTTTTCTCCTTTTTCTCTGCCTGTCTAGCTAGAGGATGGCGGTCAACAGTGATTATCTCCGGCATATGGGAGGGTGAACAAATCAATGACTCTTGTTACTAGGCTATTCGAGGTCTTCACTTCCTCTGCCATCTTAAATCCGTAAAGAAGAAGATCTTGAGCAATTCTACAGCATCTGAATGTTTCATTGCCATATGACCATTTACCTTTACCTTGACTCCCTGTCCGGAAGGTAACTACATAACTGTAAAATACCAATCGAACCAATAATATTTGAGCGCAAGCGTCACAATATTACCCCACATCGTCCGCCGGCTATTGCAGCAATACGAGCATCTTCCGCCATGTTTTCGACCAGTTTCCATCAGTCATACAAAATAGTCTAGCCCGTCGTGACCCCTCTTTCGCAGCAAGGGAATCCCAACAGAGACGCAACACAAGAAAGCAAACCAAAACCGACCCAGCCGAACACCACCGTCAGCACAACCAAACCTCGCCATGCGACCGGACGGACCTCGGGATCCCGTCGCGGGGCCAGACAGCGGTCCCGAACCACCATATCCAGTGCGTCTATCCGGACCCGTGATCAAGGGTTTTGGACGGGGAAGCAAAGAGGTAGCTATCATCTTTCGATATACATATGCATATACGTACGAGTTGACATGGTCCTAACGGTAATAGCTGGGCATCCCGACGGCCAATATCCCCGCCGAGGGACTCGCAGAGTACCCTGATCTCCAGGTTGGGGTGTACTATGGTGTTGTGGCGCTTGATCCAGCCAAGTTCCAGTATCAGGAGGGTCAGGGCTCGGGCTCGACCTCGTCGACAGCAGGAGCGGAAGCGGCGATCCTGCCCGCTGTGCTGAGTATCGGGTATAACCCGTTCTATAAGAATAAGACCAAGTCTATCGTACGTCTTCTCTCCTACGATTCAGCGTCTACATGCCTTTAAGTCTGTGTGTTATGAGAAGGGGTATGCTAAGGCGATTACAGGAAATCCACATCATGCCACCGCTTTCCTCGCCGTCGCCAACGGCAGAAGGCGCGGGGGCAGCTGGCCAGGTGAAATTCCACAAATTGCCCGACTTCTACGGGACGCAGCTGAAGCTGCTGATTCTGGGGTATATTCGCCCCGAGTACGATTATGTGTCGCTGGAGGCGTTGGTCGAGGATATCCGGGTGGACTGCGAGGTTGCGCGGAAGAGTCTGCAGCGGCCGGCTTATGCATGTTATATTGACGGGGATGAGAAGGAGTGTTCGGAGGTGGTGAGGGAGAAGCGGAGGTGGTTGGTAAACTTCTGATCTTATTATAGATTGATCCCCCTTGTTGTTCTAGACGATTGTACATAGCTATAAAACTTGTTGCCTGGCGAGAGTCATGTTCACGTGCTTAATCAATCAACCAGTATCAGCCCTACAGATAGAACCAGCAATGAGCGGATGCGACGGAGACCCCTTGTTAAAATGTCTGGTCCCATGGATCCACCATTGCCTCGATGCGATGGAGTCTGCAGCCCGTTTAAAACACATTTGACTGGACCGTGCAGCGGTGCCAATAATCGTCGACGTCAGAGCGGTGTTGGCGCCGAGGAATGTATACCCCTATGTATGCAGGACAGGTGGAATGCAGACAAACCAGTTATGGCGATACTGGCACCCCCAAGAGTCTTAACTTATGTCATTCGGCATATCCTATGTTGGTTCAAATACATTGGATTGTAGAGGCGTGGTATCACCGGTTGTATATAATGTGCCAGCCGTACAAACCCAGTATGTCGAGTCATTCAGCTAGTACACTGCTAATTTGCACAGGTCAAATCCTATAATTATCGGCACTTAGATTTCCCAAGGAAAAAAAGGCAAATCTTATCTGTAACTAGTACTGAAGGAATACGCTGCAATGGATAGACTGCGCCAGCATCTCTCTCGACGGCGGCGCAGCAGCAGCTCCAGCGCAACACCTCTCCAGTCGCCCCATTTCCCCAGCACCGACAGGCGCCAGGATGAACGGGACGTATCACCGCGACGGCTCTATGTAACGTCCGACACGCATGATTTCGACCCAAGCATCATCGCGCGCTTCCAAGGCGAAGGGTTCGAGGTGGAGTATTTGCCATTCCCAGGCGGAAACGAAGATATCGAGAGAGATCGCAAGGATCTGGTGAACCTGCTGCACGAGAGGGAGGATGATCTCGAGCCCGGGGAGAGATACGCCGTCGTCGGTATGAAGGCCCCTGTATTGCCCAGGTTTAGAGCCCCATTTGTTGATGAGAAAAGCATATCACCGGCCGGCCTTTCTGCTCCTCGCATCGCACCACCAATCCACAACAGCCACCAATCCTCTCCCCAGAATGTGCGCTCTAGTCGCCTACTACCCGCGTGAGCCACTTGACCAAACCTGCAAGAAAGGGACAAATTCCCCGGCATGTCTGCTCCCCCCTCCACCACCTCAACATCCACCTCCTCCTGCTACGCCTCCCTCACCCTCCTCCCCATCCAGATCCACCTAGCAGGCCACCAAAACCCCTCCTTCTGGGACGACTACAGCGCCCACCCCAGCAGAAAGAGGCATAGATGCCACCTCTTCTTCTACCCCGAGTCCGAGCCGGGTTTCGCCGAGCACCCCAGCCCAACCTACGACCGGCTCAGCTCCCGCCTCGCCTGGAGCCGCGCGCTGGATTGTCTCAAGCGCGGGTTCGGCTGGCCCGGCGGCAGCTGGAAGACGCCTGACGTCGAGACGATCTGGGAAGAGTACTGGCGGAATCTGCTCTTCGACAACCGTCAACCCGACGCGGAGGGACACGCCGCCAAGGTCATGAAGATGATGATTGGGAGTGGCGATCCGAGCAGCCTAGACAGGCAGATTGATGAGACGCCGCTGGTGAATTGTGTTCCGACTATGGTTGGTGGTACGTTACCGCTAATTTGTCACCTCTTGATATACAGATGTGCTTACTGTTTAACCGCAGGAAGCGACCAGCAGTCGATTTCGACCTTCTACGCGAAAGCATTCTTCCCTACCGGCCCCCCATCACAGCAGATTCGCTTGCTCTCGCGCACCGCCGGGCCGGACCGCATCGTCGACGAGATCCTGCTGGCGTTCCGGCATACCGAGGAGATACCCTGGTTGCTGCCGCGGGTGCCGCCCACAGACCGCGAGGTGAAGATTGTCCTCGTGATGACGGCCAGTTTCCGTGCGGGCAAGCTCTCCCGGCAGAATATCTACTGGGATCAGGCGAGTGTGCTGGTGCAGATTGGGTTGTTGGATCCGGCGCTCGTGCCGGGGTGTTTCCGCGCGACGGGAAAGACGAGGGAGGGCAGGCAGGATGTGGAGATGTTACCGGTTGTTGGGGCGGAAGGGGTGGAGAGGATCCTGAATGGGGTAGACAGTGTAACGGATTAGGCGTTGAGAAATACCATCAGACACGAGTCAAGGCTCGGGTACGAATCATCATCTATATCGAGTATCTGTGCATGACTGTTATAAGACGGTAGAAGCCCTGTGTGATAATATACTCGAAAAGCCGGATTTATACTATACCAGAAGGATGCTCTCCGATCGTGATATGCAGAGGAAGGCAGAATTCTCTAGGACTATAGTGACATTCCTAATAGTAATTGCGAGCATTTATTTGCTGAGGAGAATCAGCAGCTTGAAAAACAGAGAAATTACCTCTGCTAGTATTAGTATAACTCAATTGGAATACATTGGATATAACAAATCATAAGTAACTTATGTTGGCATACTAGCTTCATTGAGTAACACTGAAGTTTAATGATATCTCTACTTTATTTGACTATAAACAATACATGGGCCATCCTACAATACTGTAAGAGTCCCATTATATAGTCATTTCAGGTGGCCCCTTCAATCTATCTTTTCCAAGCACGATGGAAACCCATGCTATTTGGACCACCTTGCGTCGTTTCTGTGTCAGATAACACCCAAATTCAAGGCTTCCAAATCATGCCAGTAAGTCGGAATATACCGAATCCACTATAGGGGGTGCGTATTTGCGCAGATCAATATCTACATGCCTTGTCTCTTTGAATCCCAGAGTATCGAAAAACCCATATGCGGGTGCCTCCGCAGTGGCAACAAGTGGGAGGCCCTCTGCTCTAGCCCGGTCAAATCCTAACTGGAGCAAGCTGGACCCTACTCCTTGTCGCTGGTAAGACGGCTCAACGCACATGTAGACCAATTCTGGAAGAAATTTATGATATTAGCTCGGGCATTATACAAACAGGCATTGTTGAAGCCCTACCATAACGGTCAATGTGTTCCGTGGCCTTGCTGATGTCCATGTTCGCAGCAGTCACTTCAGCAAGCACACCGGGGTTCATTCCCTCTGGAGCATTGGGGCCATCATCTGGACTTCCAGCCTTGACAGGGGCCATTGGATCTTCCTTGGTGGCTGCCTTTCTCGCGAAAACAATATAGCCGATGATTGCATTGGACTCCCCGTCAGTCGCCTTGAAACACTCCATGGAGGAGTCGGCAAATGCACCCTCGACAGCTCCTGTGTACTGTCTTTTTTGGATAGTCTCGTTCGGCCACGGCTGATATAGAAGGCGATTGATACTTAGAGACAGTTTTGCGGAATGGATGAATTTCGCTAGGAATAGGAGATCCGAGCTTTCAACAGGAGAAATAGCGTAGTTAAGGCCGACCATTGTGGTTGAGTGTCTGATGCACAAGCAGAGAGCCTGTGAGAATTTTTCTTTGTATCAGCTGGCCGCGAACGAGGATTAAATAGACTAGAAACATGAAGCTACTATTTTGTTGCCTGACAAGTTACTGTGGGACATACCTAATAAACTGCCAGGTGGAATGTTTCCGTCTTGGCCCACTATATAGCTCATAGGTAAAGACAAGACCCGAAGGACCTACTGCACTCCTTGGACACAGGCATCCAAATTCTATACAAGTCAAGTCCCATCATCCACTGTCATGGGCAAATATTCCTGCCTAGACTATCGTACACGTATACCACTGTCGCAATATGCATCCATCAATGATTGCAGAGTAACAAGATCCCTGCTCACACCCCCGGGACTTTTCAATGTCCTTAGACTAGCCTCCTGCGCTAGAGGAATGACCTCCTCCACCGATTTCCCTGATCCCTTTGCAAGCCCGGCAACAACCGCACCCAGCAGCGTGTCCCCCGCACCGTTGACACTCACAATCTCCCCATCTGCCAGGACCGCGGCCGACGGGAAAAGCCGCATATACACACCCCCGATCGGCTCATCTGTAGGCGACGCGCGAGAGAGGATGTACGGCGCCGAATCAGGAGATGTGAGACGAGCATCTCCCGGACGGAGCAGTTGGGTTACCAGAACCCCCTGAGCCCCCAGTTTCGTGATGATGCAGGGAATGAAAGGAAGTAGTTGGATGCTCTGCTGTGGAATCCCCTGATCTACCAGCTCTGCAGTCGTCATTGCGACGAGGCGGTCTCGCGAGCCAGACGCGGACATTCCCATGGCGTCGATGATGCGCCACCAGCCTTCGGACTCGAATAGCCCTGATTCGCGGGCTGTCGTGTACATGGCTGTGAGCTCGTACTGATTAGGAGCGGCCAGACTGATGGCGTTGTTCGGGACTGCCCCGGCCGGTCCAATTGCTGCATCCGCCTCCGAGGTCTTGGAGAACAGACGGCGAGACTTGGCCGTGGAGACCGGCTCAAAGGCGACCCGCGCACCGTACTGCTTAGCAACAGCAATCCATCTGGCAAGGACCGCCGGACTCCAGTTCGCATCCACGACCACCCACTGCGGCTGGGTGCGACGGATCAGGGGCTCCCAGAACTCGTCAAAATCAAGCACGTGCTCCGGCAGCTCCATGATGCCCATGTCAGCCATAGCCACTACGAGGTCGCGCTTCGCGTCGTTGATGGCGACATATTGTGCCGTGCGCGCTCCAGACGACGCAGGCAGGATTTGTACGCCGGCGGTGGGAAGCCCCTCCTCCTTCAGCGTCGAGAGCGCAGCACGCCCACTCAGGTCATCACTGACTACGCTGCAGAATAGGACAGAGCTTCCAAGATAATGTGACGCAATGGCGACGTTGTGGCCTACTCCGCCCAGGCTCTGCCCGATGACTGCGGGATTTGATGTTTGAGGAACGGGTGTAATCTTGTCGTTCTCGCTAGCAAAAGGGGTATAATCGCAGGACAGGTCGATCGCAAGAGAGCCAGCAACAAGGATATCTGCCTTGTCCAGTTGTTCAATTGTACTCTTAGTTAGGAGTTTAGGGTCCACCCCGGTCTCTGGAATTGCTTGATCAGCTCTCGCGTTCTCGGAGATTACTGGCATGTGTCTGCAACATTAGGGACATTCCAAGATTCGCAGTAATCTATCATCACATAACCCATCAAATGGGCAAACTCACCGGCCTCCTCTCCCTCTATCAGCCTGTTCTAGTTTGGAGAGTTCAACCGCCACCTTAGTTGCGCGCTTCACGTTGGCCTCGACCAGCGCCCTGTTGGCAATTACACTCTTCCCGCCACTGAGCTCCTTGATCTTCGCAAGCACGAAAGGTGTGTTGTCGCTTCCTCGGTAGCCTTCGACTTCGGCCAAGCGGATCGCCTCCTCTATTATCGTGTCCATTTCGCCCCTGGGAATCGACTGTTCCGCCGGCACTGGATTGGCAAAATGGATACCAGAGTTTACAGGAAGCTTCGATTGCGCGTCTGTTTGTGTCAGTACGATAGGCCAACTGGCGAAGAGAGGCCTGGCTCCTTACATATGATCGCAGCTGCTTCCGCTTCATCTCGGATTACTCTGGGACTCTTGATGCCACTGTCGCGCGAGAAAAAGGCAGGGAAATCCACGGGGCCTTCACGGCCATCGGCAAATGTCCCAACGCAGACTCCCTCGGTTTCTAGAAACTCAAGTGTCCGCGGAATATCCAGGAAGCTCTTGCATCCGGAACTAACAACAGCAACGGGCGTCCGTCCCAGCTCAGTCAAATCGGCTGCATCGCAGTCAGGTCAGCTAGAAATATAACCGGGAGGTGAGTTGGCTACGTACCCGAGATATCCATGGACGACTCCCCGCCACGGTGAACACCACCTAGATCAGTCAGACGACGCAAACAATAGCAAAGGGGTGTACCCACCGAGACCACCTGTCCCGAACACCTTGATACCAGCCAAGTGAGCAAGCACCATTGTTCCCGAGACGGTTGTTCCGCCATGGAGTCGTCTACCAGCCATTCCCTGAAAAGTGTCAGTCAAGTAATAGACCCTTAACTTTGGGGTCATCGTACCAGCCCGCATATATAACCAATATCTCTACGCGAAACCTTTAAGGCATCCTTTTTCTCTGCCGTCGATGCTAGCTCAATGAGCTCCTCGGCACTAAGGCCAACCCTAGCAACCCCATTGAGAATGCCGATTGTGGCGGGAATTCCACCATTGACCCGAACGACGGATTCAAGCAAAGAGGCGAGAGCGACACTCTCGGGATATGGAAAGCCTACCAGTGGTATTAGCCTCGCTTGCTACTCATAGCTATGCTAACTCAGACATACCGTGGGTATAGATCGTAGACTCCAATGCCACTACTGGCTTCCCTGTGGCCACCGCATCACGGATCTCCTCTGATACTTTCAGGAATTTGCTTTGTGCGACATCGTGATAGCCTCGAATTGCCCGAGGAGCTCTTGTTGCTGGTCCCCGAGCTCTGCAGCAGAGTCGGGTAGCGGCTTGTGAAAGCATGACAAGGGCAGTCGCTGTACAGGACGATACGAGACTCACTCTTGTAAATCAATCAACACAATACAACAGGAAGACAAGATGAATGATGACAATTGTCAATGACTGGACGAAGAGAAAGTGGGAGTGAGGTAGCAAAGCAGTACTCCGGAGTTACGCTGTAGTTAGCTAACAATCGGTCTATCGCCGATAAGCTGATTGTGCCGCCTTGGCTGCCGTAATTAAGGTACGGTACCTTACACAGACGTACGTAACCGACTACTGTTTGGGGACACCTCAGCATCTGGACAGTTTTGGGCCCTTTCGCTTTACTCCCTTCCATTCAACCCCCCATCCTTCCAATCCATCTTTCTGTGCTTCTCTCTACATCTCCAGGTGAGATAGATTGTGTACAGCGGTGCGGTCTGCTCAAAAAGACCGCCCATCGTCACAATGAGGCCATCTACCGCAGTCGCAGCGCTCTGCGGGCTGCTGTTCTCAAGCAGCTTAGTATGCGCCGACTCCTCGACCAGCTCGCGAGTCGCTTTACCCGCAGACTTCAAGCCCCAGCAGGTATTCAAAAATGTGAATCTGGTCCGGAATACCAATTTGGAGAAGGGATATGTTCGAGAAACCGTCAATGTTGTCGTTGAAAATGTCGATAAACAACCCCAGAGTGACTACTACATACCGTTCCCTTCGGACGTCTTTGGCAAGGTTGGCGGATTGGAGGTGAGGGACAAGAAGGCTTCGGAGAAGGGCAGATTTGTCGTTGAAGCTCTGGAAGTCGAGTCACCAAGGTGAGCATGCAATTGAGTGCCAATGGCTCTGTTTGATCGTGGTAATACCGACGCCACAGTTGCTTCATTGGATATTCTCTGCTTCTAGACCTGCTATTCGGATATTGCAGAAAGCTGACCTTTTGGTTCCTCGCAGCGACTACCAGTACTTTGTCGTTCACTTCCCTGAGCCGCTTGCGCCGTCCTCTCAAATCACATTGGGAATCTCATACTTCCTCCTCAACTCTCTCACTCCACGCCCCGCCGCCATCGGCCAAGCTGACAAGCAATATCTCACCTATTCTTTCTCCGCTTATACTCCGTCTGCGTACCAGACGGTGACTCAGAAGACCAAGGTTAAATTTCCCAATACCAATGTGCCCGACTACACAACCACTTCCGGCTTGAAGTCCGGTTCCGATCCCGAGCGTCAGGGCACCACCTACACTTACGGTCCCTACGATACGGCCAAGGTTGCTCCAGGGACTACTTACCCTATCACTGTGCGCTACGAATTCACCAAACCCGTGATCACCGCGTCCTTGTTGGAGCGGGACCTGGAGGTCTCCCACTGGGGTGGAAACCTGGCGACGGAAGAGCGGTACTGGCTCCGCAACAATGCCTCCATGCTCTCGAAGCAATTCTCTCGCGTGGAATGGACTTTGACCAGCTACCAGCAGTTGCCGTCTTCGGCGGTCCGTGAACTCAAGTATCCTCTCAAGCCTGGTTCGGTCGATCCGTACTTCATCGATGACATTGGCAATGTTTCTACGAGCCGCTACCGGCCTGGACAGCCCCCAAGCGGGAAGGATCCCTGGAGCTTCGTCCTCGTTTCCCAATCTTCGGTGGCTGGAATTACAGCTTCCGCATTGGCTGGAACGATGAGCTCTCCACTTATCTGCGTAAGGCAGCTACCGGCGCCGACTCCTATGTGCTGAAGGTCCCTTTCATCGAGGGATTTAAGGTGCCTGAGGGAGCTCAGTACGAGAAGGCCGTTGTCAGAGTGATTCTCCCCGAGGGCGCGCGAAACGTCCGGTATCAGGTTCTGGAGGGAGCTTCCAGCAATGGCCTCCCTAGCTCGAGCCAGATCCAATCTTACATTTCCAAGCAGAAGACCTACATGGACACATTGGGCCGCACAGTGTTGACCCTGACGGTCGAGAACCTCTCGGATGAGGCTCGCGATTCTCAGATAGTGGTAAGTCTAGCCCGTACTCGTCTCTATGAAATTTTTTTGGGCAGGCTGACACGACGTCAGGTTACCTACGATCACTCCTTCTGGGACGGCTTGCGCAAGCCCTTCACCATCACTGCTGGAATGTTCGCTGTCTTCGTTACCGCGTGGCTCATCGGGAACCTTGATGTCAGCATCAAGAAGCGGTGAAGCCTTTTTTCTTGTCATAATATGAGAGCATTTTCTTTTCTTCTTGTCTCGTACACAAAGAACGCAGAGATATGTACAAGAGTCCCAACAACGCGTAGAGCCAAGTAGAGCAGCCCCTATGTATTACTCGAATCCGTAGGGAATTGCGAAATGGCCGAACCAAACCCTTTTCGACATTGCAAATTCTAAAGAGAAAGTTGATACACATGCTGAGCCCCCAAACCCACAAGCGACTGCCCTTCCTTTCTTGCTCCTCTTCCATGCTCTGCAGTATCGCAGATACTAAACGCCAGACGCCTTGCAAACCAACATCGATGTGAGTAAAATAAGTACAAAGGCCAGAAGACAAAGCAGCCAGCCTTGAGCTAATTTTTTTTTGGGATGAGGGGGTCAATCTACTCCTCGAATTTCCTCTTGACCCCGTTTCCGTTCGCGCTGGGTGGCATCTGTCTCGCGCGGCGTCTGCGTTCTTCCTCCTCGGCAGCGGCCTGGGCCTGCCGTTTCTTCCAGGCGGCTTTGACGGCCGGCGCGACGCGGATGAGATCCTCCTCCGTGACGCGGTCCTCGATACTCTCCAGCACTTTCTCAACGGTCGAGATATGGTTGGCGTCGGCCTTGTCGTCGCGGAGCCGATGGAACCGCCACCTCCCTTGCTCATCCTTGAAGCATTCGACGATCGAGTCGTCCAGCGGGGCCTGCAGGGCCTTGAGGGCCTCCCAGTCCGACTCGGTGACGTACATCTCGCCCCAGGGCTGGTATTCGTTGGCGTTGAGCATGACAAACAGGTGGCAGATCGGGATGGCGTCGTAGTCCGGGTACGGCTCGGTGATGCCGTCGGCCTCGTCGTCCGTGTCCGGTTCGAGGATGGGGAACTCGAGCCGCAGGCGGAAGTCGATGGTGTTCTCGGCGGGAGGCTTCCACTTGAGGATGTGCTCGTCCGTGCCGATGCGGTAGGGGGTACTGCGGCAGGTGAAGATGAGGCCGTCGTTGCCGTGGATTTTCTTGACTTTGGGGATGATCTCGCGGAACATCATCTCGATGCCGTAGCTGAACTGCGTGGATTTGTCCTCGACCGCGAACGCGCGGTGTTTTTTCTCCTCCGGGAATTTTTTGTAGAGCGCGTTGTACGGCTTGAGCACCTTCTCCTTGAAATACGCCAGCCGCTTGTCCAGCGTCCGGTGCATGAGCTTCTGCCCGTCCAAAACCAAACAGTCGAATACGAGGAACTTGAGCTGCTGCGTGCCGTCCTCGTACGTGTCGTTGACCAGCTCGCCGTCGATCAGGGTGTCGACGTGGAAGGACTGGAACGTCTCGTCGTCCGGCTGGGGGAAGTGCAGGCCCGGCACGTAGCGGTAGTCATTCTTGCGGTCGATGAGGTAGTGAATTTCTGGTACTGGGGAGTCCTCTTCACCGCGTGCAAAGTACATAAGGCATCGGATGCCGTCCGTTTTCTCGCACACGTAGTAGTCTTCGCGCTGGAGCTCGAGGAGATGCCGTTTCGCAAAACTGACGGGCTGCGCGCCGGGGAAATTGAGGTTATTGCGCCCCAGCAAGGCGGCGACCTCGCGCCGGAACTGATCCGCCAGTTCGGGCTCGGCTTTGATGCCTATAGCATCGAGATCGGGAACGGATGGGTTGCCCATTTTCGACGGAAGGGCGACGGTGGCTTTGACAGCGCGTGGAGGGAGGGATGAGCTGAAGGGGAGTGTAGCTGGAGCGACAGGTGAGCTCTCGCCCGGAGGCGCATAAAGTGAAAGGTGTGCGCAGTCCTTAACCGTAGAGCTGCAGTTGAGTATGGGGAGTTGAATCAGATTGCGGTCATTTCATCCAGATTGTCAGTGAGGCGCATCCATGGCAGAATGAAGTTCATTCTTTGATCCCGGCGGTCTTGCGGAGGTACCAGTTGCGGCCTGAGGCAGAACTCAACTGAAGTATACCAGAGTTGATTTACAAGCTGGAATAGTTTCTACCCAACAGAGCACCTTTTTTAGTCTTTAAAGTCTAGCATCAGATAGTCTTATATAGCATCAAATAGATAACCTGCAGACTTTGATTTTGCTCTCAACATTGCGTGTACAACCAGTTAAAATGTCCTTTGAATGTTTCTATGAAGGGAAGAAAACAAGAGAATCGAATGTCGTTACAACTCAGCTTGAGACAGGAAGACTCCATATGCCGTGTACAATAGACTTAGGGGTATCATTTCATCAAAACCGAACAGCTCCAGACCAGAATAACCTCATCCATGAACATCCATGAACATCCATGAACGTCCATTAAACGCCAACATACCCAACATATTCGCCAACCGCATGACAAGAAAGAGATATTAAGAAGACGGTCATCACGCAAACCAGCTGGGACGAAACACAGATATACAGATTACGAAGAGGCCGCCACCGGTAGCTTCTTTGGAGCTGGCGCAGGGGTCTTCTTCGCTGTATCTGGTGCGTTATCCGACCCCGTCACAGAGACAGGGGATGCTAGGGGAAGATCGTCCATCGGCTGAAACGGATTTCCATCGTTGGTTGGAGTGGCGTCCCCGGTCGCGAAGAGTCCGCCGCCCCGAGCTCCGCCCAAGGCATGAGAAAGCATCTCCTTGATTCGCACGTACTTGTATTTCTTCTTGGTCGAGATCAATGGATAAGTGGCCAGGGGTTGTGGTCGCGAGCGAAGAATTGCCGCCATGACGGCGTCTTTCTCCTCGTCGGAGTCGACGGGACCGTTGGTTTCAAGATCATCTTGAAGCGGAGCATTTGCATCGATAGCCGCCTCTGCACGATAGGAGAGATCACAGTCAGCTCTCCGTACTCACAGCAAACGTGGATACAACAATAAAAGAAGACACTCACTCTGCTGACGGGCCTGGTTCTTCTTCTGATACGCCTGGAGCAGCATGTCATAGGGCAAAGAACGGCCGGGCACCGCACGCTTCGCACCCATCGAGTGACTCTTGCACGTCAACGAACGCGCACACTGAGCCCCATTCGGCAGAATGACACCACACTGCTTCTCAACGTCGACGGGGCCCTTTGGCTTCGGGGCCTTGGGCTTAGGCTCCTCCTTCTTCTTTTTCTTCTTGGGCTCCTTATCCTCCTCGCCCTCGGTCTTGCGCTTCTTGCCCTTCTTCGTCCCGTCCTCCGCCATGCCCTTGACGGCGCTCTTCTTCGCGCCCTTCTGCGCCTTGATCGAATCATCCCCGTCCTTGTCGCCGCCCGCGGCGTCGTCGTCCCCATCCTTATCCTTCTCTTTGGCCCGGTTCGCCGCATCGCGCGCCTCTTTCTTCCGCCGCGCCTTCTCCTGCTTCGCCCGGATACAGCCGCGGATATGCTCGACCGCATTCTGCTTGAGGACCGGCCTCTTGCACGTCTTGCATATCACCGTCTCCAAATTGTCTTCCTCGCGGGGCTTGCCCGTCGGGAAGGCAGCCATGGTCTTTCCATCGATCTCCGGGAGTATGGGCGACGAGCCGGGCGATTCGGGCACTTCTATATTACCAGCAATGACATTAGCCCCCTTTCATCCCGTGTGCCCCGATAGCTTGTATCCGAGCGTATCGAGCAAAGACCTACCCGCAGCAGCCTTCTTCGCCTTGGCCGACTTGGCCGCCTTCTTCAATTTGATCTTCGTAGGCTTCGCATCTTTCTCGGAGTACTTGTACCCTGATGCGTCCACCAAACTGCCCGAGTTCGAAGCGACCGACGACGCTGTACACAGGAATACCACCAATTAGCGTGCATCACCCCAACACCAGGATCTCGTGACATGGGGCCCACGTACCTCGACCAGAATCCCCGTTAGTACCCATGATCGAGCGTGTACAAAAGGTTGGTCCGTAACTCGAGTGTGATGAACAGCCCGATCAAGCCAGTGATGAAAATTCCGACCGTCTGATGAGCAGATGGTGGACGATAAATGTGTTGATGAGTTCAGGTGCTGCGGCGGGTTTTGCTGTCTGGCTCCGGAATTGATCAGTTCAGTTCGAATGGGGGTCTCCGCATGGGACGGTCACGTGAGGATATCAGTCTATGATAAGCGGACGGGGAACAATACAAATCTCATCTATTCAGAATAGGTCTAATAACTATTAAAGCCAAGTAGTTGGAACGTTGTTCTCAAATAGTTTGATATTGTACATAAGCTTTTACTATACAAAACGGGAATGTGAAAGGCCTCCAATGTATCCAGCGTTGTAACTGGCATTCTGATCTCGAAACAGAATTTGGCTCATAATGCATGCTTCGAGAAACACAGACTGCTATTCGTCCCTCCAAATCCAAAGCTGTTTGTTAGTGCCACTGTGATCTGACGCTCTTGTGCCTGGTTCGGGGCGTAGTTGCAGTCAAAGCCTTCCGCCAGACCCTTCAAGTTGATGGTCGGTGGCATGATGTTCTAACAATCAACAATCAGTAAAGCACATTCATCTCAACTTAAAGCTCCTGAGCGCACCTCATTGATAGCAAGAACTGTGAATAACGACTCAAGAGCGCCGGCACCACCGAGTAAATGCCCTACAGCCCCCTTTGTGCTGCTGACATTGATCTCAGCCGCGTTCTGCTTCCCTCCAGGACCGAGAAGGAGTGACTTTATTGCTGCATTTTCCGCAGCATCCCCAACCACAGTTGACGTAGCGTGTGCATTGACATAGTCGACAGCAGACGGCGGGAGATTCGCATTCTTTAGAGCCTTCTTCATCGCCATCCATGCGCCCTCGCCATTCTCCTTAGGCGCGGTCATATGGTGGGCATCGCCGGAGCAGCCGTAGCCTTTCAGCTCTGCGTAAATGCGAGCGCCTCTGGACTTTGCATGCTCCAGTTCCTAAAAGAAAAGGCTCTAGTCAGCACCAATTGATGCCGTCGAAGAAGCCACCCACCTCTAATACTAGCATGGCCGCTCCTTCACCGACCACAAATCCTTTGCGGTCTGCATCAAAGGGTCTCGATGCCTTTTCCGGGGCGTCATTGAAATCGGTGGCGAGGCTTCTTGCTCGAGCAAAGCCGCCAATGGCCAACGGATGAATGCATGACTCCGCACCGCCAGCGAGCATCACGTCCGCATCGCCACACGTGATAAAACGAGCCGCATCCCCAATCGAATGCGCTCCGGTCGTGCAGGCCGTAGTGACCGCATGATTGGGGCCCTTCCCAAATAAGTATCTCGCTCAGTGATTGATTCAGGGTAACCACTCACCATAAATCCATACCTCATAGAGAGATGGCCCGCGCCCAAATTGATCAGGAGCTTCGGGACAAACAATGGAGATACCTTCCTGTACCCCTGCAGAAGACATTGTCAACAATGAGGACGCTTCGGACTCATGAGCGGAAGAACCAACCCCCTTATCATATGCCACTACCGTGTCATAGATCTCATCAAAGTTCCCAATCCCGGAACCCAGACAAATGCCCTAGACGCATGGTCAACCGCTGCGCTCGCGTAAGTACCGCATCAACCGGCACGTACAGTAGCTTCCTTGTCCTCGGACGACGTAGGCTTCCAACCGGCATCTTCCAGTGCTTCCTCGGAGGCAGCCATGGCATACTGAGCGAACCGAGCCATCTTCCGCTCGTCCTGCCAAACCAAGTCCAATACGCTCAGCACAAATACTCTACTCCGGTCAGGAAGAGACGACAACAATCATCACCTACATCTCTGCTTAACCATTCCGAAGCCGTCCAACCGCCCTCCTGCCGGGGGCCTGCAGGTACCACGGCGGCAATCTGACAAGGCAAGTCCGCGAACCGAGCATCGCGATGCTTCACATTGACAATACCGCAATGACCATCCAGCAGGCGTTTCCAGGTGCGACGGACCCCTATACATCGAAACAAAAACAAAGCGACATGATTAGCAAACCCACCCGGCGCAAAGTTCCTGTTTTGGTCGCATGTAAAGACCTTCCCCTTCTGGACAATCGGAGGAGTGGGGAAGGAAAACCCGCCCAGTTGATGGAGGCCGAGGAAGAGAGAGGAATCAGAACAACGCGACGCAATAGTCCGGATGATCTAGTGCAGGCGCAAAGATGGACTGGTATGTAGGAAAAGGAAAAGAATCAAAGGGGTGGATGGTATCGACTCACCTACACCTAGAGGTGTGACTGCGCCTAAACCCGTTACAACAACACGACGCATGGCATACTGATTGACGGTCGAAGGGGACAAATAAATGACTGTAGAACTTGTTCAAGAGGTAAATAACTATCAACCTATGATACTGCCTCTATGAAGTTCAAATTGGAATTATCTCCGACCCAGCCAATAATGACCAGCGTCTAAGCAGTGGCCACTGGGAGTCTGGGACGGACCAGAAGGGAAAGTCTGCACGACATCCATCACAAAGGATGCCGCCCACTTTTTTCTCTCTGGTCCACGAGAATGGATTCCAGTTCTCGACAACAGGACAGCGGGGCTGCGATTGATGGAGAAAGAGCCAGAGGATTGATTCTGATTTGTTGCCAGGTCGATATATCATATTTGACAGTTGAATAATATTATTTGAAAGAAAGAAGCACTATGATTCTCCATGATTCGATGAAATCGCCGAGAGAGCTCCGGTTTGCTGTAGAATTGGAGAACATATTTAAGAGCCAAGTTTTCTTATCGCATCTCTCTTCTTCTCTTGTCATTGCATCTAGGAGTCTTCTGCGCTTCTTTAATATACCATTATGAAGACTACTCTGGTCAGCCTGCTGGCTTTGGCGGGAACGGCCCTGGCACACGCCCATCACGACGATGCCGAAGTTGTACCGGAGAGTTTGCGAGAAGAACTGCTGAAGAAATGGGACCAGGAGGTATGAGGGATATTGTAGAGGTTACCTACATACGTATACGATGCTCATTGTATCTAGTTTACATTTTCCGGCATTGCCAGCTTCGCCCACTTGAAACCCGTCAAGTGTCTAGTCGAGCCCGATGAGCGCTACGATATCGCCGTGATAGGCGCGCCCTTCGACACAGCCGTCAGCTACAGACCTGGTATGTTGCTAGCCATTCACAAGCGAACGGCAGGATCATCCTAATAATATTATCGCAGGCGCCCGCTTCGGTCCGCGTGCGATTCGCGCCGCCAGCGCCCGCCAGATGGCTGGCACCAGCTACAACACACGCGCAGGCATCAACCCCTACAGCTCCTGGTCGACAGTGAAGGACTGCGGCGACATCCCGGTCACCCCCTTTGACAACGGCCTGGCCGAACGCCAGATGTACGAAGCCTTCCTGGAACTGGGGTCCCGGCCAGCCGTGACGCCCGCGGACTCCAAGTACGGCGCCAAGGGCATCTCCGCCGGCAAGCCGAAGCTGGTGACACTGGGCGGCGACCACAGTATTGCGCTGCCGGCTCTGCGCGCCCTGTACCAGATCTACCAGAAGCCCATCACGGTGTTGCACTTTGACGCGCACCTTGACACCTGGAATCCGATCCGGTACTCGGCCTACTGGACATCGGAACAGTCGCACTTCAACCACGGTAGCTTTTTCCACAAGGCGAGCCGCGAGGGCCTGATTTGCAACTCGACTTCCGCCCACGCCGGGCTGCGCACCCGGCTCACGGGAGTCGACGACAGCGACTACACCGCCCCAATACACCCGAGCAAGGGTTCATGCGCATCCACGCCGATGACATCGACGAGCTGGGCCCCATGGGCATCGTGGACAAGATCGTCGAGCGCATTGGCCTCGACCCGGAACAGCCCGTTTACTTGTCCGTCGACATCGATGTGCTGGACCCCTCCACCGCGCCGGGAACAGGCACCCGGAGCCGGGCGGCTGGACCACCCGCGAGTTCATCCGCATCCTGCGCGGCATCGAGAAGCTGAACATCGTCGGCGCGGATATCGTCGAGGTCTCCCCCAGCTACGATAACAAGGGCGAGACCACCGCTCTGGCAGCGGCGCAGGTCGCCTTTGAGATTATCACCAGTATCGTCAAGGCCGGCGCGGGCGAGGATCTCGGCGGTTGGTACGGACGCAAGGCTGACGATAAGGTATCTGCGGAGGAGATTGTCAAGGAAGAGACGAAGGACGAATTATAGCGATCAGGGAATGCACCTCTGACAGTGGCCGAGGGGACGTCGCCAGTCCAGCAATCCTGCACGAGACTGGAAGTCCATAGAGCGCCCCTTGATCACATGACACAGTTGAATGAAGTTAACGACCCTATTTCATTTGCTCTTCGCTTTCTAGTAGCTCCAAACCTACGGCACACCACTTAGGCATTGGAAAGATCAATGCCCACGTACAAGTCGACCAAGCCTATCCGTGAACGCGGAGGCTAAGTAGAGTAACGCAGCGCAAAAGGAATTCACCCAGCTCATGTCATTTGCTTAATTGTATCTGTCGTCTGTACTGCTCTAGTTCCATGTGTCTTGCGAAAATCATAATAAAGCGTCATGAAGAGGGTCAAAGCATGTAGTCGAAGTAGGAGGGAATATTTGGTGACAAGAAGCGACAGATCACGCGGCAAGATCAGAATCAGGAAAAGAGGATAAAAAAAAAAAAGAAACTCTGAGAACAGACAAGAATCATCAGCCAGCCAAAACAACGACGCCCTGACTTCCAACGCCGATAGAGACGATGAGAGGTTGATCGGAACCTGGGGTAATGAAAATCGAGGATCAAGAATGGTTTGATCAAGCAGGATAAAGAGCACGGAAATTGAAGGGTAGGGGACAAATAGAGCAGGGAAAGAGAGATGAACCCCGTCGCAATGAGCAAGGAGAAGAGAAAAGGTGTTAGCTTGCCGCAAGAGGATATAACGTTGCGTATTGATGATCGGCACAAGGGCGAAGATTCAAGGAATCAAAAGTATTGTGTGGAAATGGCCAAGCTGGGGATAGGAATGGATCATTGTTTCGACGAAAGCGGTACCGCGTAAAGAAGAGCTCGAGAGATTACAGTGAGACGTTAACCGAGTAAGCAGTGACCCTGTAGCTGGGAAAGCAGGCTTCCGAAACTCCATAACCTGTGGCACTCTTCGATAAAATCTGAATCGCGTAATATCTGTGTTGGGGCTGGCGTCAATGGGACAATACCGTCAATGAGAAGAAGCTTCTTCCAGAGTGGACCGACCTGAATCTCCTTGATGTACAGAAGTTTTGGATGGAAGATTCTACAGCAAGACGCATCTGGACTTCTTCTTCGGGGCGGGCTCCAGGGCCGCAACAATCGCCTGTGGTTGGAAATCCGAGTCAGCGTCCGATATGATTTATCCGATTGGTATCGCGGCCGATACGAACCTCATCAAAGACATCCTTAAGCTTGTACTGTGTCAAAGCGGAGCACTCGACGTATTTTACAGCACCCAGCTCCTTTGCCATACGGTCGCCATCTTCCTTGCGGATGGGTTGCATCTTCTGACGGGCGAGCTTCTCGCGAACGGCAGGGTCATCCCGAAGATCAGTTTGGGTACCGACAATCAAACAGGGCACACCGGGGCAGTGGTGGTGCACCTCGGGAAACCACTTCTCGCGGACGTTTTCGAACGAGGCAGGAGAGGTCACCGAGAAGCAGACGAGGAAGACATCTGTCTGAGGGTAGGAAAGGGGGCGGAGACGGTCATAATCCTCCTGACCGGCGGTATCGAACAGTCCCAAGGTATAAGGCTCATCACCGATCCTATAGCACGCGAATCCGAGTTAGTTGATGATAGCTCTTTTTGGGCGCAGAAAAATGACGAAATCGCTTCCCACAGAGTGCGAATCTCGACTATTGGGAGGCGTGTGCGAAGGATGAAAGGACGAGGTTGTATCGCAAGGGTCCATTGTCAACCACAAAATCGAGAGTTAGATGTCACTTACATGACAGTGACCGCATAGTTGTCAAAGACGGTGGGGACATATTCTGAGGGGAACTTGTTTGTTGTGTAAGAGATAAGAAGGCATGTCTTTCCCACGGCACCGTCACCAACGACGACACACCTGTAGGTAGTGAAAAGAACCTCGTTAGCATTTGACTGTCCACTCGAGATACTACCCAGAAAGGCCAAGGGGGCGGGGGGGAAAATAGAAGGAGGAAAAAGGAAGGGGAGGTTGCTAACGAAGACAGAAGTGATGAAACGGGGACGATTCAACGTACTTAATTGTAGCTACCACCATATTGCAAACCGAATATAGAAATGATTTCTGGAGAAAAAAGTGCTCCAGTTGATCCTCAGGCTCAAGAACGGCGCTGAGGAGCGAGGGTGCGTAAGAGTATTATAGATAGCGAGGAAATCGCGGTGAGGGTCGTCAAAAAGGAGACACAATGGAGATGGCAGAATCTAGATGGTGGTGAATGGGGACAAGAGGTAGTAGGTGGAGGGGAAGGTCAAGACAGAAAATGAGATGGAAATAATTATTTTGGAGATGGAGAACAGTAAAGTTGATGGGGAGAAGGACAGCCAGCAGATTGGGAGAGAGAGAGAGAGAGAGAGAGAGGAGTATGGTATGGTGGTGTGCGGTGAAAGGCTAGCAAAGGCAGTTCAGTCAGTGAGTATCCGTGAATGAAAGAGGACGGGAGTGGGCGGGCGGGAGAAGTGGAGGAAGAGGAGGGACAGAGCTCGGTCTAGCACTCTAACAGTACTCTAAGGGAGAGAGGACTCTTAGCTAGGTACGGAGCAACTTACAGGAACAGCAAGAGTCCCTAAGTACCCTTGAGCTACCTAGGTAAGAACTCAGATACAGTAGTCTACGGAGTGTACCTTAAAGCGGAAGCTGTATCTGTGTCTCAAGGCTGAGCAACTCTCTCTCTCACAATCAAAGTCTTTCGACTACTTTGATGATAACTGTTACTTTCAGTTGCCATCATCTACATCTGCAATTTTGTTGTAGCTTGTCATAACACAGAACCATCAAGCAAGGATGACAAGACTGATCTGATCGTGACGAAAAAGGAAAATTTACTCTCGTCATATTGGTTTGATCATCAGCAGGTGTCATCGGTCCGATAATCTGAAGCAGAAAGAACACGATTTGCGCTCCTATTGCCTATTCCTATTCCCCTTTTGAAGAGAACGCCATTCGATTGTGGCCCCATACTAAGCGTTGCATCTCTCCAACGAGGGGGAGGGGGAAGCAGCCGCGGTAGATTTGGATGGTGAGAAGTAGTCGCGCGGAGTCAACCCCACGCTCATGTTTTTGCGGTTTCTTTCCAAAAAAAAAAAAAAAAAAAAGGTTGTAGCAACACCAAGCAACAGCTATATAGCTAGGCCGTGTTCGATTGCTTGAGCCTCTAGGCAGTGCCACTGTAATGCGAGCCTCCGTGTTCTGACTGTGAAGACGATGGCCCGATTTGTACAAAGCAGATTTATGACCAAATCCAGGTGTCAATAACACGCCAGAATTCAAGTTACACTCTCTCGGCCAGTCAGATTTCGCAATCACCTCCATATTTGTCTGGACCGTTGCTCGTCCTTCGGTTCGACTATTTAGTAAAATTTAGGCTATGGATCGGGTCAAACTTGAGACGTGATCGTCGGAAAACAAATAACCACATGAAATGGAGCTCCACAGGCAGGAAAATAGGAAGCAGCAATGCTATGGTCACACTGCAACTCCTGTAACCGCCTCTGGAAAAAACCAACCTTGATCCTTTTAACTTCTATTTTCTGCTGCGACCATTCGAATGGAAGCCTGCTTCTGAAGGTGTGCGAGTGTGCAGAAATACCAACAAGTCATCGTCCATCCGCATCCAACTGGGCTGTTACACGACTCTGCCATTTAGCGCCTGGACTCGCCAGCAGCCAGTCTGAATTGACCATTTGGCTATCTACATTCACCAGAGCTCCACGCTGTAGGAGCTTATTATAACTGCTCACTCGTCCTCTCCTCTCCAGCTATTTGACTGGAGATTTCGAGCTTCGAGTCGACTGCCCTCGCCAGCATGTTGAGCGCCCTGACGAGGCTTTCAAAACACACTAACCATTCGAGACTGCTCTTATTGGCTTTCAACCAAGCTAGTATGAAGATATGAGTCTGTGATATTCACATCTAGCTCGTAGTGAGATTCATGTTTCTCACAAGATCTATCCTGCTGATGGCCCTGAATCATCCGTCCGTCAAAGAGGGTAAAGGCTTATACAAAAGCATCACAATTGATCTGAGCTTGAACTGTGATAAATACGAGCTGATAGGAAGTCCGGTGGATGAAAACCATAGGAGGACGCTCACTGAGCAAAGGCTAACTGCGAGAAGTGACCATGGTCAGTGATTTCTCATCTACAGCTAAGCACTGAACCAAGAATGACCAAATATGACACAGGACGCAATGTCCCTGCCAGAATATCCCCGATTACGGGAGTTCCGGAAACCATGTCCTCCCTCTCGGGGACTTCCGATATCATCATGCCCAAACGAGATCATCTCCGACACCTCCCTGTCGAGAGGAGTACATTAGACTTAGCCAGATTCCCCGTGAGGTGTCATTTACCGTGCATACAGCCACGTTTCAGACCTGCATAAGCCAATCCTAACCAACACAGGATAAGAATCGTTCTGTAACGTTGATTAGAAATGCAGTCGCTGGTGTTCCAGCGAATTATTGGGACTCCGAAACGGAATTTCGCTATATTGCCTGTTAACGTCCATCCACCATGCTTGGAATGCTCAGTACTCCTGGCCAGGAAACTGATGGGGCTAGTTAACAGTGCTTCTTTGTATGTACAAGGCTAGGAATTCAGAAGAAAAATCTGAAAGCAATACGAGCGCAACTACTCTGTGGCTCTTCCAAGACTCATCGAATGGGCGTTCTCTCAGTCGCATAATGTGATAGGCAACCACGATAGTTCAGTTGAACTATCCGATGGGAGTATCCTGATCGGATACGGTAAGGCTACATGGGCTGATCCATAAGCTTGTTGATCGCATGAGTTATGCGGTAATGCCAGCTTTCAGGAAGGAGACTGGGATCACACGGCCAAGCGACTTAGGCGAATGGCACCTGGTTACGAAAGCTGTTAATACATACAACGAAAAAAGCCTGGAGATAGATAATAGTCGTCTAATCATTATGTTCGTAACTGCGTCTATATAGATATCATGACAATCCTGCGCCTTCTTGTGAAATCTCGTTCTTGGGAAATTGCAGCCGAGGCGAAATCGGCTCTAACCAGAGCATATCAGGGGTTCTGCAATGTGATATGTACACCGTAATCCCTTACGTCGATAGAAATGCATAGTTGGTTGCTGACGGATGCGACTTTTTTTTTTGGGTCATTCAATGGTTAATTCCAGGCAATGATTTCGTTCACCTGTTGAAGTTCTTGCGTCGCATAAACTCGTAAAATTCATGGCACTGCCGCTAGATGCAGCATAGCTGTTGTAGATGTCTTCAAGGGGATCAAAGGCTTTTTCACGTTCGTTTGGCGTGCCTATTCGGTTCGATTTCCTCCTCTTCAGTGGGGACCGGTTCAACCAGAGGTTCTTCGCTCATCTAGTCGAGCAGTTAGCCTCGATCAAAAGTAAGAATAAAATCATTGAATCACCTTATCAAGTTTGTAATCTTCCATCGCCATGCTCAAGGGTATCAATGGTACTACGGCAATGAGAGCCAGAATCAACAGCTTTTTAAATGTCTCCTGGTATGCTTGGTTGATAGCGACCCTGACGGGTGATCCAAGAGGGTACGAGAGCGCCTTCGTTATCTTGCCGAAAATCGCATCTGCATCTCCCTTGTTCTCTTCGGGAAGGTAAAGTCGAAGCTTGCGTGGGATATTATGGGTCCAAACAGCCCCCGATAGTGCAGCGCCAACCGCGCCGCCCATCTCCATGGACGTCAGAAACATGGCCGTGGCCGCGGCAACTTCCTGGTGACTGGCAGAAGCTTGGACTCCCAATTGTACTGGAACATTGAGGAGCCCGCCACCAATGCCGACGACGACCTGAGTCACTAAGATTTGCGCTGGCGTACTTCCTTCACGGCGGGTTACCATCATCAGCACCATCCCGATGATATAGACCACGCAGCCAGCAATGACGAATACCCGATAGCGCCGGGTGTATTTGATCAATATCGAGACCGCAAAGGCAGCAATTGTCGAAGTGAAGGCAAATGTTTGAGTAACCCGGCCAGCGGTAGCGACGTCGTAACCTTGAACAACCTGGAGATAGGAATAAAAGTAGGGCTGAACAGAGAAATAAAACGCCACTGAGATGCGTCAGCAAAAGTTCGAAGGACGTCTCGCGGAAGAGAACAGTAAATACTCACTGAAATACCAAAATGCAAGGGTGCAGCCAGCAAGAGCAGTTCGCTGTTTAAGAAGATGCAAGGACAGAAGGGGCTTGGGAGCCAGTCTTTTGGAGCCTTCCCAGAATGGCAGCGCGATCAAACAGATTAAGCCGACTACGATCATCGCAACGATGCTGTCAGACTTCCAGCCATTCTTTGAGTTCGCAGCAAGAGTAAGAGGCACCAAGATCAACGTAACCGCCGCGGATAATAGGATCAAGCCGCCCATGTCCAAGTCATACCATGTACGGCGCAATACTGCAAAGAAGCCGCCGCGGTGCCTAGACTTCGACTTAATGAGGTTCAGCCTCCTTGCCTTACGTTGATTCAGCAGCAAGGAAAGTGCTAAGGGCAGGAAAGAGGCAGGCAGAATAATCGACCACATCCCGTAGCCCCAGCGCCACGAGGCGTGCTTCAGCACCGCATCCGCGATAGTCGGCCCGATCCAGACGGTCACAAGGAAAGGGAATTCAGGTAGAAGCGCCAAAAAGGCACGGTTCAGCAAATTACTGCTGTCAGCAATGAAAACTTGTTGAAGTATCTGGAGACCCGTGGAACCGGCGGAATAGAAGATTTGAGCAGACGCGTAAGTTTGCACGTTGGTGGAGGCGGCCATCTGAATATATCCAAGCACGTAGATGAGGATACTAACACAGAATGCTTCAAAGCGACCGAAGACATCCGCGACTTTCGCCATAGGAGGTTTGATGACAGCTGCGAGAAGTCAGCTGACCCTACACTGCAATATTATAGACCGGCAAGGTAATAGTACTTACCGTTGACCACATTCTGGACGACCAAAACAGTGGATATCAAGGAGTGCTTGCTAAAAGCACTCGTTGCATATGCTCCGAGTGACATGACGGTCTGGCCCTCTAGAGACGTGCAAAATGACATGAGAAAGATACTGCTAAGATGTCAGTATGATAAGACGCGCCGTGCATGTCCGATATGAACCGACCTGACATATGCTATGACCAGAGACCGCGCAGTCCAAGTCAAATTGATCGCTTCGATTTTTCTAACGCCTTCCTGCACCGAATCTTCCGAAATCGACGCTATGTCACTATTGAAACCGGCAGTGTCATACTGTTCCTGGAGAAACCGTTCTCCTTCATCATCGCTGTGCTGATCCATCTGGTCGATTGTGCCATAAGAGGGTCCTGTTCGGTGATCGAGAAGGGGCATTTCGCTTGGACCGAGATGTCAGAGAGAAACTTAGATGTATTGTTTCTGTACAAGCGATGTCCATTTATAGATGCCGACAAGACGTAGTCTCGAAGAGGAGCGCGAGCGTATAGACACCGAGCAGCGAAGCAGTGATCACACTGGATACGAGTGAGCTGAAGTTCGAGGATATTCGTGGTCCGAGCCAGTCGATGACCTGAATAGAAAAAGCAAAGTGCAGATAGTGGAAAAATCAGGGGTATCCCAGTAAAGGAAAAGAGAAAGAAGAAAACAATGAGGAACGTCCGTGATGCTCCGAGTCGGGAACCCAATTCATCAGTAGCAGATCTAACAAGAGCGGATACGGATGTAAGCCAGCCGCACAGGAAGACCCAGTAGTCGAGTCAGGAGGCCTGACAATCCTTTCGAACTATTATTTAATTCCAGCCGCGCAACACGATCTAGAGGCGCACTTATGCACGTCGACGTGGGTTGCAGCAAATATGAGATCCGCAAGAGCTTATGGGCTTGACGCCCGAGGCTCCAATAGGTGATATGGCCCCGCGAGGCACCAAGATATTGGAGGGCCTTGCCCTGCTTTGTACGATATGTTCTCTTGGTTCATGAACTGTCAAGTCCGTCATGGCCCCTTTAGGCGTGGTTATCGATAAGTGGTCAGGGCGCTTGCCCCTCGGCGTTCAGGTTGTGCGGCAATCGGAGAAAGGAGGAATCATCGAAATCTGGAATCGTGGTGGACCGTAGAAATTGTCAAATAATCATGACAAGAACTGAACAAGACGAAGATCGGATTACAAGTCGGACAAGCGTGGTGTGAGGATGTCAAGTGGGGGTGAAAGTCGGGTTGGACTTGGGTACTTGCGGGAATGCGGGAGAGTAGTCGAGTCACATTCCTAATCAGGTGGCAATCAAGGATCCCATCAGATATGATAAGATCATAAGATCACCCGCCGCAGCCGGTCACGACAGGATATCCCTCATGCTATCAATCAATCTACAATACCCCTGCAGAGCACAGTAAGTAATACTGTTTGGCCGCCTCTTGGGCTAATTACAGTATAGACACTTTGCAGATAATAAAGCTTAGGTAATTATCAAGTCATCACAATGTTTTGTAACTTTGAAGTCATCTAGGTTCTGAGTGCTGACCGCCAGCTGAGCGAAGAGATGAGCTATGCAAGTGGGGACTCCCGTGCGGGTTATCTCAGACAGCACAAGGTGTGAAAGTACTACGAACCCTTCCGAGAGTACTTAATGGAATCAACAAAATGCCTTTAGATCGGATGGCTTTCTTGGTCAGTTTATGGGGCGGTTTTAAGGATACAATCTGAAGAAGCACAAAAGCCATACCATACCATCATTTCTGCACAGCCACGGACCGTCAACAATACAAAGAAGGAGTACCGCATCACTCTGATACCTGAGTTTTCCCGTGACAATTTCTGACTAGTAGAGAAACAATGAGTGGGTCAACGAGCTTACGGTCCGTGTGGTGTCTGCAATCCTGGATTACTGCCTCAAACGGGTAATATTCTCAACTACTTCCACTAGTGTCGAATCCTCCTAGAGAGTTCTCAGAACTTCGACATTAGATATGACTGAGTCACTCTAAATGCCTTGGTTTTTACTTTGGTTTCGAGGCCGGTTGCGTACTGAGCGCCGACTTCTAAAACAGAACTTCTGAGGTCCATTCTTAAGCCGAGTTAGGTCCGAACATGTATAGTTACTGTAACTCGATAATAACCCCTCAATAAAATGCCAGCAGAGCATACCAAGCACTAGCAACTGCTTGATCAACCATCCGTTAGCGTTGTCTAGAGAGAGAAACATATAGGAGTCCAAGGTGTGGGCGTAACCGAGCCAGACTTGGACTCAATAGTAAGATTCTTGACACTTGTCATTCTGATTTCTACGTGCTATCCTCAGAGCCCTCTACCTCCGGGACAACGAAGGGATCCTGTAAGATTGAGGTCGCTGACATTGCTCGTCTATCCCATACACTCCACGTACACGTGTCATTCCATACATGTCATACTGAGTATCATTACTCGGCCAGATCAACAATCAGATGTCCAAAGTTGACCACCAAATCACCTCCCTCACTTGACGGCCTCGCAGCATAAACGCCAACCCAGCATTCGGCGCATTCTTGCTCCTCGAAAAACCATGTAACCTCACGGAGAGGAGACTTCTGGACACCCTCAACTAAGTAAATCCACAAGCTCTCGTCTGCTTCCCTGACGATTTCGATGGTTGCTGCTGCGCCGCCAGAAGGGATGGCAAGCAAGCTCCAGTCCGCCCAACGGTCTTTCGCGACAGTGCTCAGATGAGGTTTGCCGTGAGTGAGCTCAATGCCCGTTTTCACCCATTTTCTGGTTCCATCCGCGGCAGTCGAGACAAGGATGAGACCGCCTTGGTCGTATTTCTGCTGCCAATTGGCATGGACTGCGACTCGAGCCCTCTTGAATGACTTCAGGGGCGCACTGCGATAGAGGATGGGTGCATTGAAGCGTTCCGTTGAGGGCGGTTTCGACCAGATATCCGTAGAAGGACTCGCGTTTATCGTGAACTCGGGAGGCAAGGTGCCATTACCTGGAACCTTTTCCGAGGAGTTGGCAAATGTAAACCCAGCTTGAGTCATATTGCCCGTAGAATGCTGTATAGTTTATTTGAAGCTTGCGGTACACTTGGGAAAGGCCTTTCAGAGCAATGTGAACGCTGCAATCCGTTGGCAAAGAAAGAAGGATGAAAATGAATCAAGAATCTATAGGTCCAGGTACCGGAATTGTGGGCTATATAAAGGGTAAGAAACGGAGACCGGGAAAGAAGGGTCAGGTGAAGGTTCGCTGTCCGTATTCAAGCCGGATAAACTCCAGTTTTCGATGCCCTGTAAGCTGGTGTTCCTGCCCCCTCCCTGACGGTATGGCCACCGATGACGCTCATCCCGGGTGGGGTGGCACCTTTGGCACCTTCAGGTCGGAGAATTGAGCGGAGAAATCTGGGACTGCCATCCTCAAACCTTGGTAGCTGGCAACGTTTACGAGAAGACATCGGGAAATTTCGTCTTTCTCGGTTTGCCTCATGCCTCGACAGGTTGGCACCCAATATCAGTCGATACCGACTGGACGCGGCCACAGCCAAAGCGATGATCACTCAGCGATCTCCAGGCTCAGGCTTGGCGGAGGGTACTCTTGGCTGACATAATCAGACACTGGGAGAAAGTCATACCTTGAGCCGAGACGACGAGGAGAGTGGTATCTATTCTTGCGCATGCCCCATTGATGCTAGCGCAGCTGATAAAGAACATTCGAGGAATGTGTCGGCAAATCGCTTCCAGCAGCTGATGACGATTCTTCGTCATGTCTGCCCGTCTACTGCACCCGGATGAGTACGAGCTTGACACTCGATCTTCTGTCGACTCTCAGGGAACGTTCAACCTAGACGAGGCCGACTTCGAGTCACAAGCTCCCCCAGACCCAGACGGCTTCTCAACCGGTTCTCCTTCGTATCGCGGCTCTTCTCGTCAACTTCATCCGGCTACCGTCGCCTCAAATCTTCTCGACGCGTCCTATCCGCCTCATCGCGACCGAGTTGTTATCGACGTCTCCTTCTACGCCGCTCCTGCTTCTATATCCATGTCGTTACAGGGATTATATTAGCCCTCGTCGTATTGACTTCAATCTTTCGTCCATCCTACACTCGTCCGCCGTCGCATTACTCCGTTCTGCGCGATGCAGTCTCTCAATCGACTAGGTCGGGCAGAGGCAACATTCGCAACGAGAAGGTCTTCGTGGCTGCGAGCCTATATGACCGCGGCGGGGAATTAGCAGGCGGAGAATGGGGCAATCGCGTTCTTCAGCTCATTGACCTGCTGGGAGGAGATAATGTGTTCTTAAGTATATACGAGAATGATAGCGGGCCAGAGGGTAAAAGCGCATTGCAGGCTTTCAAGGAGCGGGTACCATGCAAGAGCTCCATCATTTTCGAAGAGCATCTGGATCTGGACAGCTTGCCCCGAGTTACGGTCCCCGGCGGACAGGAACGTATCAAGCGCATCGAGTATCTGGCAGAGGTTCGCAACCGAGCTCTGAAACCGCTGGACGATGATCCTCAGACGCGTTACGACAAGCTCCTGTACCTGAACGACGTCATTTTCGATCCGGTTGACGCTCTTCAGCTGTTGTTCTCCACCAATGCAGATCAAAACGGGGTTGCTCAATATCGGGCAGCTTGCGCAGTCGACTTCATCAACCCCTTCAAGTTCTATGACACGTACGCCACTCGTGACCTGCAGGGCTATGGAGTGGGTCTTCCTTTCTTTCCGTGGTTTTCAACGGCCGGACATGGTGATAGCCGAAAGGATGTGCTAGCTGGGAAGGATGCCGTGCGTGTACGCAGTTGTTGGGGAGGAATGGTTGCTTTTGATGCCAAATTCTTCCAGCATGGCACGGCAGGAAAGGGTTCGACTCACGCTCCGTCCCGTTTCCGCGCCTCTCATGACCTCTTTTGGGAAGCTTCCGAGTGCTGTTTAATCCATGCGGACATTCAGGAACCTCAGCTGCAACCAGATGAGATAGCCGACACCGGGATCTACTTGAACCCATTCGTGCGGGTCGCCTACGACCTCCGTAGTTGGTCCTGGCTTGGGACCACACGCCGATTTGAGAAGCTCTATTCCTTCATCCACAACATTGGGAATCACCTTGTGGGGTTGCCGTGGTACAACCCACGACGGGCAGAGGTGCCTGGTCAAACTGTTCAGGAAACAGTTTGGGTTGCAGATGCAAATGAAGTTAGTGGTGGTTCCTTCAAACAGGTCGATCGAATTGCTGGGAATGACGGCTATTGCGGACGGCGAGGGCTGCAAGTTATCGTCGAAAATCGCAAGCCGGGTCAGGAAGGTTATGAAAGCATTCCTGTACCGTCGACATGAATTCGACAGAGTCTTACCATTGGCGGTTCCATGTTGGTATCTTATCTTCTTGTCTAATATGAAAGCGATATACATAAAGAATCGACTGAAGCTCACAGAAACTCGATCTTTAAAATTTGTTTCCTCCCTGTCATGCTGTATACTCGTCTTCCAGATCTGTTATAACTTTGGAAACTATGTCCAAGCTTCAGCCCTGAGAAAAAAAGTGATATCCTTAGTGAATATTTAAGCTAACTGTTTGTCCTTGATAGTTTAGGCTTGACGCTCCCCACCAGCCTCCTTATGTTGTCAGTGAAGGCGGCTGGAATATCTCATCGTGCCTGTCACTGAGTGAAGTGAAACGCATACTTCCGTCGTCATGCCCTAATTCCAGATAGTGAGAAGCATGATTCCGGTGGCAAGTCATTGTCTTGTGCTAAGCAAGCATCTGAGAGCTATATAACAAGCATAAACCTCCCACCACCCTGTCCATGACTCTGCATCTAACCATCTACCACATCTTTCCGCTCCTACTTTTACAGTGACAGTGTGTGACTGAAGGCCTCTTCATCCTTCTAAGCTCTCTCTATGTTTTCCTGGCTAGCAAAAGCTTTTGATACCGCTCTCAGACTACCTGAGACCATGGATCTCAAGCAAGTCTCAGACATGATCATTGACGCTTTCGACAATGTCATGGGAAGGGACTCTCAGGGCCTGCAGGAAAGCAGACACGCACCTAAGAAAGAAGACAAAGCAAAGGAGTTGAAGTATTCTCAGCAGGTTGGTCCTCCTTCCGTCCATTTCTCTCTCCCTCTTAGTGTTCGTTTCAGCATTGTGTTCTGTGCACCTGATTACATCGGCGTCTTTGCACAAGCAGGCCATGCACATGTTGTGAGAGTGAAGCTAATTGCATTTTTCCAACACCAAACAGTCTTCCCAGGTTGCCCCCGTCAACAAAACCCCACGTACCTCTGGTGGACTTTCTTTTCCTTCCAACATCCGCCCCCTTAAACCTTGCCACTCATCTGGCGATTCTTCATACAATTCCTACACTCCGTCCAAGATGGCTGAACTCGCAAAGAAGTATCCCGTCGCTGACGTGGATGATGCTGCTGGCTTCATGGCCTTTGCTCGAGCTCTTAGAGAGAAGCAGGCTCGTGAGGCTGCCGCTGCCGCCAAAACTCAGGCTGATCAGGATACTTCTACTCAGCTGAATGGCTTTGCTAACGGTTCCAATGACTTTGGCGGACAGTCTCCTGTTGACACCAGTGGATCTGCTCCCGTGTCTGCTTCCAACAACGCGTGGCCCTCTGGTAAGTTGACTTCCACCACGCGGTTCAAACATTCAGACGGTCACAACTGACATCGATCTGTCTATGGAGAAGCCCCCCACTCGCGTAATGATGACGGCTTTGGTGACTTTGAAAACAACGCCGATAACAACAACGCGTCTCTGATGCCTGGCATCGTCGAAGACGCTGAAGCTCCCAAGGCCTCCGCTTCCGGTTTCCGCGGCGATGCGGCTGAGTTCATCCTGCAGGAAACTCCTGTTGCAGCTTCCGAGAATGCTGTCTCAGCTACTAAGCCTTCTGACAATGCTGTCGTTGAAGAGGATCGCGAGAATCTTACTACCTTCACGTCCTGGGGTACTCCTGTCGCGCGTGACAAGCCAGGTATGCAATCAATCTTCTTGTCTCCTTTGGGTGGTCTTGTGGACGCTAATATGACATCTTGCTAGCGGCTCAAGTTAGACGCGTCATTATCAAGGGACTTTCTTCCGCTTGGAGTACTCCCGCCAAAGTTCTGTCACTTATCCATGGTGGTATGGTCGAGAACATCCACATCACTCCTGCCGGCAACCAAGCCCATATCCTTTTCTGCGACCACGAGGCCTGCAAGGCTTTCTTTGACAAGTACTCCAATGGGATTGACATTGACAAGGAGAAGAGAAAGACCGTCTTCGTGGAGATGGGCAAAGAAGTCGATGTCATCAGCTCTCAGCTTTCTTTCAATCTCTCCATTGGCAGCACCCGTGTTGTCCGCGCCGTTGGTGTCAGCATGAACGTCAACATGGGCGAGCTTCTGAAGTTAGCCGGCACCAACAATCGCAAGGTGGAGAAGATCGTGGACTCCTGCGTCCCTGGAGAGGTAAGCTGGTGATCATCCCCAAGAGTGGCTTGCGTGCTAATGACGCCTCTAGCCACGCAACGTTGTCTTCCGTTTCTGCAGTATCGATGATGCTGTCAGATTCCGCGCAGCCATCCTTCGCGATGCTGATTGGGAACATTGCAACATCCAGCACGCAGCAGACCCGTATGTCTCCTTCTACCATGATATGATGTCGAAACTAATGGTGTCTTTACTTCTATTAGATGCGAGCTCGCTAGCGGATTCCATGCCGAGTGAAAAATGCAGACGACTTTGGCCGATACATCGTTCTTCGAGCATCGTGCTTCAATTTGGAGTCAGCAGAGTTCGACTGGATACGTGTACACAATATCAATAGTCAGAACTTAAAGCATACGGATTGATACGATGGATAGGGGTTTCGTTGTTGACAGAAATTATTATCATGTCTTAGCCAAAGGGTTAATAAAATGATATTCGAATGTACTGTCATTCCTTGACAACTTATTGCTTCGTTAATAGCTTGCGCTGTCATGCAGTTCATGGACTAATTTCAAGGGATAAGACAATCGTAGAAATTTCGCTCTCTTCTAGTGTACTGATCACATCATGGCATTATTGGCACTTTACCCTAGCCTTGCAGCTTTGGCCCTTGATAATCAAGGGCCTGAGCCATATCAACAACCATAAGCATATTGCAATTTACTTTCGGACATACGGAGTACTCTTCGCTGGCTCCTCTTGCCCCTACTTTCTGACAATACTTTTCTTTGACAATGTTCACTACTGTCCCTGAATCATTCCAGCGCAAACATTACAGAAAGCTCCAGGCCCAAGCCTCCTTCTCAAGTAAGGAACATGTATGCATACAAGCTGCTCCTCAACTCTCAGTCCAACTCCTGAGTCCTTACTGTGACGCTAACTGCTCTCTTCCTCTTAGTACTACGTCAACGTCAACGAAACGTCCTTCCTCCGCTCATCAAACCCCTTCACGACAGAGCCCACCGTTGGACTACTTCTCACCCGCTAGATTCCCTTCTTGGTCTACGGAAGTCCACATGAACTTCGCCTCAAATATGCACACGTTAGCAGGTAGACTGTCACACCTTACGCCTCTCCTGCGCGGGCTAGGCACCCTTTTCCCATGATAACCTCGAGGCTTGAGGATCTCACGTCGATACGCGAAGGACACGGAGTTGACTGGCACATACACTTCCCTTCTGTTCTATGCGACGGGTGATGCAATATCCTACATGCAGGACTCCCCCGGGGGTTGACGGGGTGAGTTCTCGGCAGGGCTAATGGTGCAAGTTGATCGGTCTGTTTAAGTATCCTACCTGATTGCTCACTTATGGTTGTGTTAAAAGGGCAGAATAGACCTATACACACCTCAGTATCCGAGCATGACGCAAAATTGAGGCTCGATTCGACGTGGCAACGAATACCTACCCTCTTCTAGAACCTCGACGACAAACGATACATTGTTGATGTAGCGTCTTACAATGGATAACTACCTCTTGATGGACAGCCACATCAGGACGCGGTTGATACTTCTATTTGGGGTTTGTTGGCAACAGCTCCTCTCTTGTCTCGAACCTCACCCAGTACGTCGATACTCGCAGTATGAGAATATCCCTATACGTTCCTGAAGCCTGGGTGCAAGGAATGTCGTTGGCAACGATGGGTAGATCCCAATACCTACGCTGCGATGGTCTGGGATTATCGAGGAGCCTTGCCGGGAATTTTGAGAAGACCTAGAACTCCCTGGCTGGATTTGATTCAAGCGCATATCCGCTGGAGAGGCTAGATGATTGACAATCCTTCTACGGCGTCAAATTACAGAGATAGATCCAGAAATATGCGTCTCCCATACTGATACAATGAGTAAGACTTTCTAAACTACAATTCGCGGCAGACTGGAAGTCCTTCTCTGAAGCATAAGCGATCGAAGGATATATATCGAAACTACAGCAACAGTATTCAAATCCACACTTTGTACCTCTTTAACCTGGCAGCCAATACTTCAATCCGAGATACATATTCAACAAGCTCATCTTCAACGCCCAGTGCGCACTGGTTTGAACTTTCTTTCCGCCGTCAAGCCTGAAGACTCTTTCCTGTTCCAACATAGGGCAAACTTTCTTTACGTGGGATGGACTCGAGACTGTATCATACGATACCGTACATCAGACACCGCCGCCACAACCGGGTTTCGTTTACGGAGTATGATTTCCGAAGGATTCGGGCTTAAACGGTCATCATAGCAGTGGCTCTGATCGCCTGTCAAGAGGCGCTTGGTTTGATATCTTACGTGCTGTCGGCCTGATTCTATCTCTGTTGGATGCGATTGCTACCTTAGGCTCCAAGAGAGGAAGAGTAGGATGAAGACACAAAGCTGCTAACAGCGCTTTACCCACGACTCGGCAGAAAGGCGGGGAATTCGTCGGGGATGGACTATGGACACAGTGGGACGTCCAGACTTAGTTATGAAAATCGCTGCGTCGGTGTAGATCATTGTTTCATAGGAAAAGATGTTACATTATTCTAGGCTCCAGAGTTAATATCACGATTCACGACGAGAGCTCAAGTCGAAACTGACGATCGATTCGATCATCGTGTCTATGAAACAAGGCGGGAAAATCTGTTGGCAATAACCAATAAGTATAAACTCGAGTCTTGCGTAGCCATTATTAGATTGAACAACTCCCCACGAGTGTGGAGCTGGATAACTCGGAACCTTCTTGAATGATATGAGACTCGAGTCTCAGTTGGCCCCGTAAAACTAACTACGAAGCCTCACGGAGACTTAATACCATGGCAGCTGGATAAGTTGCCGAGGGGGCCAGGATTGCCAAAGTTTCTATTGTGGATTAGGGCGGACATCGCCGAAGAAAGCATTAGAAAGTGGAACGAAACAGCTTCAAAAGGCTAACAAAGAAAGACGGCGATCCGGGTGGAGTATTGACTCTGAACACGAATTACTAATTTACTATAGCAGCAGCAGCAGAGAAGCAAGACCGAAGCTCATGGATCACAGGTGGAAATTTACAAAAACTCGATAGTGACACCATACTGCATTGCTTCAGCAAGATGGTCATAGTAGCGGTAAGCAATATAAGCATATCAGCAGGGATTGCAACAATTGCTCTGTATGATGATCTCCGCACGCAGGATCCTGAGCGTACAGCGTACATCGCGCGATGAACCATTCACGAGGGGACAACCGACATACCCAATATGGGCTACTTGGAAAAGTGACTCGCATCCGAAATCTCCTGTAAATCCGTGATTCGAGAGCGAACGGTCAAGGCTCAAGACTCTCGCGCTCCAGGTATGAAGGTCCAGAAGCTAGGCGACCGCGACATACCCAAAGGACGCATCGGACTCATCAAAATAGATTAATAATTGATTGCGTCCAGGCAAGTCGGGGACCACCGTTTGATGCCTGCATGGGCCGATACCACTCTACAGACCCGACAGTCTGGATGAGGGTGTGATAGTTGAGCGTTAGCAGCTTTTACGGACGAAACCTTGCGATTGAGCGGGCAGGACGGCCAGTATTTATGAGCACGAAGTGACGAAAGTAGTATCCTCGCGCATGAGTGGAGTATGGATCAGCAGGATAAGATCGAACCAGAAAATTTTATATCAGGTGTTTTTGATACTCCCAGAGTTGATTTCAGGCTTTTTAGAAATGGGCCAAGAAGTGAAAAACCTCAAGCCAACGCACCTAAGACAGCAGCAGAATCGCATCTCATCACATTGGCATGACTGTCGATCGAAACGGCGGTCCGTGAAGAGGTGGAGTGGGATGGTCTGCTAGCAAAGTTACTAGCGGATTACGCTCTTTTAACGAATTTTCGCTAAACCGGGAAAAGACAATAAACGTATTCTGGAATACATTGTTGGCTGTATGTTTGTAAGATCTGTGGCCCTGCCTGGATATAGATACCAGATAACCAGAGAGCTATCTCCAAAGCAGTAACGGCCTCTACTTCCGAATAGTAATTGAAGCTCGGAAGGTCCAAGCACAGACAATTTCATTTGATTAAGAGGCCAGAGTGCTGATTCAGATTGCCTACGCCGCAATGTATAAGCATCAGGCACCAGGACCACCAAGTGGCTAAATTTAATATCGTGGAGATTGTCCGTAGCCTGGTCTGGCTAGTTAATCAACACTACTTACCGGTGGCAAAGATCTGGAACAATCTTCTGTTTGACAGGACAGGGATGCTTTGTGACAGTGGCAGGGTCAGTACGCCTATCTCAACTCTCAAGGGAAGCCTCTAAATTGCGGCACAGTCGAGAAACATAGGTACAGAGTATCCCAACCAAGTAGGTTTCTGGACTCTGTTAGTTGGCCCCACGTGTTGGGTGCAGGGGTCAGAAACGACTTACCAGGCAGATAGTTCTTCCAGTCCTTTTCCCCCTCTTGAATTTCAATAATAATGAGACGGATTATAGTCTGGTCTAACAACCGACCCGAGTCCCCGACCCTCAGTTCAGAGCATTTACCGGAAGGAGGCAATGGAGGCCATATTTAGATGAAGAGCCTAGGAAGTTGGGACATTTGGAGCTTCACCACTCGTCAGCCAATCTGGTATGCTTAGATCAACTGGGAAACCGACAAATACGTCGAATATCGCGCAGACTTATGGAGACGGACGGCCTGAAGCGCTGAAGCGAAGCAAATCAGCCTGGAGGATTCGCTCCTTCTCCAACAACATGGTGAGAAGATCCGAAGAGTAGTTGGTCAAGCCAAGCTACATTCCAAGTCCTGCCACCTTCAGTGCGAAACACTAGCACTAGATCCTGAGTCCTGACAGACGGAATAATGACATGAGACTGCATTCTCCGTTTCGGGTCTGGTCAACTCAAGCGGCTTGACACAAGGCTGAATTCAATATGGTGGCTCAAAGTACGCTCACACTGCTCAAGCCTTGACCAGATGGACTTTGGATGACGTCCATTATCCCGTTTGGCGTTCGCATTAAAGTTCATCAGAACATCTTTGTCCCACATATTCAGGCTGTCCGGGAGAGAACCAAGGGTAGCCATCTCCGCCACAAGATGGCCATCCTCGGGGAGGAGAGGACCGGAAATATTCAAGAGAATCCGACGGTGACAAACGTCTTCTACTCCGTAGAGGAAGTAGACTCCTGGAAATTCCGTCACTTCTTCGACAGGAGGTGGAGGAATGACTGTGTCCTCCCGTACATGCCTTAGTGCAAATCGCAGCTCCATCAGTCCCGCATTTGGTTTTTGGAGGTAGGACAAAGTCTTCAAGTATGCCTTGAGAGCTGCTCCTCAGGAACATAGGTTAGGAATGAGCTTGAAAATGGAATGGACGTAGGGAGGCTCGCGCAAGGATATTGTACAGTCAACTGCAGAGACTCTATATCAGAGAATATTCATACTTCAAAGTGACAGGAGTAAGGTATCACTGGAATCTTCATTCTTCAAGGCGAACGGCACGAGCCTAACTCTATCTGTGTGGATAACTTTTCTCACCCCATCTAACTGGTTGCCTTTTCCAGCCTTTCTTGACCTCCTTACATCACCTCGTGAAAGACAGGGGCTATAAACATAGCAGAGGAATGTGGCATGCATGCTTCTTCTCTCTTCTCAATCGCCGGAACCTAGTACCGAAGATTCCTCTTCCCAGTGGAAGTACGTACTTAGGTACTCCATAGTTCAATAATCACAATCTACATAACATTCTGCAGTCTGCATTCTGCTGGGGCTCTGATAACTGACAAGTCTGCCGACGATCCATGATCCGTCAATAATGGTCGCGGAAGCGCTTCCGTAGTACACGGACAACGAACCTTCTTTGGTTCATGCTTTGTGGAACAAGTCCACATAGTAAGGACTACGGGGCAGGTCAATTGGTGTTCCAAATACTGCTCCGTAGATAGTCGCTGCTAGTTTGCCCCCCGAGCTCGCTAGTACCGTATCCATCTCCTTAGTCGGGGCCTATTGAACTCTGAAGGGGCCTCCCGTCGGTTCCGTGTCGGGAACCTGATCATAGCTCTTGAGGAGCACCTTTCGGTTAATTTGAGAAATAACGTACGGAGTGCAGTAAATTGCGTTCTCAAAAGCTAGTTCCAATCCGGATATCCAGAATTGCGAATGAAAGGGGTGATCCCGGTACGGGGCTTGCAGGCTGGTGCGCACAGAGCACACAGGGCGATGCTTGGCTGAAGCCGCCGCCCAGACTTAGCTTCTGGAATCCATCCCTGGATATGTCAGAATCAGATTAACAGAGCACGGAGCACGGAGTGGTAGTACAAAGGGCAAAAGTACTGGTAGTGCGAGTCAAGGCTCAAATCTCGGTCAAGGACTATCCAAATGTCTTATTACCGTGGTGCGCTCTGTGCTCTGCGTTGTGGTAGACGTTGATCAATTGAGCCACGTCGGACCGTTATGTAGCAATTTCAATATTGACTAAGCGTACATGCTTTGTACAGCTGTTTATGCTCATCCAACAAGATGCCAAGCTTAAGTAAGGGGCTTTGTGCAAGTGCTGGGCATGACCATCTGTCCAGCGCACGGAGCCATTGGAGGTCCGCAGTATCACGTATTTGATCCTTCTAGCAATGATGAGTTCTAAGCGTCGAAGCGAGTTTCTTCCTGAAGTGATATTGACCAAAAAGAGTAAATGCAGAGGTAAACCTCTAGACACTTGGGGTTCATACAGGTTCAAGGAGGCGACAAGTGATACCGGCATACACAGGCGATACTCCGACGAGTCCGACACTAGTCACATAAGAAGGGGAAATAGCTTGTTTACCGGCTAATACTACGCTCAGCATTCCTGGAATCTTCAAATCAGTCTATTCTCCTTCATATGCAGTATTAGGCAGTCAGTTCCTCTCCTTTGTACCAATCACATTCTTCAATAATGTACCTAGTTAGGTAGACAACACAAGTACCGTAATATATACTCTGTACTCCGTAGGTATACCTCCTCAAGCTGTTAGCGGAGACTAGCGGTGCTGGCGTACTGCACTAATACTACGGAAATCAGAATTAACGATCCTGTCTGTGCCAGGCTGCCAGCATTGGAGCCTCGAAGCGGACCTTAACATAGCTCCGACACCGTTCTTGTCAGCCTTGAGCCTCAGGGTGGATCACCTCTGTCTTCATGCCCTGACTCTTGAGCTCCTGGCTCAAGTCGGCCAGCCACTGCGGTCCAACCTGACGATGTCACTCTAATCTCGCTTCTTGTTCTGTTATCTCCGGATATGAGACTGTCTACAGTAGCACTCCGTGCCTAACTACTTATTCTCACGAATAACAGTCCCTAATTGGAGGAAAAATAGACCCTCGAGCCAATTGCATTTTAAAAGCTCTTAAAAAAAAAGTAATATGCATTGACACCAGTCAGTGCCAACCTCGCCTGACCTCCGTTTGTCTACTACTTACGTCAACACGCCGTCCTGCCCAGAATCATGATAGGCCTTGCTAAGACATTTAGCCTGAGCGAAGTCGAATCACATTCTGGAATAGGTAAATGAAGCCACGCGGACTTCCACGTCAATACTTCTCTCCCCTCACGTGACTGAGAACGTCTGCGGGTATGCGTGTGACAACCTTTAACGGAAAGGTTGGAGCTCGAGAGAACAGGGGACCCCTAGTCGGGGGGATCGATAACGTTGCTATGTCGTTTATCTAGTCGTAGTTGCAGTCACGGTTGAGCCACTTGTCTAGTTGACAATCCAGCTATTCCGTAAAGTCCGTGCTTGGCGAGACTCTGAGTTCTTGAGAACGGGACGGGATCGACCCTTAGACTTGTTTTGTAACTGATCTATCTCGTGTGAGTGTGGTGGATCAATCACAAAAAGCTCATGATCGACAGCAGATTGCGGCCATCCCGTCTTCTCTACCCATCAGCTTTAGCAAGGAGAAAAGGAAAATCTCCTCGGGACATTTCTCTCTTCACAGGCAAAAAAGGTTTGCTGTGCTGTGCTGTGAGACATTATGTGGTCAAGGCGTACATATTCACCAGGAGAGGCTGGAATACTAGGCTGGAGATGAGTTGTCTTTGGCTGCTTGAGTGTGATTAGAGTATCGATATCCAACAGGATAGCTAGACTGGTTGATTTGCATATTAAAGTGGCGAGTTATGTAACTTTTAGTTATTAGCAATGTTTATTTGTTCTTAGCTTATGCAAGTTGACTGTGCCGCAATTTCCAACAGCCAGCCACTCTTAATAACATATGGTACCTTACCATTAGGGCATTACTAATGCTGTATCATGAAGCAAAGGAGGTCATGAGTCATGTTGCTTATCTATGCCCTCTTCAGTATGAGGTATATCATAATGATCGCACTGCAAGTAACGGACGTACCTATGAAGACGAGTCATTCTGTAGTGTCGAGGTCACTAACGCCTGTCACTAACGTGTGCTAAGGATTTGTGGCAGGTCTGAGCCGGAGATGGATACAGCTCTGGATGAAAGAAAAGTACCTAATTGGCATTTAACAAGAAGAGGAATGATTATCGGGATGATGATGCCAACATGATGGAATCTTCAAACCATGCAGTCAGTCAGCTGCAGATACATACGGCATGCCAAAAAGGCAATATCAAAACAGCTGACGTCTCCTTTTTTCTGCTACACCTCCACGACTATCTTCGTCAAGTAGAAGCCAATCATCAAGCGCTCGGCTACACCATGAAGCAAGAATGGCGGTGCTGAATCAAAACTAATGTTGAAATCCTTCAGCAGGTTTGAAGGGGTTGGCCTGACAAATGGGGTATGGAGATGTTGGAGATTCGTGTTGGTCTTTTCCCTTTGAGATTGCCCTCCATCCAATAACTGGGGTGATTGCTTTGTTTGTATGTTTCAATCTTACATACATGAACGTCTAACTGAGTGCCTGGCTCGGTTTTTACTCTACTCTACCATGGGGAACTCGGCATCATGATATTTAACTTATTACTCGCATTAGGATTCAGCTATTACATGCCTATCTAGAGTATTCTGGAATATCATTCAAGGTTTTGTGTCTGTCGCACCATTTATGGCTGATACCTACGGTATCAATCGTATACTCCGGAGTACATGATGAAACTTTCACTTGAGGAAGCCCCTTCGATTACTCCGGATTGACCCGTGCCGAGCACCGATTCCCATTCATTCTGCCAATCTGCATGAGTCTCAAACCATAATACGGAGAAACCCTTCAGACTAAGGTACGGAGTACAGTGGGCCTAACATGATGAAATCCATCAAGTGGCACGCCTGTCAGCTTGAAGGATTGACGATTTTCTGAATTTTCCTAGAATCTGACTTTTGACAGGCTCAAAGTATGGTGCTAGTGGAATGCCCTTTGACAAATACCTCTACTCTGTAGATTAAGCGATCTTGGAGCTTTGGGGGCTATTTTGCCTTTCAGTCTTTCCGTGACTTTTCGGTCAGTCAATTTTTATCAATGCTTCTTTGTGGCCTCGGAGTGGACGAGACCAACAAGTCGGATCCGAAACCTGGAGCGTAATTTGCAGACAACGCGACCTTGTGATGTCTCGGCTGCGGCAAGCAATCTGGCAGCAAAACCTAGCTACAAACCTGGAAAGAGATAATGATTGCGCAACGTTGGGAAGCAGGTGAATGTATTTCACCAATAACTCTTCTTCCCTGCTTAGATCGTCTCATAACTGCATAGATGAGTTGGCAGTTTCTGCAGATTTATATCTGGACTGCGTGGTTTCTGTATATATGCATGTATGTGTGACCTAATCTCATTAGAGTGTGACCTGAAAAGAAATTTGAACCTTGCTGATCGACTGAAGACCTGCAGGGCCACCTGTAAGTATGAATTGTCTTGCTTTTTTCTTTTCTCTCTCGTCGTATTATCTACTCTGAGTAAATCCTCAACTTAAGAGACCCACTCATATCGCGTGCTGCTGTCAAGTGTCAAATTTACAAAGCCCCGAACTTGAAGCCAAGTAGGTAAGCCTGGGGCCAGTACGTACACCCTGTAACGGGTAAGAACCTAGCTGTGACCGTCGCCTGTCCTTCAGCAATCGGTCTGTGTAATCTGAGACCGAAAGAGCTAGACGGCATAGAAAGCTCCTTCTGATTGGTTTATTGGTCCCAGTACCACGGTTCACCATGCAAAGCCACTGCAAGTTGGACTGTTGACTTTACGCTTCCGCATCCAATCAACACAGTTTATTTCGGCCGTTTCTGTTGGTTTTCTTCCCTCCTACTCTGTACCTCCTCCTTGTACTTTGTATCAGGCTATCAGCACTCTAGGTGTCTGACATGAGTCGACCTAAAAAGCTGTTGTGCTCGAAGGACCTGCAGTGATCCTTTCCTTCACATTCTTATTGCATTGAGGCGATTATGGAAGGATTCTTCAGGCCAGCGGGGACTGACAAGGAGGATCGAATCCCTCAGCAATGGTCCGTTAACGCGTCAATGACACATAGCCAGCCTGGTGTTTACTGGGACCTGGGTATGGATAGAGAGTCGAGACTCAGCTGAATCAATCTATCTTCTCGAGATTCAATCTCTGTCGATATTAGAAGTCTATCTACTTTTGGAATATGGAGAGTGGGTGGGGCATGGTGGATCTCACTGCTCTGTTAAGTCTGTTCCCACACTCCGCGCCGCGGAGTAGATGCGGAAGCTGGAAGTTGCCAATGCATAGGTATTCAGATTTCGACTTTGTAAATACGAAGTAGCGAATGGAGGATGAGGAAGCGAAAAAACTGGATTTCAGTTGTTGGCAAAATAATACACTTCGCTGACCTCACCCAAGCTCCACATCTTTTGATAAATCTCGTTTCCATTTACTGACCTTGGCATCGTCTGATGTTCCAGAGCCCACTTCGAAGATCGAACCCCTGCAAAAGGTTTGTTTCGCCGACCATAGGTGGTCAGTGAGGTATCGTTAGTATTGCAGCCATTCATGCTAGCCAGCTTTTTTGGGGCCTGACAAATGAGGACCTATCAGCTCCGGGAAATTGAACCTTCTCATGCAGTGGCAGGGCTGCAGACTCTGTGTGTGTGTGTGTGTTACGCCGCAATTTCTTCCTGTGTCATTGGCTCGTTCGGGTATGTCTCCCCGTAGGCTGTCTTCAAGTTGGATGCATTTTTTTTATTTTTATTTTTATTTATTTATTCTATTCCTTTTTTATATTTTACCCCTCCTAATTTTTTGTTCACGCTAGTCTCTTTTATCCTTTGCTGACTCTTATTTTTGGTTCCCCTCGAACGGCTTGGTTCGGTCGAAACTATCTAAACACATTATTATGTACTTGGAAACAGTCAGCCTTCAATGCTCGTGAATATTGTAAAGCTCCAGAATAATACCTCCAAAAATCATGTTTTGATTTTTATTTTTTCATCATCACCAGCCAATCAACGCTCGCTCTGGCATAGGAATATAATTGGACTGGAAAAAGGAGACTGGCATACTCCACCTCATTTGATACATTCCGTTCTCCAGCGTCGATCGAAGAGACTACAGACTCAAGACTGCAGAGTACATACTGACGTTGACTTTTCTTCATTCAGCAAAAGTAAGACCTTAGTGTCGAGGGAAAAGCTATCTGACCTCTATACGAGCAGCTATCTTAGACAGGATCCACAATTGATATTCAATGAAGAATCCGTACTTCCTATTTTTTACTGAGCTAAACAGCACATCAACAAGGCTGACAGCACAACCAAACCATTCCCATACTGATCGTCTCTCTTCGTTATTACAAATTCTACCAGCCTTCAGATCCTTGTTCCCCTTGACAGTTTTGGCTTTTGCCCCGCGTGAGGCCAAAACCTCCGTTTGGATGATTGTGTCATCTGTGTCAAACACCAGGGTTCATATAGCTGCCCCATCCTGGCCCTGACCCATATTAAGCTTGTCAATATAGCCGCGAAAGAGAGCGTTTGTTTATTTTTCGAGGTTGGCTTCTTTCTGTCTATCATCAGAAGCAGATCGTCGTCACATCCGAGGGTGTAACTTCGTTGTTGACTTCTTTGTTGCGGCTCTCCACCGTACAGTAGTAAGTACTCGTCTATGCTTCGGATATCCTTACCAAAGGAGTAAATGTGCTAGACCTGCTCTTCTTCTCTCATCTTGCTGCTGTTAAGAACGAGAAAAAAAAGGGAAATAAAAGAAAATAAAATAAATCAAGGGAGACCATTCTGAAAAGGAAAGAGTGGAAAAAGAAAAATAAACGAGGAGGGAAAAAAAGAATCATAAACTACCCCAATCCGCCAGTGACAATAATAATCATTCCTGCACGTCTTTCTACCAACGTGACCCTGTCTCTCTTAGGTTTGAGATCTCCACTCTTTCCTGCCTGTTGTTTAACATCTAATCTGTCGAAGTACTACTATCTGCATCTGGACTTTGCTGTTTCGTGGAGGTTGTGGCAAAATTCTTCTTCTTCCTTCCGCATCTTCAAGCCCGATATCCTTGCATGAAGGGGAGTGCAAGAAAGGGACAGACATTCAGACATTCACACATACGTACATACCATACATACCTCATAGAGGAGGGGGCTACGGTGATATTATACCCATTGTTCAACTCTTCGTGTCTGTGTCTGGCACATTCCAAGGCACAATTTATTTCAAGCGTCTCTTTTCCCTCATTACAACACCATCACACCACCACCACCACCACCACTACTACCAACACTTCTGCCTGCATCTGTTTAATTTCGACTTTGCCCCCTGTTCTGGCGCTACGCATCACTACGACAAGGACGGTCCATCCAGCACCATCACGTACCCGCCGTAGGAAACCACCCTCTCCACGGCCGGACACTACAGGGGCGCAGTCGGGGTCTCTTACAGGCCGGTGTGTTCCAAGGACTCGGTACGCTGCATGGGTTAGGAACGACTAACCCGACACTTGGCGGCCAGTACCCTCATTTAAGAGTCCAACCAGGAGACTCATCTGCTGTTGGGGATGCTCTGAGAAGAAAAAATATTGTTCGCAATATTACTTCTCTTGTCGCCCATCCTTCTTTGTGCCCTCCCTGGCTGTGTTCGACTTTCGCAACTCCCAGGCAGTTTCTTAAAAAAAAAAAAGAAGGCGCCAAACTGCATAGTGGCTGAGAGACATACCAAAGACCTCATAGTCTTATCTCTATCAGCCTTGTGATTCAGTGCCTGAGGTGTTCAGCTACTAAACCCAACAACCAACACATCATCCCACCTCATCTATTCCGTCCGTTTGAAGAGGAAAAAGGTGCCATCGCCTGCATCTTGATCACCTCCAACCTTGCTGCCATCGGCGGTTGTCTCCTCGCATATACTGTTATTCTTCTCTTTGCCCACTCACCTACAACCACGATCATCACTCCTCAGAGGCAAGCATTCTCCACCAGACGAAATGGATTCGCGAACTAGCTACCTGCCCTCGTCTCGCCAGAGTCGAATGGCCATTGATTCCTTGTTGAATCCATCGGCCGACAACGACCCAACGGACAACCGGCTACACCATTCATTCTCAAGCCAGCAATACTCGCCACACTACCCTCCAAGTCCCAACCGCTACTACTACTCCCATTATGGGGAGAGCCACGCCTATCCGGACACCCCGGGCTCGTCTCAGGACCAAATGTTTTTGTCGTATCGGCCTAGATCGGCCGAGTCTTCACCAGATGCTTATTCTCGGGACCGGTACGACTCCGTCTCCAGCAGTTCCAGCAATGCCGCCGAACGGCGTCGGCCTCCCCGGCCCAAGTACGAAGAAGAAGAGATGTACTTCATCTGGTACCACCGTGTCGACCTCTGCCAGGAGTGGAAGGAGGTGCGTGAGAACTTCAACCGCCAATTTCCCAACCGCCAACGGCGCGGGTTTCAGGGAATCCAATGCAAGTTCTACAGATTCATCAAGGAGAAGAAATGTCCCACGCTGCGCGAGCAGCGAAGAATGCGGGACGGCGAGTTCCTGCGGGAGGGTTCGACCATGATTGACTCGGGAGCTCCACGATTCGGGGTTGTGGAATGGGCCCAAGTGTGGTATCCATGGATGCGAGAACCAAAGGAGCAAGTGCTTGGTCGGCGGATATCCGCATAACCATTTGTCTTTGTTTCAACTTCGCTTTGCAATTCTTTTTTATTTTCCCTTTTCGGTTTCTTTCTTTTTTACGGCCGCACCACAAGCAAGATACCTCTGAAGTTTATTCTCTTTCTACATGTGGAGGTTTCCGTCATGGTTTCTATTTCTCTTCTCTTTCATCGTGTGTTTCTCCAAGATTTAAGAGCATGGTCATGCCGTTAATGGTTGGGAGGCTTTCTGGATTAGCACTGCATTCTAACAGCTCGCTGTCCTGACAGCTTGAGCTTTCCGATGGTGGCTTAAAATTATAATACATCATCCCATTTCAATACGTATGGTTCATTTCAGTATGATACAATACATTACGTAATTTCCGCACGGTCCTACTCCTGTCAGGTACTAACAAACTGTCCACCCATAACAACAGTATAACCAAATAAGCAGCCGTTAAGATGATCAGAATTCTAGTAAACTGCAGAGCACTCATCTATTCTTATCCTCTGTCCTATGTAGACTACCCAGTGCCAGCTGCGAGCTCTCTACAAGCTCACCCGGATAACCACCTCAATTTCAACCCCAACTAAGGCAAAGGCGCACCGTAGACTACGTAGTAGCTATAGTGACAGCACCGGTTAGAACCGAGATGGCCACAACTGCATACTTGAACGGAATGTGAAATGCAATGGTACGATGTGAGTATGTTTGACTTTGGTCGAATTCGCAATCAGCTTGACATGGCATGACATGACAATCATAATGAGGCGCCCCACATCTCCGTCTCGTACTTCTATCACCTCGTATTCGATTTTGCCCTGGGACCCTGATGTTGATGTTGACGTTGACGTCGGCGTTGTTGGGTGCTGGTAAGTGATGCGCCGTCGTGGAAATTGTTGTTTCCGGGTGATTGATCAGCTTCGGGATTATCGTCTGCTAATGCCGGTTGTCATTTGCTCACGGGCCAGATACGTGCTTGGCTGAAGAGAAGTGGGGGGCCTGTGTACTGGCTGGCTGGCACTGACGCTACGCTACGGTGATTGCTCATGCCCACGCTGATGCTGATGCTGATGCTCATGCAGATACGATAGTATGATTTGTTTTTCTTTACAGTTGTGGATTTGGGTTTTCCCCGAGGTCACCGGGTCTTGGTATTTGGGGGCTAATTTCGGTGTAAGTTGACAATGAAGAGGATGATCGTTATCACGACCAGACAGATTGCATTCCGGGACACCAAGCAAGCAAGTCATCTTGAAATCGACTGGAAGCTGCAGAATGCAGCCACCCGATTCTGGGAGGGCGGCACTTGTCAGAATGGCTACCACCGTCGCATTCGATCGTGATTGGGACCGTCGCCGTCCAGGCTGTCCTCGTCAGAATCCACGTGCGAGTCGAGCCCAAATCCAAATCCAACTCCAACCCGGCCTGCGCGCCGCCCCTCATTTGCTGAATCCGCAGAGTCGAATTCCTCGTCGTCAGACGCGCCATGAGTTCGATATTTGTGGTAGATGGCTGTGGGGTCGTCTTCTTCATCGTCCCACGACAGGTCCTCGTCCGGATAGTCGTTTGCGGGGTTGTTTTCGGCTGTATGCGTCAAGATGGGTTAGCACAGTGCATGCACAGAGGTTGGGTTGGACAGGTTGACTAAAAACATACCATTCGAGTCTGCGTCCTCGCTATCCCACTCCTCATCCTCGTCGTCCTCTGCAAAATGTTCCCAGTACTCTTCGTCCTCTTGCGTAATGACAATGACTCCAATATCCTGACGACTGGTGTCGATTCCATTCTGTTGGAGCCACTTTTGGTGGGCCGTTTCGAGATCGGCCAGCGGGTTCGTAATTAGCGTCCCTTCCGGCAGCGGTCGTCGAATGTAAGTATCGTAGACATACTCGCCGTCACTGTCGTCCTCCTCTTGCACAATGGCTTCTACCGGAGGCCGGACGTCGGGACCTGCAGGAACGCTCGTTTCTCGCGGCGCCGTCCCTCGAGGTTTATTAGGTGTGCGCGGCTGGTACTTCAACGGAGGTTTGGGGATGATAGGACGTGCTGTCGGCTGCGCTACTGGCTGCTGCACCGACGGTTCCGTCTCCATACCTCCCTCAAGCTCAAGCGCAATCTGCTCAAACTCGCGAGCCAGTCGCTCGGACTCATCCTCCCAGTTACTCTTGCGAGCATGCGCCTCCTTCTCCAGAACCTGCGTAATGTGCTCCTTCGCAGCGGAGATGGCAGTCTTCCGCTCCTCTCTCCATTTCCTCTCCGCCTGATTGACTACAGGCCGTTTCCTGGGCCGCGCAGGCTCCGGCTCCGGTTCCGGGACACTCACACCGCGGACCTCCCCCTCCGCCGTCGCGGTCTGCGCCGCCGCATCGGCCACCAACGACGCCTGCCTTGAATGCGGAGTCCGCCGTAACTTCTCCACCAGCACCGCGACCGCCCCATCACCTCGCCGCTTCTGCACGCCGCCACCCGCGCTCCGCAGAACATTCACAGGTGTATTGGACCTGGAAATCTGGAACCGACGAACAGACCGTGGCGATGCGGAAACCGGACTCTCCCTCCCGCTCGACACAGAAGACTCCCGCGCACCGTCAACAGCAGGAGAACCGACCAGATCCGCACCCGCCACCACACTCGAGGAATGCAGGGCACGATGGAGCTTCTCCCCCGCTGCCTTGCGCACAGCAGCGAGGCGCTGTTCCTCCCGAAACTCAGCCCCAGGGGAAGTAGCTCGAACCAGAGGCACGGTCGCGCCGGCGCCGACGCCCGCCCCCGGGCCCGAAGGACGAGCAGCACCTCTGGAAGCTGGAAACGCAGAGCTACTCACAGACCGAGGGGTGAGGAGCGTGCGGGACGGTGCAGCCAGGGACGCAGGGCTCGAGGAGCCGCTCTCCCGAGCATTGCCACTGACCTGGACCCGCTGGAAGACAAAGTCCGTAAAACGCCGCTTGGTCTGATGGAGTTCAGACTGGATATCTGTAGTTTCATGTTAGCTGAGTTATATTAGACCAGCACTCCATATGCGTAGTTCGTAGCGTGCGGAACATGTGACACGCCGTACAAAGACCGTGGGGCGGCCCAAAGTCAGGGAGCTTTTCTTACACAATGTGTCCACCGGTTCTTCTTCGCGGCGACGCTTGATGTTGATCTGCTCTGGAGGTAAGGCCATCCTGAAGCCTTGGAAATTGCCCGAAGAGCCAAAATGTAGTTGATAATTGAACAAGATTGATGACGGGGAAGAAAAACAAAGACTGATAGGATCGCCTTTCAGCTTGAGCTTCATGGATCGTGCCAATATGGATTAGCGTCGACCCAGGCGGAGTTGTGCTCACGTGATATACCGAGTCGTCGATGTCTCCCAACTTAAGAGGTTCTGGATCTATATAACTAGCCTGAAGGAGACATCATGTCTAAGCTTATTGCTTTTACTGAGACAACCGTTCATTTGATTTCATTTTCTGTTAATTCTTGTCCCATATCCATCATCCAATGGCTTGCAATCGCCCTCGCCATCGTGGACCATGACGTCCACAGCTATATAACCCTTGTCCGTATCCAACATGCAACGTGGTTGAGCCGTATGCTCAGCTTGAATTCGTTGAAGTGGCACCAAGAATGCAAATAGGGGGAATGAAACGTCCAAGGACAAGCCAGAGCCGAACCAGTCCAGGGTATCAGCCGACGTCCCATCCCGCTCTCTCATAGCGCACTGAAAGTCAGCAGCCGGGAACGGCTCAAAAAGGTGAGAAACAAAATAAAAAGACAGAGGTAGAAGACAGATATTAAGAAGATCCTGCCCAGATAGCAATACAAGTGATGATATCAAGAAGGTATTAAAATGTGATAAGAGGGCATGGCTGAGAAGAGGAGAAAATATTTGAACAGAATAATCAAAGGTGATGCAACCACGCAATTAACCAAACCAATACAAAGAAGGAAGCGCAATGTTGACGATGGAGAATGTAAGGAAAAAAGCATTGGGTAGAACGACACTCATAGAACTGAACAGCAGGATGGATCACTCAGATACGAGGAAGACAATTATTTTGCACCGATTTCCTCTTCAGCCCATCCGGGCAGAGAAGACTCGTTTTGAATAGCCAGCCCAAATCCCGCGTGATTTAGTCCTCCCAGGGCCGAGGAGAAGCTGGAGAAACTTGCTTGGGGCTGGTGAGCGAGACCTGAGCGGCCATGGCCGGGCTGGCTCGAGACAGGGCCAAAGGGCTCCTGGGAAAACGAGGGTAAGCTCACGGTGCGAGAATGCTGCGCACGAGGCACACTCAAACTGCTGGTGCTGGCAGTTGCGTGATGGCTTGGCCCTGAGGAGCCATTGGTCACGTTCAAATAACCACTCGAGGGCTTGTGTTGGTGCATGGGGGCCTCGATGCTTCCGTTCGTGAGCTCGCTGCTGCTGGTAGCGTTGTAGTACGACTGTTGTTGGGCCTGGGGTTGCGATTGCGCTTTAAGAGCGGCCAGAGCCATCGGGTCATTCAGTCGGTTCTCCTGCTCCTGAGCCTGCTGCTGAGCGGACATTTGGTTCAAATACATAGTCAGCGGGTTGTTGGCGCCCACGTTCAGGATACCGGACGGCGAGGACACGGTTTGCAGAGGGTGACGGTTCTGATGGTGTCCGTTTTGGGAGCCAGTCGAGCCGGGAGCAGGTGACAGGGCATGGCGAGTGGGACTCGACTGGGAGCCAGATTGGCTCAGATTTGGTTGAAAGCCGTTAAATGCAGGAGGCGGAGACTGCGCTCCCTCGAGACCAGCTCCGTTCCGGCTATGCTGTCCACCATTGCCAGTCTGACGCGGGGGGTTGCCGCAGCGATCCTTGCCAAAGTTGATCTTGAATCGCTTGTACTCCTCGCGGTTGCGCATCCCCTCAATCGCTTTAATCGCATTGGCAATGTTGGTAAAGTTGACAAAAGCGCAGCTCTTCTCCCGCAATGTGTTCACCAACTCAATCTCGCCGTACTCGGAAAAGTCCTGGCGGAGGCGTTCCTCTGTCCACGTCTCGTCGAGGTTGCCGACATAAACATTGCGGGAAGCCCCGCCACTCACTGCCAGTGCAATGGCGGGAGGTAGAGGGCCAGAATGCTTGCCCCAGCCAATCTTCAAACGACGGTTGTGGATCATCAGACCCTGTAGGTTGCTTAGCGCGTAGAAGGAGGCGGCAGAGGTTGGATCGATGAAAGTCACGAAGCAGATGTGCTTGTCAGGGATGTATCGGATATGGTGCAGCAGTCCGCCCCGGACCACGTTGCAGATCTCCTCGATGGTGGTTTCCGGGTGGATGTTGCCCAAGTAGATAGTCCGGTTCCCTAGGTTGTTGACGCCTCCGGCTGAGGTGGCCACGGCAGCCGCAGCGACGGACTGCTGAGCGAGAGCATTGGTGATCAGATCGCGGTCTGCGGAATTCAGAATATGCGCATAGCCGGGAGCGATGCCTAAGAATTGCGCCGCATTTTGCTGTTGTGTCTTGGACACGTACGCACAGCGATCCTTACCATAGAAGACGCGTCTCGGGGCCTGCCATTTGGCTTCTTGGGGCAACTGGGAAACGGCCTTCATTGCGTTGCTGATCGACAAAAAGTGTACAAACCCAATCGCTTTTTCCCTCACGATCTTGACGGTGTCAATCGGCCCGAATTTACCGAGTTCCTCGCGCAGCTCATCTTCCGTCAAATCTTCGGGAAGGTTGCCCAGATATACATTGCGCGAGGCACCCGATTGCTGAACCGCCAGCGCGACCGAGGTTGGGACCTGGGACGGCTTGCCCCATCCCACCTTGATGTCGTTGCCCTTGATGGCTAGCTTCTTCAGGATAGCATCCGAGTGAAAGTGGGTCGCCGAGTTGCTGTCCAGAAAGGAGATAAAGGCACAGTTCTTGTCTGGAAGCAAGCGAACCGACTCAATCTGTCCACTACGTACATGGTTGAGAATCTCCTCCGCGGAGGTTTCTGCAGGAATGTTGCCCAGATACACGGTCCGGCTCGTGCCTGACAGGAGGCCAGGGGTTACGGCCGCTGCGGGACTTCCAAATGCCGCATTACCAAGGCCTCCCAGACCACCAATTGGAGACTGCGGGCCGTTCAACAAGTGAGAGTTCCCCAAGCCGTCGGTTGACATCATTCCCGAATACAAACCGGCGTTCGGTGTGGCCTGTGTTGGGCTTCCCAACTGGGTTTGATGGTTTTGTGCATGTGCAGAGGCATTGGCTTGGGAGAAGCCACCGAAATTAGCGAACTGCGGCGAAGCGAAGGCGGAGGGAGTCCCAGGCTGGAATGGACTGCCAAGCAGAAGCTGGGAAGGGAGGAGAGGCGTGAAATTCATGTCGAATGCCGTGCCGGAGTTTGCCATGCCGTCCGAGAGGTTCGAGGCCGGATTAGAGGTATTGATGTGAGGGATGTTGGGACGACGAGCGTGCCGATCCGCGAAACCCTGTACTGGGATATTGGAATTGTACGCGCCGTGGGAGAAACCCGTATTGTCCGCGTTCAGGGAAGAGAATTTGGAATGCATCAAGCGGTTCGAGATACTCGAGGCATCGGCTGTTTGCATGGCGAGGAGAAACGATATAGACACGGGTGATTGCCCCTAAACAAAGTGGTAGGAGGGGCTCGATTTGCTTGAAGCGGCCAATATCACCAGACCAGGGCAAAAGAGGATTAGAACCGAGCGATATTAATGATCAGAGGCCGTAGAAAGCCACCGGCCTAAGGATCAGCCCCGTTAAGAAGAAAAGGGGCAATGGAAATTGAGAAGGGAAGAAGAATAGAAGTTAAAGGTGGAAAGCGAATATGATTCAACGAAAAGAAGAAATCAAGTGATCGTTATCCAGAAGCAAAAGACAAAAAAACCAACCAAGAAAGGGAGAAAAGACCAAGAATCTCCAAAGGAGACGTGTTGAGAAGGGATTTCAATGGTCAATTGGAATGTGCATGGATTGGCAGCAGAGAATGAATGCCGCAATAACAAAAAGCCAAGAAGGGGGAATGGGATATCAAGAGAAGATTAGTTTAGTACAAGAAGAGAATAGTGAGAAATGGAGAAGAGAAAGAAGAAGAGTAACTGACGAAGCAGATACTCCTAGTAAGTCTGTATGGAGCAAAAGAAGTACGTAGTAGAAAAGAAGAAAAAAAAAAGGAGTATCTAGTTTAGATAGTAGATAGGGGATGAGGGAAAAAACAAAGCGAGTACGGAGGAGTGACTTTAGTGAGGGCGGAGAGAAAAGGAGAGTGAGAGTACCTAGGTCTCTGCTCCCGTAGCTAGTTGGTCTAAAGCTAGTAGTAGTAGTCTGGAGTATGGAGTAAGGTAGTTCACTAGACTGTTTTAAGGTAGCATTCAAGAGAAAATAATTAGTCCATCTTTTGTAGGAGACTAAAAACAAAGTGGATATGAGGATGTTTGAACTTTGAACGCTTGGAGATGTACCGGAGAAGTCAGTGTCTGTGGCAGAACAGGGACAGATGATAAGTATTTACGAGCTGCAGAGAAGAGACGGCAGTAGATTTGAAAGCAGTAAATGAATGACCAGAAAGAGAGACGAGCAAGAGTAACAGAAGAGAGGGTAAAAGGGGTTTGATGGTGTTGGTGGTGAGGATGATGGGGAGGAATAAGACCAAAAGTGACTGGTGTCCTCTTTCATGACTCTCTGATGATCCATCAAGCCATTATTGAAGCAACTGTCGAATATCTACTAGTAGTAACCTTCTGTGGATTTCCTTTTTAGACGCCCAAACTTACCGGTCACAGTCTCTCAAAACAAGCTTAGACCTGATGGGGGGTGAATCAAGACATGAGTCTTGAGAGAAAGACAGACAATTAGAAAAGGGGATACAAGGTACTATCCATACTAAGAATAGGGGAAATTGTGGAGTAAACATGGTAGGGCAGGTCAGTCCAGTCCATGGCGCATCGGCACCATCATCCATGGATTTGAGGCTAAGAGAGGAACAGACCTCAATGGGGAAGATGATAGCCTTTTAAGCCTCTGCCAGTCACACATACATTTCCAACTCCCAAGCCATGAGGATTCAATTTGGGCGTTACGCCAGACGTTCAATTTATCCTCAACAGTCGAGAGTCCAGCTGCAAATCATGATGGGACCACGGATGGTAAGATCCGGCATATTTGCTTTTGTTTGTCCCTGACTTGGGGCGAAAAAGACGAGTGATAGATATATAGATGGTCAGTACGGCTACTCCATAAACTATTGACAGACACAAAATGATGATGGAACTAATTCAACCAAGATGTCACGGGAGAAATGGATGCTAAGATGTGTCTCCTTTACAGTGGCCAAAGATCAACTTGCCTTATTATTGTGGAAACATGGTTCCGTTCCTGAATCTTGAAAGGAGCCTATGATAGCCCATCGACAGAGGTATCTCAGGTACTGTCCGGACCACCTATTGATCCGGGACTCTGCAGGATCAGGAATTACTTTGTTAGGATTAGCTGCAAGGAGAGATTCCGCTCACTGAGGCTTGGCAGGGAAAAGGGAACTGAATGTGAAACATACTCTGCTAGCAAATCGAGCATCCCAACACAGACCAAACGCTAGAATCAATCTATTAGATAGATGGAGAAGGACCGGATATGATGACAGAAACACAGAGTCCAGACCAGTGAGAATTGAATGCGGTTGAAGGAGAGGAAAGAGAAGAGATGCGAGATAATCCTTCCTGATGCCATAGTTCGCTATTGAAGTAGTCATGGAACATATGCTCTCTTTGAAAGTCATCCAATATCTAGTCTAGAACATATATCAACGGTCTTGAAGGCGTTGATCGAGTCAAACGAATATGAATAGAGTCGTTCGACTGATAAGTTACCTGTAAGGCACCTTAAGTAAGCATGTCAATTTGCCATATTGGGAGGAGTTGATGCCTGAGGCCAACGTGGAGGTGTCCGCTATCACCGCAATAAAAATTACCCCTCCAAAAAGTCCTGCAGCAGAGAAATCCCCAGACATTGTGCGGTTTGCTTTGCTCTTCTCTCTGGAGGGATTCGGTGTGTGTGTATAGACAATTCCATTTGCCCAATCTGAGAAATATATATCTTGTGAGTACACTCCAATTTGTTTCAAACGATCCCTCGTGGTGCACTAAATTCCTTATCTTCCCTCCCTCCGGTTGCTTTTTGTGACTCACCCGAATGAGGGCGGTGATTGAGTTGGCACGATTTCATGAACAACTCAAACAATTAAGGACTTTTTCTCTCCAGATCACTTTGCTAACCTAACTGAACAAGAAAGATCAGATTGCAAAATGGCCACAATCTACATCGACGAGGACGTCGGCCGCGACGATTCGACCGCGACCGGTTCTGAATCGGCTCCCTACAAGACTCTTGTCCATGCATACCTCCAACACCCCCGGCCGAAGGCAATCAATACTTGATGCGCAAATCTCAGACAGATGCCCCAGGCGAGGATGTCGACCCAGCCGCCAAGTTGGAGTGGAAGCCAGCGACCAAGTCGGCCACAAAGAAGGCGCTCAGCATCGTCGAGCAGCGGAAGAAGAAGGCAGCCAAGGAGCAGGAATTGGCCATTCGCGAGAAGCAGGAAGCTGAAAAGCGTCAGAAGGTTCTGGAGGAGGCCAAGAAAGTTGTCATCACAGAAGACCCCTCTTTGCCCAAGCCCGTGCGAATTCGCCTGGATGTCACCGACCCAGCTATCGTCAAGCTTGGATCACCCGAAACACAAACTCCAGGCACTCGTGTCCGTGTGCTGGGACGAGTCCATCGCCTGCGCGTCCAGAAGGATGTGATCTTCCTGACTCTTAGTGACGGCTACGGCTACTTGCAGTGTGTTCTGACCGGAAACCTGACCAAGACCTACGACGCCATGACTCTCACTCTCGAAACCTCCATGGCCATCCATGGAGAGATGCGCGCGGTGCCTCCCAAGCAGCATGCGCCCAACGACCGGGAACTGCATGCGGATTTCTTCACCGTCATTGGTCGCGCTGCCGGTGACAAAGAGGCCATCACCACCCGTGTGGCCAAGGATGCCGACCCGCAGACCCTCTACGACAACCGTCACCTCGTCCTGCGTGGGGAGACTTCCTCGGCCGTGATGAAGGTTCGCGCCGCCTGCCTCAAGGCTTTCCGTCAGGTATTTGAGGAGAAGCGCATGCTGGAAGTGACCCCGCCTGCCATGGTGCAGACGCAAGTCGAGGGTGGTAGCACCCTGTTCAAATTCGACTACTACGGCGAGGACGCATACCTCACCCAATCCTCCCAGCTCTACCTGGAAACCTGCTTGCCCTCTCTGGGTGACGTTTTCTGTGTCTGCCCTTCCTTCCGCGCCGAAAAGTCCCTCACCCGTCGCCATCTGTCCGAGTACACCCACATCGAGGCAGAGCTCGACTTCATCACCTTCACCGACCTGCTCGACCACCTCGAAGAGGTCATCTGCCGGGTCATTGAGCTGACCCTCGCCGACCCCGCCACCGCCGCCCTCATCAAGCAGCTCAACCCCGACTTCAAACCTCCCAGTCGCCCCTTCCGCCGCATGAAGTACGCCGACGCCATTCAGTGGCTGGTCGAACATGACATCCCCAATGAGGAGGGCAAGCCCCACCAGTTCGGCGACGATATCGCCGAAGCTGCCGAGCGCAAGATGACCGACATCATCAACCAGCCCATCTTCCTGACCCATTTTCCCGCCGAGATTAAGGCCTTCTACATGAAGAAGGATCCCGAAGATCGCCGCGTCACCGAGAGTGTCGATGTCCTCATGCCTGGTGTCGGCGAGATCGTCGGTGGCAGTATGAGAATGGACGACTGGGATGAACTGATGGCCGCCTACAAGCACGAGGGAATGGATCCCGCCCCGTACTACTGGTACACTGATCAGAGAAAGTAAGTTTGCCTGCCACTCTACGTCAGGATCTACGTCTAAATCATTGCTTCAGGTACGGCACATCCCCTCACGGTGGATACGGTCTCGGTCTCGAGCGGTTCCTCGCTTGGTTGTGTGCCCGCTACACAGTCAGAGACTGCTCTCTGTATCCTCGCTTCACCGGTCGTTGCACACCTTGATATTGTACACGACTCCACATAGACATATCAGAGCGTTTATGAATTTCATTTTGATATCAGTTGCTTCTTCTATACTCATATTTCCGTAGACCTGCCTTGCACTTTAACCCCAGGCGCCGTTTAGTAATAGCACATGCAAAAGGAGTCTACTGTTCGCGGAAGATTCGCTAGACCACCAAGGACTTCTGAGGTACATCCTCTGATGGACAGATCGATCGCCATGAGCTATTTGAGAAAGCCAACTGTGAGCCAAGCATGTTATTCTCAATAATCCAAATGGTAACTCAATCTTAGCAGCTGCACTGATGAATTGTCGTCCGAACAACACCGAGAAGTTCCCTCGCCACGGCACGTACGAAACAAGGCATCACGTTACAGAGCAGGATATTCTTGTCTTCGTTCCAGTTCCCCAATTAGCACGCTATAAGACGCACCATCTACATGAGAGTGTATGCCTTCCAGCAGCCAGGTATCTCCAATATGACGCCCCTTTCCATCTCATACTTAGTCAATAGAGCCACCAGGATCGCTAGCCGAAGTTAAGGATACAGGTGCATATACATCCTCAAAACAGACGGGCAAGACAGGGCACAGCCCAGGTGGATTCAAAGGATCAAGCGGAGCCGAGCCACGTTTATGGAAGACTCTGCACTCGCATTGTTTAATGGATTGTACGAGCGGCGCTCATTTGGAAAGTTATGTACTTTCGTTTTCGCTGGTCATCGATGGTGATAGGCAATTCGCCCCAATCCTTCAAAACCAAACGTCATATCCCAACCATACGAGTGATGGCATTACCAATCGTGTCTAGCTGCATAGGGGCTTACATGAACAGCATTATGATCTCCAGCGTTCGGGATTAGAGAAAAAAATGCCTGAACCTAACTCTCGCGGAACCGCATTCGGCAGGCGTTGCATGATAGTAGAGAAGGTTAATAGGTATCGCCTGAATGGACAGCCATATGCTGCACCAGCTTGTGTATCAGTCAACAAAAGATCAGGAGTCCCAAATACTAATGGATACCGTTTCTCCCCGGTTCAGCGCACACGGAATCTTTCGACAGAAATGTCTTTAGATTCGAACATCTTCACTACGAGGGGTTCGTGAACAGTGAACACAGTAGGTTCGATTTCACGAAGAGCGAGAGCGAGAACAGTAAAGATAAACACATGGAAAACTGCTCAAAGTAGACAAGAGCACGCCGCTTGAGTTCAGGCTACCCATTGCTCAGTCCTATCATCTGCTACCCCTGTTCCCCTCTTGATCTTGACGGCTGTTGTTCGAAATTTCGGATAATGTTTTGAGGATTTCTTCCTGGGAGGCCCCAGAACGGATGACAGATATCATGCGAGAAACGGTTTCCTGGTCGCCATGACGAACCAACCCCAGAAGCTGCTGAAGGAAGTTTGTATAATATTCCGTGTCCTCGATGCGTCCGTCCTGGGACTGAGTTTGTGCGATGGCGGCTTCGAGCTCGAGCTGCTGGCTACGCTGAGCGTTGGGATCTTGCCTAACATCAGTCAACATTTAGCAACCACATAAAGTGTGGCTCAAGTAGGTATAGGATTTATGAATAGGAACGGATATTGGATGATTAAAAAGGCTGGGCCTCTCACCTTTGCTCTCCATTCTCTCGTGTTCCCTTGTTTTGACGCTCCATGCCGTTGAGACTTTCTCTTATCAACCCTCTTTATCTGTCAAGAACAACGTCCTGGTTCTGTTGTATGTACCACGGCGTTTGGCAGTCACTCAACGTGAAGAGGTCTAAACAAGGAATAGGTTGAATAGCTTTGCGACAACGTTCAGGGACCTACAAGGATTCTCAGGACCTGGATGTTTGTCGAGGTGACAAAGTGCCAATATTTGTGAGAAGCCGATCACCCCCTCTTCTCTCGTGGACCACGGAGTCAGTCTGTGAGAGGTCAAGGCTGAATTAAGCGCTGAATTAAGGCTGAATGATTGGTGTTCGTCCCACGCAATCGAATCCCTGACAAAGATCGAGAGTGATGGCTGATCCTCTCTCTCTCCACTGTGGCCTGACAGACAGTAGAAACCTGATAAGGCGTAAATGGCGCCCGCCGGGTGAGCTTAAAATGACAGGAAGGAAAAAGGTATCTCTTGGCCAGTGTCCGCGGTGAGGGCAAGTAGCCAGAAGTTACCCGCGCGGAAAGATCTGGAACATTACCAGAGCTTTTGGAGGCTGGGGGTTTCTTGACGCGCCGTGAGCCAAAAATACGCTATTGCGCGAATGTATGATATGGAATATTCGATATGGGGTCCCTTCTTCCTCCATGATCGGAAGAGTCGAGAAAGGAACAGGAACACTTTGCTCTGCGCAACTCCGCATTTCACAATCCTATCTCTCCCTAATCATGCCACCTGAAGCTGTGAAGTGGTTATCTCGCGTAGATCTAGACGCGATTGAAGCTTTCACCGGATCTTGTCACCAGAAAAACCTCTTCGCGAGAATGTACTTCCGTCTTCAACTAGTCCGTGCCGTACGGCGACTCGGTAATCCCTACCAGCCAATCTTATGGTCCGGTCAGTCTCCGCTACCCATCAATCTAGGCCAGCCAGCAAGACAACAATTCACAAATTGGCTTGCTTGCTCTCTTCATGATCTGCGTCGTCGTCAGTTATTTCAGAGATTTAAGTCAGTCTCCAGTTGCGCAAAATCATCACCTGCTGCCATCAGGGCTTGGCTGGGAGAGCTTAACCAACCGAGTCACCCCAACTGATAGCCGCTAAGAAAGGAGACGACTGGGAGAGAAGTCCTTTTGTGCAAGCCTTGCCACCTACAGTCTCGCGAGAATGTTCACTGCTCATGCCAAGCGACATCCTCCGAACGCGAGTGCCGGAAATACCCCTTTTTACTCGAAGAATCGTCGACCTCGCCGTCTGATCGCCCGTCGCTCAGGCTCATATCCCAGGATAGTCTGTTGAGTGTTGCTATGCCCTTGGGGCCCACAAAGATACCGCTCAACATCAGTGCTCAGGCTCTTGCGAGCTGATAGGCGGCAATATACCTTGCTGCGGTGAAATGCTCCCAGCTCAGACCACAACACTGCTTGTCTCTGGATTGTTTATACTGCAAGCATGGATGACGCAGAGAAGGGGAAGGCCGCGGTAGCAGTCTAAACGCGTTCCTTGCCCTCTTCTCCTTCTCACTGGATGAAGGTTACCTAAGTGGTCACCATCACAACGCGGGCCACGCTTCAGTCGGGATAGTATTCGGTGACCGTCGTGAACCATGATCAGGGGGAGACATGTTCATTGAATGACATTTCTGGTCAATTAGTCAACCGGACATGTCCGGTGGATGGTGCTTCGGGGGAGCATTTGATTTTGCAAAGATACACGAAGTTGCCGGCGGGTGGTAATTCGGACTGCTACTGGAGACCAGGTCAAGCATACAACCATGTCGTTTTTATCTCTGCAGTTTCCGCTATTTCTTCCGATCCAAGCGGAAAGGCTTGGGTTCGTGCCACATCTCTCGCTCTGAGTCGATCGATACGAGAGTGGAGTCCCGGATGGTTCACGGTCTTTCAACGGTATCAAAGGTCATCAAATCAGCCTGCATGGACAAGATAAATGAGAACCAAGAAATAGGTTGTTCATGGACGACCATATCTCTCATGTCTCAGAAGCCTAACTTTGAATGCCAGCGGTGTAGTCACCTCAGGGGCGTACCAGATGCATCACTGATAACCATCATGCACAATGCATGATCGAATACGACGAACTCTGAAGGTAAGCTTCGACATTTGACAGCCCAATGCGTCAATGCGTGTTGCAAACCCATGGGGAGTACGCGTAGTCCATATGGTGGTGCTACGAGAATGTCAAGTGTCGACTGCTGCGTGTGATCGTTTCTGCCTTCCGCTTCCGCAACTGGGTGTCACAACATCGAGAGTAGAATTCACGGTCGAGGAGGGAGATCGGTCGCTTGATTGCAGAGTGGATGTTGTCTTCAAAGGTCAAAGCATGCCCTCGTTGGCTTGAGGGTTGACTCTGAATCTCTTGTGAACAGTATCGATGTGAGATGAACGCATGGTATCGTACGACTCGAGATTGGAATGACGTCCCAGGATGTGTGGCTACTGGACATACTTGTGGCTGCAGTGGACTGACTCATCGACTGTTAGCTCCCGAATCGACAATACTTTCGTTTTCGTGTCTGCTTCTTGGATCCGGGATAGGCCTTTATGGAGGGAATTATGGGATCCATCCTGGAGCATCACATCGGTCTTCGTCTCACTTAGTTCATTGAGGTCGATTTTCTCTCTTCTGAGTTTTCCCGGACAGATTCGAGACGAGACGGCTTCGGAAGGTCTATTGTTCTCTATGATCGATACGGGTCATTTGGCGACAGAATGAAGCGGGGAATCAGTATTTTCCATCCGAGAAATATATGCGGGCTAGTTCTCGCGGTTTCCAATGGGTATCAGCAGAAACCTGCTAGAAGCGAAGGAAGAAAAGGGGAGAAAGGCCCACGACAAGAGTTCATCCTCTGGCGCCGATTGGCGCCAGCCGGACCCAAATAGACGATGGAAAATAGTTCCTGAAGCCATGCTGCGGCTCCACTTGACGCCTGGTCGCCAGCGTGAACTAGCAAACTCAACCAACAGGCAGTTCTTTCTGATGCAACGGTTTCTGGCTAGAACTACTATTCCTGGCCAGGAATGATGCAGTCGTTGGGAATTTGCAACGAAGTTCGTCGCTGATAGGAGGTGCGGCTTGTGCGAGGCCATTGCTGTAAGCGAGTTAGCGGGTCGAACTCTTGCGCAGAGACTTGGGCAAGGCAATAGATGGTTCTGCACTCGATATTTTGCGCGAGTCAGACCCATGGTACTCAGTACGGCTTGAAAAATCAATAGCTCGGGTGTTCTAGGCCGCCTGGTTCTTGACGTACTTATCTCGTAGATCTGCCACTGCCTACGAGTACGGTATGTGCTACTCCGTGGCTTCTTTCCTTAATGAAACTGATGCGCTGAGTGAGAGCATTATTTATCGGGCAGGCACCTTACTGAAGGCTTTAGCTCCTCGTTCATGTCTTTGATTGAGCAGCAAGTCAAGGATAGCGATCTTCCAAGAACTCTCATGAGGATTTGCTCTGACTTTCCGCGACTGGATAAGTCTAGGGGCCGAGCTACTGGGCCGGTTCCTTGGATATCCCACAAATCCAAGTGGGTTGCGACTGGAGGGCCCCTGACTGAATTGCTTGCCCGGATGTTTTTTCCGGAAACTCCAATTAGTCATGGGCGCTGGTTGACTTCGAAGAGATTGTCGTGTCTACGCGACATCTCGACTAAACACCATGCGTTGCTGAATCTGGTTTCACGGGATATTCTCACCAGCACGAAGTAATTTGCCACGATTGTTGAGTGGTCGGGATCAACCATGGGTCGTGCCGCTCTATAAACTCTGCGAACCAGGATACATCCAGTGGCGGCCCGATACACATATATTTTTTCAGATCGCGATACATGATAGCATCATCTATTGCGACTATCACAGTACCAGACTGTTTACCTTGTTAATATGAGCTTATCGATCAATCTAGACGAAAACAAAGTATGGGACATGGCACGTGGTTGGGGATCAGTGTATGTTCTGTCAATCATTTTCAGTCAAAGGCAACGAGCCACCTTGATACTTCGAATTGCTTCTCTCTACTGTAACATCTTCCTTAGATAATACCTTTACTGAAGGGAATTTCCTTCATTTGAACGCGCTCAACTCACCCCTTGATCCCTAGCAACCTCACATTCCAGTCGAAAACAACCTCGCCCTTCCCCTTGATGAAGACAGTAGATATGTGCTCATCGCCAAAGCAAAACAAAACACAAGACATCCAAGCATTCCTAACCCTCGCCATAGGAAACCACAGCCAATAATATCCCCAGCGATGAACCAGGATAACCGTATCGAGATGCTCAGCAATTCTCATCTCAACAAAACCCTTGCATCGTCTCCCATCGCATCCTGGTATAAGTAGAGAGGTAGTCGCGCGCACACCCATCCGCCTGCTCAACGATAATACCATCCTTCTCCTGAATACTAGACTACTGTCCTAGATACCCATAAAGCATCTCGTCCAAACCAGATCAAACCATCCACAATGCAATTCAATCTTTCCACAATCTGCCTCGCGGCCGCGACGCTCTTCGCCTCGCACATCCTCGCAGCTCCCGCTCCCGCGCCGGTCCCAAACCCAGTCTTCTACGGCGGACCCAGCGGTCACGACGCAGGCAATTCGGTCTGCTTCAAGAGCTACTTCTACGGCGCTGCATCGTGTCCTGGCCGAGCAGTGAGTGCATCTCTTCCACTTAAATCAATCTTCAAGTCAAAGTTCTAACGATATATCCAGTACGAGGATGGGACATGCTGCATCTCAGACGAGATCGAACTCAAAGTACCAGAGCCCAAAGCGAAACCCGCATCCACGGGTGACGGTGACGCCGAGTGATTTCGACCTGCCCGGTCTTCGAGCTTGTTGATATTGTATTCTTTCTTCCTTTTTTTCTTCCTGGATATAGCGTCATTCTCAACCTTGTTTCACTCTCAACTTTGGTGACTTATCTGATTTGTGATGTCCGGGGCCATGAAATACGGTGCTGGTGCCTTTCGAGCGGCTTGCCCTTGTTTCTTATTTCAGTATAGTTAGATGATATCCTGCTTGTAAGCGGAATCACTGGCTTGGAGCTGCAGATACTATAGTATTGTCGAGTATGACTGGAGCTGGCCACCTAGCTCACTTATGTACTCCGTACCTGTGTGGCAATAGCATTGCGACTGATACTCGGGCATTTAGTCAAGTTCAGCGGCTCGATCTGTAGAAGACACTGGGCATCTGACACATTACGCATTGAGATACTAGATTTACTTCTCTGCGCGCCAAGTTGAATGGATTAAAGTAGTTGAACAGATTCGATTCTTCATGTAATCAGGCCGTTGGCTATATGGTTGAAACTTGTTACCGTCTTGACAGTAACTCCTGTCTATCTTGCTTTTCGATTGAAGGGGAGTAGTATATTATATATATACTTATTGCAGCTGACCGCGGATGTCGTTGTTTACATTCCAGGCTCGAGGTACACCGCGGCTTAACTTATGCACATTTGTAGGCACATCGGACCATTCAAGGAGCGTATTATCGCTTATTCTTTCTAACCTGTTCATGCCCATGCTTTTAAGCCCTGGTATTAAAATCTATTCAGTTTTTCGCTGATCAATCAAAGAACGAAAGCGCCAAAATAATCAAGTCGCCATGTCCGTTATCCATCACATCGTATCGCTCTCAGCTTTGGATCTATATCTTTCCTTGTCTTCCAATTGCTCGTAGACAATGGTAGAAGCACCGCAACAGAACATAAAGAAATGTGGCCTCTTGAACGGCACCGAAAGCAACAGCTGCAACTTTCCAGTCAAACGTTTAGAGACCGATCACGAAGTCTCCTGCTTCAACATGATGGGCAAATCAAGAGCACTCGGAGCCTTGGTCACCGTTTCGGTAGGAGTCTTTCCTGCCAAACTCTCATTCCAGAGGGAGCTGCTAGCTGGAAAGATCGAGCCACTGTCGGACATGTCCACAGCGTTGGCATGCGCAGACGGGGTCTCCACGTGAGGCACCACAAGTTCCACACTCTTGGTGACGCCAGCGCCATTGGGAAAGTAGGGGTTGTGGCGAGGAGGCAACGGACGATGAGACGGGTCGGGCATGTAACCGATGTAGTCTGATGCCGTGCTGCTAAAAGACGATGCCGTGGTGGATGGAGTATGGGTCAAAGATGGAAGAGGAGCCGTTGCGCTCATGAGCGTGGATAGGCTGGCCGAGCTGCGGTGACCGGCACCGTTGCGACGCCTCGGGAACGACGGTTCGCTGCCGTGGAATTGAGCAAGATAATGCCAGGCCTCCGTCGACGCCAGCGACCCCGTACTGCCATAAGCCGCAGGTATTACCGGCTTCCATTCAGAGGGGTCCTGATCTACCTTGGAGTCATGGACGTCTGTGGATATCCCAGTGGCCGGGGTGGATTTGACGGGGACCTTGGTGGGAGTCATCGGAGCGACAATCATTCGAAAAGAAACGAGAGGAGAGGTGGGCGGAGACCTGGAGTAGGGTACCGAGCCACTCGATGGGAAGGACGCGGAGAGTGGCTTGTGCGAGTCTTTACGACGACAGCTGCAGATATGTAGTGTGAGCAGACGGTCATCAAGTAGAGAAAACTGACGGTTTATAAAGGTCACAATGGGTGCTAAGACAAAGGCAGAGATAAAAGATAAGAGATAAGGAGTATGCATACCTTTCACTGCAATAGAGAAGAGAATTATCCGGCACCGTGATCTGTCTCTCGCACATGGCACTGCCAAGTTGATTAGCTCTGATGTCCAAGGTATGCAAGGATGGGCAGCAACGATAAGGCCTGAATGGGCCAATTGGGAGAGATCCAGGCACAGACGGGCTCTCTCATCCCTCTCTATTCCAAAAGAAGATAACGAACGGGCAACAACATACCAGAAATTCAAAAAGCTGGCCGCCATGTCGGGCTGACGGTCGCTTTCGGGCTCCGGACGCCTGACCTGCCCAGAGCCTAGCTTCGAGATGGAATGATTCACAGAATATGTGCCTTTCCGATGTAGCGCCGGTCGCGAGGTCTTCACTTTCGAGCCATTAGAGGAGGGAGTGCGTCGATGATGAAGATGGGAGTTCGATTGAGTCATGGATGGCGGTGAGGATGTATATACTCGTTCCAGTTCTATTTAGATAGAGATACTCTGCCAATGGTACCTTGCGCCGAGTGGACGCCTGTGGAGCACGAGCTTATCCCCTAAGGGGGAACTAAGTATGAGGGATTTGCGACGATACGCAATTGGATCGATCAATTGTCTCAGACTGTCGTACCCGGTGGTGTTTATTGCTGCAGCTTTGCGGAGATTTTTCTAATGTCCTTTCCCCTGTCTTCTGCGCCTTTTTTTTTTGTCCCGGTTTTCAGGCAGATGATGTCTGTCCGAGGAATGCTGAGGGAAATACAGGCCTCCGCTCGATAGACAGCTATGTGTAGCGTGACTATCCACGAAATTCCCGGGCCGGTTGAGATAACAACAGCGATAAGCTTTTGCTTGGGATTGCAACGCGTGACTGCAGTGACGCATAAATGGTTAGATAGGTCACAGTTCAGTTGCACCAAGCGGCAGTGGGCAGGTAGGTTGGCCGTTATCACAAGCTTCTGAATGGGGGGAGATAAGGGGAGAATGATGTATAGGATGCAGATATGGCTGTCTCAGAGGGCAACAAGATACAAGCATACATACCAGTGACTATATTAATGAATTTTTGATGCAATTCCTGTTTCCTTCTTGATCCTCGGATTGGTCGACAAAGCACGTGCGATTGAATGACGAGATCTGCTTGATAATGGCTGGATAATTGGATATCGGGCAGCTAACGATAAATCGCTCGGAGATCAACAACCGGGAATGAGACAGGGATACTGTAAGCCACGGCAAAAGCAAGGGTCGACGATAATTATGGACGAGTGGATGGATGTGCTTTGATAAGAATAGATATGAAAGTCAAGTCGATCGGAAGTCAAGATGGATGAAACGACAGTGATTATGTATGCTGATGGATTGAGAGTACCCTGTAGATAGACCGTTCGTAGACCAAAAGGTGATATCCGAGCACGAAGGAGGAGGTATGATTGGGAGCCGGTCTCAGCGCCGAGGGAAATTCTAGAACTTCTGCCCAGCAGTCCCGCTATACGGAGAAAGCATGATGCACGCAACTCGTTAGCCAGTTGGTCCTTTCCAGAAGAGATTTCCACACAATACGTCTTCAATATTTTCCTTAGTATCCAATAATAATAACAATTGATGATGGGATCGGATCGAAGGCTGATTTCTTGTCCTTTGTCAACAGACAAAAGGTGAGTCACGCCATCATCATCATCAACAACATTATTATGATGGACCAAAAGGTCTAGAACAGATGCTGGTGCCTGAGGTATCAATTGGAACGCGCAATCCATGAGTGCATTATGAACATTTCAAGCGAGCAGGGTAGTAACGAGGTAGTAATAATAACCATAATAATAGATATCATAATACTATAATAATAACATCGCTTACCTCACCACAGAAGATGATGATCTAACCGGTCTCCGACGGGTGCGGAATCGGGTAGGTTTGGCGGACAGATATGATGCGCAAATGCTGCAAGATCCGCAGTATCTCGTTCTTTGGTTCTAAGTTGCTAATTTTGGGGGGTTTCGACCGTAGTCGATTGTAAGTCATAGTTCAGTGAGAGATCTCAATGCTCTTATATTCATCAGCCATTCGGATACCCCGCGGCACCGAGCAAGAATCTTCTCTCACTGATGGAGGGGTCAAGATAAGACGAAAACGGTTGATCATTCTTCGTTTTATCCTCACCTAGATAGTCTAGTCTAGATCACCAGATAAAGCTACGAACCTTGTAACTATCTATTGCTTTTTCGCCTTTCCGATCGTCTGCCGATTTTCTCTTAACCGACAGAGCCACGACTATCGGGATCTGGGATCAAGATAACAATCCAATCCAATCATGCCCCTCACGGTGATGATGTGGGAGTTAATGGGACTGCCAGGTCAATGCCAGATCAGCCCAGTCCTGGCATACTCACTGGCACAGACACTCTGGCAGTGTCGGGCGTCCATATTCGGCGACACGGTTGTTGACGGTTGACTGCAAAGGGCGAAATCCCGCTCCCCACACGAAGCGGTCGAGGGGTCTAGGCAACTCCGTCCGGAAGACGTTGTATCCATAGATTAAGAGCACGTTGTAGCCTGGTAGAAGAAATCGGATAACTTTACGTACGTGCATAAAGATGGACCATATCCTGAATTTTTTCTGCAGACCCTTTTGATGGATCGGCGGTTGTGACATCCAATCATTCATGCCATATCGATGGAGGTGTGGCCGATGTCTGAGCTGATGATCGCGACCTGAGTCCCCGAGACAGCCTGTATGTTTCAAAATTTATGAGTGGTTTTGATGGAATTACCAGACGCTCTGGTGAGCGGTCTGAGGCGAATTTCTGGGCTATTGGTCGATTGAGAGAGATATACTCCGTACAGAGTAAATGAATAACGGAATAGGCTTAGGTACGGGGGAGATCGACAATCAATACTCTGATAACAATTAAAACCCGTATGTATGTATGACCAGAGGCTTGAAGAATTCTATGGGACACATTGACAAGATGATACCAACCTTGGAAAACAGACAAAGAGTAGATACGTCTTTTCTTTCGTCATCCATTACCCCATAGTCGACAAAGTTTTCATTCACTCAGAGTTCTCCATGGTTCTATGACACGTCTTGCTGAATGCCGCATGACAACTCACTCACCTGGTGACCGATTCCGGACTCATCAACTTCAGGTCATTCATTGCCTGGTGCACAGATAAGCTCCAAGCTCCAAGCTCCAATGATCGACATCCATGCCATTGCGGGAAAATATACAGGTGACTAAGCAAGGTAGACCCGTTTCAAGGCACTACTCGTCGGTCTACTGAGGCAGATGGCGAGATAAAATACTCCCAAGGCTGGCAAGTTCAGTACTACAGACAAATTTCTGATGCACACAACCGACAGCCCCGCTATCAAAGTCGAAGGCCTCCTGCGTCGTGCGTCGTCGTTACAAGCATGCAATGCTGTATGATGAGCACTGGACACAGCCCCATCATTGATTTCTGGTTCTCGGTCCAGATTCCAAGTAAAAGTCGAATCCGCGACGCAATGTCCTACTGGGTACGGAGTACATAACCCGAGTATCCTTCTGGTAAGACAGTGCGGTGGACGTTGTGCGACTTTCCTTGCGCGGTTTTCTACCCAGGTACTTGGAACTACTTCATGCACAGGACACAGCTACTGCTACCTTCGTAGAAGACGCGAAGAGCGAATAACACGACCACCAAGGTGAAATGAAAGGAATCAATACTGCGGTTATCTGCCCATGACCTCCACAGGTCCAGGGGAAGGTGTGGTACGCAACGAGCCAACTTTCCTAATGCAGAATCTTGCAAGATGAAATCAACATCAAGGTACTCCATCTCCGTACCTTGCTCATTATCATGCCAGATATGCACGCAGCACACAGAAACCAAGGTCCTCCGCCCCAATCTGGACAAGCCGTATCCGACCTAAAATGATACAATCTCCTCTCCAAAGTGCAACCCCAGGAGAAAACTTGGCTCTAGGTATCTTCCTCTTTTCACATGCGTTTTACCCAATCAACCTATCTCCCTCAATCATTACACAGTTGCCGAACGGGACAGGGCTCAGGGTCCCGTTGCCTTCCGTTGACTAGCCCAAGGACAGGACAGAGCAAGGTTTGCCACTACCGTGGATTGTCTTAAAGTGAACGCGGGGACTAGGGAATGGTGTCATTATTTTTTCCTGGTGAGAATATACAACGGCATAATGATGTGATATGTGATGTGAAGTTCCAAGGTGATGCAAGGGGTGATGGAATTGAGCTAATTTCATGCATCGGTGAGGTAATTCAGCTTGAGCATCTCATGTAAAGGTGGTATGGTGTAATTGAGTCGCTGATGATGGCTTACCGGGGTTGAATTGGTTGATCGGCTTCGAATCAGTAGAGGATGTACAACGGGCCAATGCATGCATCCTGTATGCAGATATGGACAGCAAAGTCTATCACCTGAAGCATTAAAGGTATAGTAAACTCATCTGGGTATCTAATCTACACAACCTATCATACAGAAAAAAAGGCGCATCCGGTCAAATGGGCACTGCCCAAGTGGTAGGGAGCCTTCACGGCTTATCAATGTCCATTGGATCCACGCCTCCCGCCGCCACAGGTGTTGGTGTAGCAGGGGCAGCTGGCGCAGGTGGATTGGAAACACCTCCGGGAGTCTTCATATCACCCTCTGGTTTCCCAGGGGCAGCAGATGCAGGTCCTTCCTCACCATCTTTGCCATCTTTCTTCTCGCTCTGTTGGGTTTCACTTGGCGCATCAGGATTGAGGAATCGCGCTGGCACTCCGCGCGCCGCAACACCGACAGAACCAACATAACAGCCTAGCATGGGACTCCACGCAGACTTTTGGGCAACAGCCCGTCGGATTTCTCGATATGCATATGCGTTGGCAAAAGGGAGAGAGGTCTCGGGATCGCGGTAACGCGAAGGAAGAGATGTGATAACACAGAGTGACGAGGAGATTTCTGGAGAATAAGTCAGCTTGGTCATCTAGACGGAGTGGCTTTGAGGAAGTGCACGTACTGGTCAGCCGGGGAGGCTTTTTGGAATTGAAATAAATGCTAAACTCGCGACTCTGTGCAGTCTCCTCATCAAAGTTCTCGAGAATCGTCAGACATCGTCCCGTTTGCTCGACCACCGGAGGCGGAGTAGGGATTTGGGGTTTTGGTGGGTCATCTCTCCAGAAGGCAGGCTGATCCACATGTATCTCAGGCGCTACTTGCTCCTGCTCGGTTGATACCGACACTTTTGGTTCCTCTTGCTGGCCTGTCTGCGTAGGCTCGAGAGCAGGAACTTGGGTAGCTGGCAGAGAAGTAGCAGGAGGAGCCACATTAGATTCAGACGAGGGTTTCTCGGTCGTGGGCGCTTCAGCATCCGTTGTCTTAGAAGCACCGTCCGGCTCGACTCCCGACAGCGCCGCTTCCGGCTTCGAGTGGTCGGGATTCGGCGCGGGTTTCTCTTCCGATACTTGCGCTGCAGCCTGTGTCGGATCCTTCGGTGCCTCGCCCGGCGATTTTGAGCCGGCCGCTGCCGTCTCGTTCTCCTGCGGGGCCTCGCCGGTAGCTTTACTTTCGCCTTCGACTAGTTCTTTAGACGTGTCTGCCTTTATTTTTGGCAGCTCTGAATCAGGAGCCTTCTCTGTGCTTGCCTCAACGAGCGCTGGCGTTGATTCAGCTGGTGGGACGGGTTTTGTAGATTCTGCTGTAGCTGCGGAGCCCTCTGAAATTGTAGATTTTCCTGGGGCGGAGGTGGCCTGCGTAGGCTCAGATGTCGTCGTGGCTTTTTCTGCGTCTTGGTCCCCAGGAACGGGTACTGTCTCTTCTGCTTTCTGAGGAGCCTTCACAGAATCTTCTTGGCCAGGGGTTTCTTGAGGC